TTAAATTTATTTCTTATTTTTTATAAATTAACTAATTAATAATAAATATTTAACGCTAATAACACTTTTTTTACGAGTGTACATGCGCGAAAGTTCACCTGCGGCTATATTCAGACTCGCCAAGTTACGTCGGTCGTATTGTAATGAGCGATTTAGTGGGCAACTTCATTTCTGTTAATTTTGTATCACGGTGGGCGCGCATCGTAAAACTGCACTCTCATAAATTTTTCATAACGCGCCTAAAGAAGTATAACTTCAAACAGGGAAAATATTGATTCCATAAAATTCTATTTCGCTATAGCTCCGCGTTATAAATAAATATGGCCGTGCGTGCGTCTGACGTTTCCTGTGACATATTCATTTGCAAGAAGAAATTCAGATTTAAATGCATCGAATAATATCATACAGATGTAACAGTATGGTTTATATTATGGAGAAGTTTTTCTTGTGGTTTAGATGTATTATTTTACGTGAGATATTTTACGATCGCGTCACACGTCATCGAAATAGTGTCCAAGTTTGGTACCCAGAATCGGTGCCTGTTCCGCAAATTTCCCTAGCGTCCGACTCTAGAATAAACTCCCTTCCATGGTACTTACTAAGCTCTGTAACATACCGTAGAGCGAGACCTGAAAAGGGCTATTCGTGGCATGCAGTGACGTGTCTGTTTAAGATCACATGGGTAGCACATCGACGATAAAACAGAGTACCTATCTTCAATTTTAGTTATGATGAAATATACCGTCTAATATTTTATCTAGATATTTTATTTTTTATTAATTAGTTGGGAGGATGAGCTCACCTGGTGTTAAGTGATTACTGGAGACCATAGACATCTACAACGTAAATACCGCCACCCACCTTGAGATATGAGTTCTAAGGTCTCAGTACAACAGGCGGTCTTATCGCTAAAAGCGATCTCTCCCAGACAACCGTTTTATTTACAGAAATTCTGAAAGATAAAGCTACAGCAGGTATATTGCGGTGTACTATGAGCAATACAGTTATTAAAGAAAATATATACATGCAATAAACAGATATATACCGTTTACTTAAGACAAGTGGCCCGCTCCGTCTCCGCTCGAGTCTTTAACAAAAATTTCAACGATATTTGATGCTGTTTTATTTTTTTAAATAAAAGAACACTTATTGCGGCATAACTATAACAGTTGGACATATGCTGTCGCGACACTTTTTGTAAATAATAATGTGTTCTATAAAGTGGTAGTACATTATTTTATTCTATCATCAATAGTTTTCGCAGGGCAAGCGATATAAAGAATATTTTAGGTAATTTTTTACACCTTGGATTACATTATTGGAGTTATTAGTAAGAATCCTTAATTTTTTCTAAAAAAATTTTAGCCTATGCTACTCGGGAATATTGTAACTTCCAAACAGTGAAAGAATTTTTCAAATCTTTTCAGTAGTTTCGGAGCCTATTCTATACAAACAAACAAACAAATCTTTCCTCTTTATAATATTATAAGTATAGAAGTATAGATATGAAATACATATACAGCAAAATAAAGTTCTAAGTCGACAAAAATGTAGTGTCTAGTGCAAAATGCAATACGTTTTACGGTAGCTTAGAGAATAACCAGACATATAAAGTATTAACAGATTTATGTTCCTAAAGCTAAATATTTTATAAAGTATTCCCCTGACACTGCAAATGCTTTCAATATCCTTTATATACATATATTGTACCGATAACATATAATTTCTCTGTGTGTGTGTGTGTTCGCGCCGACGTTTGTGTCATCCGTATTTCAAAAATTTCATAGATTATAGAACCACTTCGCCATTGCACTCAGGCACGCAAGCAAGTCGCATAAAATAAAACAATCAATCATAAATCCAGAGTTTAATTTTACATAAATTAAATTCCAAATGTCCAATGTTTTTTTTATTGGTTAGATGGGTAGACGAGATTTTATCTAGATATCTTATTATTGATTAGTTGGGTGGAGCTCATCTGGTGTTAAATGGTTACCGGAGCCCATAGACATCTACAACGTAAATGTCGCCACCCACCTTGAGATATGAGTTCTAAGGTCTCAGTATAGCTACAACAGCTGCCCCACCCTTCAAGCCGAAACGCATTACCGCTTCACGGCAAAAATAAGCGGGGTGGTGGTACCTACCCGTGCGGACTCACATGAGGCCTCAGTGACAGAAATCGACATAATTACTTCAGTGCGTAGGGCAACGGTGACCTAAATTGCAGTCAAAGGATTAAACATTTATTTTATATGATTTTTCCATATATGTTTTCTTAATGTCTGGAAATTATTTTTGAATCGTAAAAGGTTTACAACTTAAATTAAGTTAAATCAAGTCAAAAACCTACATAAATAGCTACTCTATGCTTTCGGAAGAAGGTTAAGATGGTACGACACGATAATCGGGCGGTAGGAATATTTTGAGTGCAGTGAAGTTAAAAGACACAACCTCGATAAGGGAATACAAAGCTCACTCATTAGCAAATACTCATACATTCCAGAGATTCCTCAATAGTTTTTTTGGTGGCGAACAGGGAGCGAGCTATTGGAGTTTGAATATCTTTTTTTTTCTTCCTACCTAAACTGGTAGCCTTGAGAAGCTATTCCAGCGTAACCTTAACTAGTAGGTGAGCTCCCGGGGCTCAATTTGACTAATTTTGGTCTAAAATTATTTTTGGAAGTCCAGGGTAGATTTAAAAGGTATAAAATAAATACTAAAATGCTCGGAATTAAATAAAAATAACACTTTTGTTTTTCCTTTGATGTGTCCCCCGTCGCACGGATTCCTTTTGTTTGTTTTAAGTTTATTTTATACAAAAGTTTACGTCTTTTATTTATCGATTGAGGCAATACAAAGACTGCCAGGTCAGTTAGTATAATTATGAAGCTGAGTCTTTTTAAATAGCCCCTCACCTACAGAACCAATCCCCTCAGATTTAACAGTCCAACACGAGCACTGCACAATATCGAGTGTGGTTCGATAGCGGTGGCGAAATAAGGGAATCGAATTTATATTCATTATTTTCTGTTAGCGTCTTGCGTGTTGCGCATACGTAAGCGGGAATTTGAACGTCATGTACCAGAGTTCCAAATTTAAAATTGTATTTTTTTTTCTGTGATCCCTTTTTGAAATTCCTACGGCGTCTAAGATTAATTGGATTCCAAATTTTTTTTAAGGGCTTTTATGATATGGTAGCTAAGACCTTTAAGTCATGTCTTATTTAAATTTATATTCTTATCTTTATGAAAAATTATAATATGGAGTGAAATGAAATAATGAACATAATTAATTTGAGACATTAATCAGCTGGGATGATGGGTAGGCAGACGAGCATACGGTCCACCTGATGGTGAGTGGTTACCGTCGCCCATGGACTTCAGCAATGCCAGGGACAGAGCCAAGCCGCCGCGCCGCCTACCGTAAAATTCCCTATTTGTCGAAAAATATTCGTATTCCAGGTGAGTTATTCAATATTTTTTTTCCAAGTCGATTATTCATTAGTATCCTGAGATCCAATTAAGTTTCTGATAAGATAGACCAAAGAAATTTAAAATTCAACGTGCTTCTAACACAGAGAATTCTTAACTTTTACCAATTATAGACGAAATAGATTGATTTAATTATATCGAAACACCATTCGAATTTGCGCAAAGAAATATGTTTTTTTTCCACTAAATTAACATTTCCACATTAATAGCCCTTTAAGTAAAAGTACTCTTACTTATCTAACTATTATATAAAACTTATCTACGCACATTAAAATTGTTCATGCGATAAACATATTTCTGATATCCAAATGGAATACATATTTTTTTTTTCTTTTCTTAAAATAACTGTATTTTAAAACATAACTGTCCTTATTTCTCATCCTTCCGAACCTACGGCCTACGGTCAATGACAGAGCAGCCGTCCCTTTCTAACGTACGCATTTTTCTAAGATCTAAAAGAGACAAGATAACCAACGGTATATCTCTTTGAAACCGAGTTCAGAGTCAAGGACGACTGCACTTAGCTTTCGACTTGCATGAGCGAAACGCGGCTATACGTGGAAGCGAGATGGAGATATTTGGTTTAGAGATGGCCGTTCACAGGTGTTACTATCGATGTTTTCGAATCGATATAAAATGTAGATTAATGTATAATATATATATGTATAATATAATGTATTATATTAGCATGATTATGCATTAGTACTTAAAAGTCGTGGTGTCCTAAAGGATGATAAGATAATAATAATAATCTAACTCTTTATTTAATACCACATCTACAGAATAAGCATATAAAACAAATAATAGACGGTGACATAAATTGGCGGCCTTATCGCTGAAAGCGATCTTTTCCAGGCAACCTTGCAGGGAGAGGAATAAGCAAACTAACATGGACGGTGCCATATCTTAATAAACTAGATACCTAGTATACTAAGTTCAAATTCCTCAGGTACTATTTATTCTAAAAAAAACCTGCTTATATAGAGAAATAACATCGTGTAATAAAAATCAATCCACAAAAAATATAATTTGCGTATTTACTACAGACTTGAGACATACATCTCAAAGGTCAAGGATGGTCATAGCATTTCGGTAAGAAAACAGCTTTTGAGCCCTAAAATAGAGGTTTTACTCTGCATTACGAGTATAATGCGTATTTAAGTCAAGATATATTCGTACCTTCTAGAAATAAGAGCTTGATAGTATATTTAAATTATTATCTTCTAATAAGTCTTACGACTCCGCTGATAGCGAATCTGTAGTTCAATTCTTTTGGGATCGCTACAATCGATTCTTAGAAATTAAATCGATTCCGGTACAAAATAAATCCAATCACTAATTCAGTCAGAATAATCGTGACACGAAAGTTACCTACTCGTGCGCCGAAGTCAATAAAATTATATTTTTACTACAATAAATAAATATCATTTAAATCGTAGCTATTATTTTTTTACACCTGGCAACATCAGTGAAGGCGGTAAAAATACGTGGACGATAATTCCGATTTTGTTGTGAAATGTTTTCGGTTGGATGCGAACGTGTTATTTAAAAGTAAAAATTATCAAAAAAAAAAAACTTTTTCTTGGTGAATTATTCGATATTGTGTATTTTGTGTTAATTTGACTATCTTGGATATAAAATAGAGGTAAGTTTAATTTATGATTCGCAGTTTTAAAATTGTAGACGTCTAAGTGAAATACCGATATTCTTACAACCGTTACAATCTTATTATAGGTCAGACTCTAAATTCTATTTCTTTTTCTACATTATGTTTTATTTGATTGCTTCGTTATTCTATGATTCAGTGTTCTTAGCTACCCTGGTCTGTGGACACGATTCAAATACGGTACATTCGCAAGTAGATCATGTTATAATTCATATATCTTTAGATCTTTGAGACAATCTTTAACTAATCAATTCAATTTTTTTGTCTCAATTCTTTAATCAATTAATGGAATCGCTAGATTTTAAGGCACTTAATGAGGAATAGGATGAAGCAAGGAAACCGGGTTACGAATCATCTGGGGTAACTGTTACCTGATTCTATGCGCCATCCGTTGCGAGACATGACTTTGAAGTCTGAACCACATGACGGCTGTCACGCCCTCACATCAGAATGCCTAACTGCTTCACAGCTGAAATAGGCAAGACAATGGTAGCTACTCTTACGCTCTCAAAGAGTACCACAATAACATTAACCAGGGAATTTCTCGCCGGATCTTCTCAGTGGGTTGAGATTCCGATCCGGTGGTAGGTTCTGCGAAGCACTGCTCTTGCTAGAGCCAATGTTAGCGAATTCTCTCAGTTGAAACCATGAGCTCACGTACCGTCCGCGCGTAGCTAGAATAACCTCTTAGGCTATCAGCGAATAACTAGGAAAAAATATCACTATATCTTCCGGTATTAGGTTTACCTGCCTCCACGCCTTCCTCTGCCTCAGAATATTTGGCTCACCAAAAAGCCACTACGCATCTTTGTTTTTACGGACGCGTCAAGTGTAGTGTGCCTTATCTATCTATCTATCTATGTATATAAAAAGGAATTGCTGTTCGTTAGTCTCGCTAAAACTCAAGAACGGCTGGACCGATTTGGCAAATTTTGGCCTTGAATTATTCGTCGAAGTCCAGAGAAAGTTTAAAAGGTAGATAAATATAAAAATTCTCGGAATTAAATAAAGTTTAGGTCTTTTATTTATCGATTGAGGCACTACGAAGTCTGCCGGGTCAGCTAGTACTTCATAATAATTGATAAGAGATAACGCCGTCAATATCTATTACGATCTACCGACTTCAAATAGCCACAATAGCTATAGCTCTGACATCGAATAGTTTAAATTCTTTTGGTTTCTAAATACATAAATATTTCTTTAAAATACTACAATTATTCTTCTTCTTCTCAGTCGTGTCACTCTTGACAGAGTGGTCGTGATCGTCATGTAGTGTTGGAAGGGGCAGACTTGATGCGTCTCACGATGTCGCGCCATCTCTCTCTGCTCGAGGCATTCTACTGCACTCATTTAGGGGACCTCCCACTGCAGCTTTAATTTGGTCGGTCCACCGCATTGGTGGCCTCCCGCGCGGTCTTGTACCATCAACGCTTCCCTGTACAACGAGGCGTTCTATGGACCGGTCATCTCGTCGCGAAACGTGTCCGAAGAAATTCACCATTCGAGACTGTACTATAGCAAATAGACGCTGCTTGATGCAGAGTTCCTGAAGTATCGAGACATTTGTACGAAAGTCGGTCCACGAAACTCCAAGCAATCTTCTCCAACACCACATTTCCAGAGCGTCTATTTTCTACCTTTCCACGTCTCGCACAATTATTATTAACAATTAAACTTGATAAGCACAGCTAGTAGCTCTTATGTTTGTATCGTATCGAACACCTGTGTGTGATAGCGTTTACGTAACTAATTATACATTTTATTTTATCAACGCGATATAGGTAAATACGCGGACATACGAAATATGTGTGCCAAGCAAAAACTGTGACACTATTACTCATATCTCAAGGTGGGTGGCGGCGTTTACTTTGTAGATGTCTATGGGCTCCGGTAACCACTTAACACGAGGTGGGTTGCGAGCTCGTCCAACCATCTGAGCAATAAAAATAAAACTGTTAACCTAGAAAAAATATCACAAAAAAAAACACGGTCTAATTGATAACCTCCGCTTTTTTGAAGTCGATTAAACGGTAGGCTCAAAGACACCATGACCACCGCATCGTTGTTTATTTTACATAAAATTCTAAAACAATTCGTCATAATTAAGTAAAGAAAAACCGTCATAGTCTAAAACTCTTTAGTTTTATAAAAAGGATTTTTCTTGTATGTCATTCAGTTCAGTTTCTCATTATACACATGACAGAAAACGCAATTAAGTCTTTTATTGTTTATTTATTGAAATCGTCGTGGCCTAAAGGATCCGGTGCATTCGTATGTAGCGATGCACCGGTGTTCGAATCCCGCAGGCGGGTACCAATTTTTCTAATGAAATACGTACTCAACAAATGTTCACGATTGACTTCCACGGTGAAGGAATAACATCGTGTAATAAAAACCAAACCCGCAAAATTGTAATTTGCGTAATCACTGGTGGTAGGACCTCTTGTGAGTCCGCACTACCACCCCGCCATTTCCGCCGTAAAGCAGTAATGCGTTTCGGGTGGGGTAGCCGTTGTAACTATACTGAGACCTTAGAACTTATGTCTCGAGGTGGGTGGCGCATTTACGTTGTAGATGTCTATGGGCTCCAGTAACCACTTAACACCAGGTGGGCTTTGAGATCGTCCATCCATCTAAGCAAAGAAAAAAAAAATATTCTGAAGTACCTAATATCATTATAATTATATAAAAAAAGACGAATTTCGCTCTACAATTCGGCTAACTTGAATAACAGGTGAGTTAGGTCAATGACACTGTGACAGTTCGACCACGAGTTTAGGTTACATTAACACATCTACACTCAACTGTTATATTTACCGATGAAGATATTTTTTAGAACAATATTGATTCTATTGAATTAGTTCTTCGACATTTTTCTTTAAGCGATGATGCAAATCGAAAAGCTCATTGCTTATGCTGACTTGTTTTTTATAATAATACAGATTGGGCAAAGTTAGGATTTTAGTAAGAACTAGTAGTCCCCCAGTAGTCGAAATTCGACTATAAAATTAATTGAAATTATAAGTTTGAACATATCATTCTATTGACAAAGACTATTATTATACTTCTATGACCGCAGATTTCGCCAAGACTACACTATAGACCAAGAATATTAATCTATTCTCAATTAGACCACAGACTTTAACAATAAGTAAAGAGTATTTAAACGTGTGTGCGTCAAATACATGAAAGTGTGTGTAATGTATTTTTTTTTGTTTAATGTATTTTTATGAATAATTTTAAAAATATATTAGCATTCTGCATTCCTTCTCTATATTATCTATAAGTGTGGGAAATTTCATATTCCTCCGTCCACGTAATTTTCGTAAAAAGGGGTACAAAGTTTTTGCATCACGTATTAATATATCGATTTATCATTTTAATTGGAAAAAATAGTATTATTGGCAATCCGATGTGTTTCGGCCAGGTTATCCTAACAAAATGCAGGCAAAATGCTACAAATTTAGCGCTTTTAATGCATAGCGGAAAGTTTTTGAAGTATAAAAAATAGACTTATTTGTAAATACCCGATATTTTGGATGCTTAGGCCAATTTCAAGAAAATATATGTTGATTGACTGACAGCTTTGTATTTTTCTTATTAGCACGTTCGCTAGCCAAAAACGCTAATAAGTAATAAAATCTACCAAAACATTTAGATGTGACTGTATATCTTATTGATTTATTTAATTATTTTACTTTACTTATGTCGAGTCATCCAGTAAAAAAAATACTATAACACCGAACGTACAAACTATATTAGATAAACTTTCTTTTTTCATTTATTATCCAAAAAAGTATAATAGATACCATTTTAACCGATCGAGCGCGAACCGTCGATAGATCGACTCTCTATTAATGTGTATGAAGTGCGGAGCGTTGGAATACCGAGTATTCGCACAGTTTGATTATAGGTATTAGGTATTATCGACTTTTATGGATGTGTCTTAACGCGCGTATGTATAACGTTGCCAATAAGTAAATAATATTTAAAAATAACCATTTAAAAATATTTTGCCGTGATTTTACCATTGATTTTTGTAATTTTTTTTATATTTAAGTTTTCATGAGGTCCTTTTTCCAAAAATCCTGTAGAAATTTTTGCAACATATATAACTATATACATATATTTTATTGCATAGATGGGTGGACGAGCTCACAGCCTACCTTGTGTTTAGTGGTTACCGGAGCCCATAGACATCTACAACATAAATACCACGACCCACCTTGAGATATGAATTTTAAGGTCTCAGTACAGTTACAAGCGCTGCCCCACCCTTCAAACCGAAACGCATTACTGCATCACGGCAGAAATAGGCCGGGTGGTGGTACCTACCGGTGCGGACTCACAAGAGGTCCTACGACCAGTAATAAATATGAAAATAAGATCAGCACTAAAAGGCTTAATAAGAGAATCCCGACTTTTGAATGGAGATTTTTAGAACTTTGGAAAACTTTAACGTTAGCTAGAGCGGCAGATACTAGCCGGATAGTTACAAACGTATAACTTACCCCCCTTGTCTTAAAGCACGGTGTCGCGTAGATACTACTCATTAATTAAAGCTCTCACTGGCGCTTATTAAGCACATTATGATATGTTATTTACGTGTTAATGTGACGTGACGTAAATTACCTCTTCACAGTACATAGCGGGTTTTAAATGCGGTTACTGTTATTTTTTACTGGTGGTAGGACCTCTTGTGAGTCCGCACGGTTAGGTACCACCGCCCCGCTTATTTCTGCCGTGAAGCAGTAATGCGTTTCGGTTTGAAGGGTGGGGCAGCCGTTGTGACTATACTGAGACCTTAGAACTATATCTCAAGGTGTGTGGCGCATTTACGTTGTAGATGTCTATGGGCTCCAGTAACCACTTAACATCAGGTGGGCTGTGAGCTCGTCCACACATCTAAGCAATAAAAAAAAAAAAGCTGAAACTGAGTTATATTCTGCGTTGTTTTGTTACCAGCTATGATTTATATGCTGTTTTTTCGATTCCACATTTTAAGAAATCATTTTTTTTTATTGCCTTTGTAGGCAGACGAGCGTACGGCACACCTGATGATAAGTAGTTACCGTCGCCCATGGACTTCAGCAATGCCAGGAGCAGAGCCAAGCCGCTGCCTACCGCTTAATACTCTCCACAAACCTCGTTTGAAGAAGAATATTTCATAGCGCTCGGGAAAGACCGTGGTGGGGAGCTCATTCCATAGCCGGATGGTACGTGCCAAAAAAGACCTCTGGAAACGCACTGTGGATGACCGCAGTGGCTCCAGGTAGTATGGATGAACTCTACTCCGGTGGCGGGCGGTGCCTTCATGACACAATCTTGTTAAAATTTAGGGTTATGTTAATATATCGGCTGCGTGCCGCTTCTTAGGAATGTCAAAAAAAAACAATTTCTCCTATCTAATCACTTCTTGAGTATTCCTTAAAGCTTATCAAAGATTTATCAAAAGAAGTTATGTTGACGCAAAAAACATTTTTTTTCCTATTCATCATGTCGCCTTTTGTACATGCCATTGTTGAGTCATAATGGTTAACTGTTCTCATGAACGAAGGCAATCCGCTCTGACTACGACAAAACCGGAATTAAGTTAGCAAAATATTTCAAATTGTTTTTACGACGGTACATCGAGAGGTCAATGACATCCTATTTTGCATTGATAGCACGATAGGTATGTGGGCACAATCGGCTATTCGCCCACAGCTTTCCAAATACATTGATACACTTAATTAAATAGAAAATGCTTTTAGAAATTGTTTGAGAAACTGTTCTATAGCACTAGTGAATGCATAGAAAAAGCGGCACGACACGAGAACCCTCTCATCGTGGCCGCCGGTAACTACATACCCGATCCTGCGGACCGAATGGTAAACAGTCGACGTCGCCCTAAGCACGTCATTTCGAATCCTCCCGATCCACTAACGGTGCTTTTAGGTACCTCAAGCAACGGTCATCGTAGAATCCGTTGCTTGCGACAAAGGGCTCGGCAGGTAAATTAACCCACAGACACGGCCTACTGAGTTTCTCGCCGGATCTTCTCAGTGGGTCGCGTTTCCGATCCGGTGGTAGATTCAAAGCACTGCTCTTGCTAGGGTTAGTGTTAGCAACATCGTCAGGTTTGAGCCCTGTGAGCTCACCTACTTGTTAGCTGTACTCGCTGACTTAGCCTGTCAAGGCTATCAACTTAGGTAGAAAAAAAATGTGAGCCGTCACGGGGCACCTGGCAGATGTGAAACATCGACATTATTTTGTAAAAGTAATATGCAGAAAAGAACAAATTGTGATAGGAACTAAATATGTCATAATGATAAAATAAAATATTACGAAAAAAATATTTGTTTTCAAGTAAAACACAGGTTATGTGTACTGTAGTAAACAACACTGTATACACTACGGAGTATACACTATAGGTATCCGAGCTCAGTGTAGCGAGAGAGATGGCTTAACGTCGGATCGAGTGGGAGAGAATGGCACAGTCGATTGGGCATGGCGACGCGTCGCCACACCGTACACACTACTGCATATAGACTGTAATATACCATCATACAGCGTGGCGACGCGTCGCCAGGGCATGCGTCGTCACGCCAGAAATCGGTTTTACGTGCGGCTATAGATGTTTCACATCAAAGAAATTGTTAGTAGATTTACACCAATATCTTTATTGTATCGCCGGCGACTGAAACCGAACTATAAAATAAAACATTATACATTGCGAAATCGTGTATATTTTACATGCCTTAGCAGTATTTGTTTTTGTTTGAGCGTCCATTCAACTCTTTTTAATTAGTAACCGACTTATTTAGAAATATTGTAACGGTTTAATCATAGCGATTATCTATACTAATATATAAATCTACAGTGGTTTTTACGGATGTTCCGTTATAACTACTGAACCATGCATCCGATTGATTTGAAACTTGGTATCCATGTAGAAATAAATACATGTAAAAATTATTGGTTAGGCCAATATTTATATGAGTTTTGGTCTCCATACACCAGTTGCGGGGGCGTTAATGATGAGAATCTTTGTGGGGGTCAGAAATAATAATGTTAAGTTTAAATGCCCAATGAAGCGGACGGGTACAGTTAGTTTTTTTTTCTATAAAATCACTTCTAGGCTGTTTTTGTTACATTTATATTCATTTTTAATTAGCAATCGTTTTGATTCTTACGGTTCGCCAAAACAGCGTGTGGAATGTTCGGATAACTCAATATTCACGTCGTGTGGATAACGGTTTATGACTCACGGCTCAGCGGTCGCGCAGCGCATCGTGACCTACATTGACAAGTTTATTGTCAGCTAAAATATCCTTTTAGTGGATTTTTCAATTTTGCGAACATCAATATCATATCGCAGTAATATGAATGAATTCATAACTTTCTATTTGTATATGTAATCAGGGTTAATTACATTAGTTTTGATGTTTGTATACAAATAAATAAAATTGGAGTGTCTGTTTGTAATAATAAAATAACCACTTTTTGCTAACTGCGTAAGTATGTATACGCAGTACATATACCAAAATAAAATACTTTTTTTAATTTTGTCTGCCTTTCTGTCTGTTTGTCTGTTTGTTCCGGCTAATCCCTGGAATGGCTGGACCGATTTTGACGGGGCTTTTACTGATAGGTAGCTGATGATATAAGGAGTAACTTAGGCTAGCACTAAGGACTAGCTTCACCCCGCGGCGCTACCCGCGGTACGATAATAACCGCGGGTAACATCGTGGGACTCATCTAGTACATAATAATATGGAGAGGTGAAAGGTTATTTGGTTTAAGCGACAATTCGGTTCGTTTATCTTTGTAATTAAAGGTCCATTTTATTTGATACTAGCGACCCGCCCTCGCTTCTGCTGAGTCCCGCGATGTTATGTCCCGTCTACTCCTTATATCATAAGCTACCTATCAGTGAAAGTCCCATCAAAATCGGTCCAGCCGTTCCAGATTAGCCGGAACAAACAGACAGACAGACAAACAGACAAAAATCGTCAAAAATGTTATTTTGGTGTATGTACCGTATATATATATTCATATGCATGTAGTAAAAAAGCGGTTATTTCAATATTACAATCAGACACTCCAATTTTCTTTATATGTATAGATTAGCACCAACAATTCGTTTTTAATTGAACTTCAATTAAGTTTACTCCATTGATATTTCAATGAAGAAGTTTTTTGTTGTGATATTTTTTTCCAAATTTTCAACTTTAAGTGACTCTCATGTAATGTTGCAAAAATGTCGCTCAAACCAAATAGCCTTTCATCCCTCTATATTATGAGTAATTATTGTTTTCGTTTCGATTTTTTTTATTGAGCCTCTATTTTTGAAAAAATGCGAGTTTCTTTTTTTTTTCTTTTTTTATTGCTTAGATGGATGGACGAGCTCACAGCCCACCTGGTATTAAAGGTTACTGGAGCCCATAGACATCTACAACGTAAATGCGCCACCCACCTCGAGATATAAGTTCTAAGGTCTCAGTATAGTTACAACGGCTACCCCACCCTTCGAACCGAAACGCATTGCTGCTTTACGGCGGAAATAGGCTGGGTGGTGGTACCTACCCGCGCGGACTCCCAAGAGGTCCTACCACCAGTGAGTACTTGTTTCAAGGTATTACGTGATTTTTGCATAACATAATACGGTTGTTTTTTTATTCTTTCACTCCTAAAAAAAATTAACATGTAAACTTCAACATGTAAAGTTCTTACCTTAGTTTGGTGCACACAGGAACATTTTTGTTTTATTCGATTAGCTTAAGTCGAATTTAATTACCTATTTACAAATTACATTTTAATTTGCGTTCAAAATCATTTCTATCAAGTGCTCAATAGACTTACTTCCTCTGAACTCGATACTAGTTACGCGTATGCGGAAAAAGATTTAGAAAAGGTGACTTTTTCGTATTGCCTAATTCTAAAATAATTAAAGTAATTACCTTCAATTACTATGACAATTTAGCCGCAGGTACTTAGATAATACATTAAATCAAGTGATAAGACATCAACTTAGCATTACTAAAAAAATAGCATTCACTGTTTATAAATTAAATATTAACGCTAAGACGCGAAGAAACTTCCTGCTCATTATTCATTCATTCATTCATTAAACAGTAATAAAACTACAGCTTACTACACACTAATATGGTTTAGTTAAAAAAAAATACCTGTGGCTCTCGGGGACCGCCGCGGTAAAGTTATTGCATAGCATTTTTTATCAACTTATGCAATTATAATTAGACAATAATGATTTAATATTAAAACAATAATAAAATAAGACCACCATATACTTATAAACATTAACAAAAGCAAAGCATTAACTGTCCCCTTCGCACTCATAAGCTAGACCATACGAGAGAGAGATGGGCAGACTTTTCATGATGCACATGCAGTGGGACATCACGCCGCGCGCTTATTCACAAACACTACACAAGCGCAACGTGTGAATGTGTTAAATGCGAGCTACATGGTAGGCGGAGTGGGGGTGTTAGGTTTTATTTTCGTTACGGAATTTCTTGATTCAGTCGCCGCGCTCAAAGCCCGCGATAAATTCTATGTAATAGCTTAAAATGACAATCTATATTTTATGTAAATCGAAAGTATAGTTTTCCTTAGGAGGAAATATCCCTTCTTCTTCCTGCACTAGCGCTAGACAAGAGCAAGTTGGACTTGTACCAGTTAAGCCCACTACCGCTTAACAACCCTCGCCCGAGCTTCAGACGGGACAAAACTCACCCAAAGTAGGCTGGGAATAAGGCGCATTTCGCACCGAGCGCATACCTCCCTACACGATGCAAATAAACTCTTAACTAAACTAACTAATAGTGAATAATAGACATCATTTTCCAGGCTAAAAATGACGAGACTCAGCATAATAGCAATAGTGCTATGCCAGATATTGTGCTTGCAAATCCAGGGCGGGCACACCGAAGATGATAACCCTCTGCTGGATATCGCGTCGTCATTGCTCCAAAACATGGGCAATGGCGACAACAATGGCAACGGAATGGCGGCCATTGGAAGTATTATCGGAAACCTCATGCAGGGTGACAACGTTAAGAACTTGGCATCTTTATTTAACAATGAAAAAGAGGAAAAAGAAAAAGATAGCGGCAACATCGGAGATATTCTTTCAGGTAAACTCTTTCTCTAAGCAGATATGAATGATCATTACTGGAAGGTGAATAGGAAACTGTTTTTTTATCCCAGTAGACTGCCTACAGTGATTTCTTAAACATACGTCACTTTATTAGTCATCATATTTCTGTCTATTTCTGACGTGAGAGCTATGCGAGAGCCTTTGCTCAAAACAACTAAAGCCTCACTGTCTCAAACTGAGCAGCATTATTCACGCAGTAATACTTAGGAGGTCCGATAACAACACTGGGTTATGATTTCATTCACCCATTTATACAAAATATAATACTATCCATGCAAAATAATATGGTGCATTTCCTAATGGCCAGAAAATGATTGTCTTAACCCAAGGAAATTCACTTTGAATTGGATTTTGGTGCAGAAATACATTTCACTGTTCTCGTGATCTTCAGTAATCTACCAAGATATTCTTGAACGATAAAAGAAACGGTTAATGTCCGATAAAAAAACCATGTGGTTATTATTATTGGCCACAAGCAATTAGCTTGAACTAAAACAGTTATCGTAGTAGATGGTCACGCTAATTTTCCATACATTGTATTAATTTTATATGAATTAGTGTAATCGCATTTTGCACGCTTTGAGGCAGGCAGAAATTCGCTTCAATACCATACCGGGGTTCGAATTCTAAAACAAGTAGCATAAGGATTAAATACGAATAACTTTAATACTCGTAGAAGTTAAACCAAACCGGTGAAGGCTTATGTTACTGCTTAACCACTAGCGAACGTGTGAAGGGCCTATTTTTGCCAGAAACCAGCCAATCGTTTCGTTTTAATCGATGAGACCGTTACAGCATATTGAGAATTTGACCTCATATATCAATTTGGGCAGAAATCACATTGTAAGATCTATGACTTGCGAATAGGTCGTCTCGTCATCGGCAATAACGATAAAGTACTCTACAATGTGTACAATGATAACATTTTACTTTAACGGCTCCTCCTCCTTGTGTGGTATTCCTCACCACTGAGGATCACCAGGAGGTACTTACTGGTGGTAGGACCGCTTGTGAGTCCGCATGGGTAGGTACCACCACCCTACCTATTTCTGCCGGGAAGCAGTAATGCTTTTCGGTTTGAAGGGTGGGGCAGCCGTTGTAGCTATACTGAGACCTTAGAACTTATATCTCAAGGTGGGTGGCGCATTTACGTTGTAGATGTGTATGGGCTCCAGTAACCACTTAACACCAGGTGGGCTGTGAGCTTGTCCACCAACCTAAGCAATAAAAAAACCCCTTTGTATCACCTTCGCACGCATGATCTTTGATCTATTTTTGTCTCTTGGCGGCTTTAACGTCTCTAGGTCTATTTTAGAAACATATAAGCAACTTTCTAAATTAACTAATAACGAACACTCTGTATATAGGCTTAGGCAGTTTGATGGGCGGACAAGACGGAAAAATCGATCCAGCCATGATCGGAGGAATGATCTCGATGTTCGCCTCCATGGGTAGCACGCCTAAACGCGAGAAAAGGGAACAGAAAAAGGAAATAACCTTCGACAATTTAATGAACTTAGCATCGAGCTTCACGCAAAACAAAGAAGGCGGTAGCTACATGCCGCTAATCATGAGTGCTTTGAAAGGGTTCACGAAAATGGAAGCCGATAAGAAAGCCGACGAACACAAGGACCACGCATCCTTCCTGCCGCCGTACCTAGAAAAAGCGCATCTATACTGGGACATATTCATAAACTCCGAAGTCGGCAAACTGGTTTGGGAGAAAACCGGCATGAAGAAAATGTTCAAAGCCTTCACCGGCCCCGACGGGAAGATCAGCTTCGAAACTATGTTCAAGAACTTCGAGAATACGTCGTTCAGAAGACATTGGATTAAGGCCTCCGCCAAATATTTGACCGACATGGCTGTTCATGTGACGAAGCCTGAAGTATATAGGAGGCAAGTTTCTCACTTTTGTACTATTTTAGATGATGTGTGCAATCGTGTTGCAGTCACCTATTAGGGAGTGTGTAGAAATTAAAGTCGATTGGCAGCTAATGATTTATTGCGCATAATTTGTTCAAACGCTAACTCTGCTAAATCCTCCCCGGATGTAAAAACAATTCATACATACAAAGTATACCTCGATGTTTACTGATATCAGCAATCTTAACGAAGGCACAGCTAAAAACCCCCTTATCTTTTACCAAAAAGAACGCAATAACAACCGGTAAGGTTTAGTGTCAGCATCCTGCCTTTTCAACCGCAAAGCTGTCGAGACACTTGACACTAGGAAGGCATGTGTTTGTATACACAACTATTTCTAAAAACTATAATCCCTATTCAATTCTAGCTTTTCAATCATTGGCTAAACTTCTTCTGTCAGTGCCAATGACATTGCCAATATAAGAATAAGAATTAGGCGGACTGCATTTTCCAATGACGAAAAATAGCCTCATCTAATATTTAGAATTGCGTTCTTCACAGGTACATATCGATGGCGGAATACGTTATCAACTCGTTCATGGAGTCCCAAGGATTCCCTAACAGCATACAATTCAACGCCAAAGCTCCGGCTAAATCGCTAACGGCCATCATCAATTACCTTCTGAAGACTTACATGGACTTCGATGCTGACGTTACCGAGTACGTCGTCCCTGCGGTCGAATACGCCAAGGTGAGCATGTAGCTGATAAACTTAACCACAAACACATCCACATATCACATTAAAGATAAGAGCAAAAGAAAAGCAAAGAAGCTTCAAGCCATTACCACACACGAGAAGATAGGAAGATAGACGGTGAATAAGAAGAACTGAAAGTGATGACTTAAAATAACAAATTTCGAGTCGTCGTGGCCTAAAGGATAAGACGTTCGGTGCGGTGATGCATCGGTGTTCGAATCCCGCAGGCGGGTACCAATTTTTTTAATGAAATACGTACTCAACAAATGTTCACGACGCTGAACGTAACTTCTCGGGATTCTCCTAAAAGTCCACCGAAAAGATAACAGTATTTTTTTTACTGAGATTGTATTTCATTCCATATAATCTCATATCATTTCATTTAATTTCACCTCAGTTGAGCGGTAGGCAGTATGCAGCGGCTTGGCTCTGCCCTTGGCATTGCTGAAGTCCATGGGCGACGGTAACCACTCACCATCAGGTGGGCCGTATGCTCATGTGCCTACAAAGGCAATAAAAAAATTTTTTAAAAAAAAGTTGATTAATGTCTCAAATTAATCTTCTTCACTTCATTTCATTTCATTTCACTTTACTTCATATTATAATTTTTCATAAAAATAAGAATATAAATTAAAATAAGACATGAGTTCTTGGTCTTAGTTGCCAGGTCATAAAATCTCTAAAAAAAAATGTTCACGATTGACTTCCACGGTGAAGGAATAACGTCGCGTAATAATATTTTAACTCGTAAAATTATAATATGGGTAATTACTCGTGGTAGAACATCTTATGAGTCCGCATGGGTAGGTACCACCGCCCTGCCTATTTTTGCCGTGAAGCAGTAATGCGTTTCAGTTTGAAGGGTGGGGCAGCCGTTGTAACCATACCGAGACCTTAGAACTTATATCTCAAGGTGGGTCGCGGCGTTTACGTTGTTAATGTCTATGGGCTCCAGTAATCACTAAACACCAGGTGGGCTATGAGCTCGTCCACCCATCTATGCAATAAAAAAAAATTCTTTCAGCAAACGTTGAAGCTAGCGGAGAAGGCCGCCCAGTCTGTGGCCACCCGTGAAGACTACGCCGCCGTCAGCGACCGCCTCACGGACGCGCTCAACCTCGAGGTCATCGAGCCGGTGCTGCGGGTGTACCGCGCCTACCGGCACTCCGCCGCCGCGCCGCACTGCCAGGAGCACCTCATGTGTCTCGTCAACCGGCCGGAGGGCGACAGGAAAGGTGAGGCTCTCTGTTTACTGCCGGCAGGATGACTAAGGATAGGACGGACGAGCACCGCCCCGCCTGACTACCTACGAGCTTTCGATCAGATTTGAAAATGAGCGACTTGTGAGACGGATGTTGCGAATTCCATGGACGCCGGACCAACCATTTGAAGGAGCTCGGTATTGCCACAAGGCTGTCCGCTATATGCTTCCAACGTATTCTCGCGTACTTCGGCAACATCGCTCGTAGAGGCCCCGATAACTAGGAGAAGCTGATGGTAGTTGGTCAGCTTGACGGGAGAAGATCACCCGGACGCCCACCTACCCGCTGGTCTGATCTGGTTAAGACGCTCACCGGCCTGCCAATAGCCGAGGCTATAAAGACCGCCGAGGACAGGAAGACGTGAGGAAGCATTGTGCATCGAGTGGTCCACATTTCAGATTAGACACGACCTTCAGCAATGAATAGACCGACTCAGAAGAAGAAGATCTGAGACCGATATTTTAAGATTGTTGGTTGCTGTTAGATTGTGCCGGCGGTGTAGTGGTTACTGCTCTTGACGACCGAGTCGAGGGCCGCGGGTTCGATAGCCGCACTCAAACAGTCGTATGACGAACGAGCTGTCAGCTCTTTGTCTGTGTGTCCGACATCCATGTGTATATACATATTTTTATACCGATATACCATACCATACCGATTGAGGATCAAAAATCGATTCACTTATTAAAAACTTTAAATATCGATTTGGTGATACGAACCGATTTAAAATCTTGTCAAAAAAAACCATGTTTTTTTTAAAATTCCAAACTAAATCACGTAGCGTCGCGTGACTTCATACACAATACGTTTTTATCTATAAAAGATTAGCGACACGGTATATGATAATAATAAATAATAATCTCATTATTTTATTATAAAAACATTTTATCGATAAATCTGTGCTTGTGCGGGAAATGTAGTACAATCACTTAAGTACATACGTAACCATATTATATTATTATACAAAACTTGCGCGTGGTCTCCTAGTTAGGGGCACGAATGTTTACGTGTGTGTTTGTACGTCATCTACTATATATTATAATGATATGGAACATTCTAAAAGTGGTTAAACATTAATAAAACATTTAATTGCGTTTTCTGTACAATATTATAATATGAAAACATCATTTAATGCTTTTATTTTCCAAAAAATATTTTACACAGTATTCTTCACTTTGTTTTTATTTTATTGCTTAGATAGGTGGACGAGCTCATAGCCCACCTGGTGTTAAGTGGCTACTGTAGCCCATGGACATCTACAGCGTAAATGCGAACTCTGTCAGTTCCTTTGTAAGCGTTTTAGTGACTCTTATATAAAACTTGGTTTTGTTTGTATAAAAATACACACCTACTGATTTCAATTTCACTGCTGACTAACAATAAATACGAGCATTTCTGCTAAAACTTCTGATTTGTGAACGTCCACTTCCAGTGAGCGGGAATTTTTAATTTTATTCCTTAGATGGGTGGACGAGCTTACAGCCCACCTGGTGTTCATTGGTTACTGGAGCCCATAGACATCTACAATGTAAATACGCCACCCACCTTGAGATATAATTTCTAAGGTGTCAGTATAGTTACAACGGCTGCCCCACCCTTCAAACCGAAACGCATTACTGATTCACGGCAGAAATAGGCGGGATGGTGGTACCCACCCGTGCGGACTCACAAGAGGTCCTGCCACCAGTAATTACGCAAATTATAATTTTCCAGGTTTCATTTTTATTACACAATGTTATTCCTTAACCGTGGAAGTCAATCGTGAACATTATGATGATGATGTTGATAATAATTTCCTCTAAACCGTTCACGTCACAGGAGCCCCGGGTCTCAAAGCCGGACTGACGAAGCTCAGCAGCTTAGTGGCCTCCGCGGCCCTCAGCTTCCACGACGGAAAAGGATTCTGGGACCTCTACAACGCGATCCAGAGCGACGTCAATTGCGAGGTAACTACACTACAATTTGCTTAAACACTTTGTGCTCTATTGCGGGGCGAATAAGGTCGCTAACTGAAGTTCTACGTTTCATACCGGGTGGTAAGCTCGTGGTAATTATACTACAATTTGCTTAAACACTTTGTACTCTATTGCCAAGCGAATAAGGTCGCTAACTGAAGTTCTACTTTTCATTCCGGGTGGTAAGTTCTTGGCCACTTTAAGGAACGGTACCTTGACTTTGACCGGAAGACATAAGTCAGGAAAGGGATTTTAATTTAAGCAAATAGCCGAAGCAAATAGTCTATCAAGGTTCAGAATTCAGCCTGCCTTCCACTAAACCGATTACCAGCAGATTCTACGAAGGCTAAATGAAGAAATGCCTAGGAATTAGTTAAGTGGATACTGAAGGTGTACACCTCGGACAAAAGGTCGAGATCTCAACTGTATTGCTGCACCAGACTGTGGAAACGATCTCCATAAAACAACGATTAACCACATATGACGTCATTAAAGAGGCGTCAGGATCGAATGTTTTGTTTTTGTTTCTTTTGTTGCCCTTGTAGACAGATGAGAACACGGCCCACCTGATGGCGAATGGTTACCGTCGCCCATGGAATTCAGCAATCCAAGGGGCAGAGCCAAGTCGCTGCCTACCGTTAAGTACTCTCCACAAGCCTCGTTTGAAGAAGGATATGTCATAGCGCTCGGGAAACATCGTCATATTTGATATCGTCTATACCGTCTATACCGTCTGCAGGCCGCCTACCCCGCCGACTGCTCCGCCTTCCACGAGCACGAACTCAGAGTCACCACGGAGCCCTACCACACTGAACTATAACACTCAAATAAAATTATTAAACAAACACCAGTTTCATTCGTAGCTTGAGAGAATTCTAAATAGCCACATCGACGAGTGAAAGGCTAGGTATTTCGTTTGAGAGACATTTTTGCAACATTACAGGATGGACATTAAAACTTAAAATTTTGGAAAAAATATCATAACAAAAAAAACTTCTTCGGCTATTAGAATGAGGTACACTTAATTGGTTAATGTTAATTTTTTTTTATTGCTTAGATGGGAGGACGAGCTCACAGCCCACCCGATGTTAAGTGGTTACTGGAGCCCATGGACATCTACAACGTAAATGCGCCACCCACCTTGAGATACTAAGTTCTAAGGTCTCAAATAGTTACAACGGCTGCCCCCGCCTTCAAACCGAAACGCATTACTGCTTCACGACAGAAATAGGTAGGGTTCTGGTTGTGGACTCACAAGAAGTCCTACCACCAGTACATAATTACGCAAATTATAATTTGCGAAGCAACTGCTCTTGAGTTCTTAGGTCTCCTTCGGAGGCGCTCGGGCAGCAAATCCCAACCCTCCTGGCTGAGCCCTTGCTCGCCCACCTATCCTGGTGAAACTGGAAAGGCCTCCGGGCCACCAGTAATCCTTCAATCATAAATAAAAAACCATAGCTACGGTTGCCATGGTAACCGTTGCTACTAGACTGGAAGCTTACAGACCCGACAAGACAAGTCCTATAGACTCATGTCCAAACTATTGGCAATTGGCAATAATTTAACTTCTCCTTCTTGCCCTTATCCTACACTATGTGGGAGTGGCGCAGCAAGTCCTATTATGGTGCTAATTTGGCATTAGTATTAGGACCGGCGTCACTAATGTCAATGCTTTTTGGATTATATCTGCAGTGGTGTATCCATTGCAACATGCCACAGGATAGGACTTTTACTGTTTCTCTTTTTGCTGTTTATTCATCCGTTTTTGGTTCTATGATTATAAATTTTATTCTTTTATAAAAAAAAACATTTACACCAAAATTTCGATTTTCAAATACCAAAATTTAAAAATATCACGCCACATTCGTTTTTCTGTATCTTCTTAATAAAAATATAACGCGAGCGTGACCGCGGGACGCGTCTACTGTATAGTCGTTGTTAGGAAAATATTTAATAGATAAATTTAAAATGGTTATTAGCGAATGTCAGATCGCTTTGAACTGATTTAAAATTCTTTTATATATTATGTCTAATACACATGCAATATCACATAAGCATAATAATATACCGACAACAAACTGTAACATATATTATATACTTAATATATGCAATTACAACGATACTGAACGGACGTTCTATGAACATATATACATCCTTACAGTTTATATGTCCAAACGTGACCCAATATATTTAACGTGAAAAAAGGCATTTTGAAAATGTACGGTGCAAACCACAAGGCACTATACTATTTATCTTTATAATTATTATATAATGCCGATTTATTTATTTATTTCTATTATCTCAAACGAAAATATTATCAGTACTTAAAGAGTGATTATTTGAATGTGACCCACAAACTATCTATTGCTGTAATCGAGGATACGAGCCGACGTGCCTAGCCTGAGAAATGAGGTCGAATGTCTCAATGAACGCCCCACACGTGAATCGGAACGTTCGGCTGCTTCAAGCAGGAATAGATAGTGCAGGCAGCGGCTTGGCTCTGCCCCTGGCATTGCTGACGTCCATGAGCGATGGTAACCACTTACCATCAGGTGGGCCGTATGCTCGTCTGCCTACAAAGGCAATAAAAAAAAAAAAGCCAGGACCTATAAGAAGAGAGACAAACCTCTTCCGGATCTGCATTCATCGGTTAAAAAGTATTTTGAATCGATTATCATATTAAGTTAGTTTTAAATGTGATTTTTTTTTAACATGATCTAGTATTAACGATTTCAAATGTTAATAATAATAGTATTATTTATGTGTGTATTAAAAAGAATTGTTTTTATTTAAATTTTAAGAGATACGCTGGACACATGGTGCTAGAATGTTACTAAATAATAATAAAATATATAATTTAGCCGATATATTAAAGTTTAATTAATGCAAAAAGGAACCATTTTTTTTTTTAATCAAACTTTATTGAAACTACATTTACATTTTTTTTCGACTTGCTTCGTATACTTCACTGTTTTCGTATTAAAAATAAAACTGAAGCCGAAATAATTCAGATTTGAGTATAAATACCATATTAAAAACTATTCCTGAATTCCGAATTCTTGGTTCCTTGCTGTGGTTCAGCGTTACACAATCTAAGACAGTGATTCTCAACTCTTCCCCAGCGAGTAGGTAGAGAAAAATCAACTACTCAGATGCAACACTAGCACGCCGCAAAATTTAAAAATATTGTAAATGGCACACAGCATAGAATAGCTGTGTACTGTTTAAAATATTTACAATTTTTATTTACGAGTAAAATTTAAAATTAAATGTATCTATATGACGTGTCAAAATGTTATTAAACAGAATAATATAAAAAAGATTTTCTTTTATTTTACATCCATAATCATTTTTACACGGTGATGTATTTATATAGGTGTTATCAATACATCGTTTTGTTATTTTTGCGTTTAAAATTTAAAATAATTAAATTATTGCGTCCGCGGCAAAAGTTTGAGAATCACTGGTCTACAGATACGAATCCCGGTCTTGCAACTACTTAAGAAGCCCAAACAAAGTTGGAAAACAATGTTAATTACCCGACCGAGGTCTAATTAATTTGTTCTTTCATCAGTCCACACTTTGTTCCACCGCTTTGTTCGCTCATAACAATTCACCCATACGATGTTAATGAATCAAATTTACCAAAATAGTGTACTTATAATTTACAATCAATAAAAATAAAACAACAGTTCCTTCATAAAAATGTGTTTTATTTCAATACACGAAGTTAAATCTACGTAATGCATAAAATTATTTAAATCAATTTAATATCGAAAATATTATTTTTACCAATTATAATCTATGAGGATAAACAAGAAATACGCATAATTGAATTACGAGCATATTATAATATCATCATTATTAATAATATCGTAAGAGTTTTATTAAATTATTATTATTATTATTAGCTGGAAATCAAACTCTCTCCCTTAAGCCTTGTTCGGACTAGGCGAGTATTTTAGTCGATTACCGAGTAATTTACCGGCTAAACTACTCGCCTAAATTATTTACGAACCTACTCGACTAAATTTTTGGTGCTCAAACACATTTAGCTACTAAATTACTCGGTACTCGACTAAAATACTCGCCTAGTACGAACAAGGCTTTAGTGTCCGCTGTGATTATAACTAAACTTAGAAAACACATCAATTATTTGCTAAGTACAATAAGCTATTTTATACGCTAAGTATAGTTAGAGATCTTGTTTACGCTTTAAGTATTATTGACAGGCAAGCTTATTGTACAATTGCGATCAATTACTACTAAGTAATAACCAATGAATATCGAAAATTACTTAAAAATATCAGCGGAACCCACGAGTTCTGATGTGATTCTCGCTAAATATATCGCGACTATTACAACCGAAGTGGCATAACTAAGAAATTTTAAGAAAATCAGTTTATACTTTAAACGACTTACAGACATGTTTTCTGTTAGACTAAAAAAAAAGTTTATTTAAATAAATAAATAAAAACACGTGTGGCACTTGGGGACTGTCACGGTAAAGCTATTGCATAGCATTTTTTATCAACTTATGCAACTATAATTAGACCATGATAATTTAATATTAAAACAATAATAGAATAAGACCACGCTATTTTTATAAACATTAACTAAAGCAAAACATTAACTGTCCCCTTCACACTCATAAGCAAGACCGCGCAAGAGAGAGATGGGCAGACTTTTCATGATGCGCATGCAGTGCGACGTCACGCTGCGCGCTTATTTGCAAACACTACACAAGCGCAACGTGTGAATGTGTTGAGCGCGAGCTACATGGTAGGCGAAGAGGTGTTAGGTTGTTTTCGTTACGGAATTTCTTGATTCGGTCACCGCGCTCAAAGCACGCGATAAAATCTACGCTATAGCTTAAAAAAAAATTTTAAAAGGTAAAGTATTCTTTCCGCCTCTATTAAATAAACGAGACAAAAGGCCCGGTACAATCCCGAGCTTTTCTAAAGCTAAATACGTAAGCACCTACATAATTCTGTGCTCACGGTCAAAACCTTGACGATAAAACAGTGACAACGCTTAATCAAAAGCCATTTAACAAAAATCGTAACAATCGAAGACACAGCGGATCGTGAGCAAAGTTGTACCATACAACTATACCAAACTAATATTACATTTAATCAGTGTTTACCGCAAAATATGGCCGAGAATGATTTGTTATTTTTTCACGTTGATATTCTTGCAAACCCATTCCATGCCCTCCTGTGGATACAAACAACACGCGTGTTAATTCATGATTCGATTTAAGAGGAATTGTGGCCAAATTCCCGATGGTAGTGCATAGGTAGAGCCCATAGCATACTAGATAGATAGATAGATAGTATACACTACCGTCCCGCTGTTACACAATGGTTGTGTGGTATAAAAAGATAGGAGCGCCGTATTCTGATTACCACCCAATCTTGAGATATCTCAAACATGCTTCATACTGACACTTTTTTAAGGGATTTTATGGCCTGGTAACTAAGACCTTTAGGTCATGCCTTATTTTAATTTATTTTCTTATTTTTATGAAAAATGTTAATATGGAGTGAAATGAAATGAAGATGATTACTTTTGAGACATTCATCAATTGGGATGAAATTAAATAAAATGAGATGAGATGATATGGGATGAAATATAATCTCAGTAAAATGGTGGTAATTTACTGAGATTTTTTCAGTGGACTTTTTGGAGGATCCCGAGAAGTTACGTCCAGCGGCTTTGTTTCATTTTCCCATATTTGTGCACTTTCACAGATATTAAACAGTTAATAAACCACCGTTATCACACATTTAAACCTGAAGAAACACTAAATAGACAAAATAAAACAAATCACACAACTTCACTCCTCGCGTTCCCGCCAAAAAGCCATACTGACACTTCATTTCAATTCTATTGACATGGTCAGTGGTACGGGCTAATCGCACTCAGTTTTCGGATTAAATATATAAAACAGATAATATATAGCCCAGACAAAGAGCAAACAAACATGCCCAGACAAAGAGCAAACAAAAAAAAAAAAGCCCGCTGAGTTTGTTTCGCCGGTTCTTCTCAGGACTGTGGCTTTTTTTTGGAACCGGTGGTAGAGTTAACATTTTCTTTTACATTTTGACATTCAACAAGTGTGTTTTTGATGACATCCAAGTTGAAATAAATGATTTTGAATTTGCTCGTCACATGAACATTCCCTAACGTGGGAATCGATCCCAAGACCCTTGGCGCAGGAATCAGAGGCACTAATCACTTCACCACAGTCATTCCAAATATTTGAACCATCAAAACCTTATCCTTTGGAAGGGCGCATCAAATCAAATGGTGACCATCTATCTAGCAGGCGACAGACGTCCACAACTGGACATAGAACTCTTCCAAGACTTACCACAACGACCTGTCAAATGAAGCCCGCATCTAGCAGATTCCCGCGACCTACACCAGTGTGTTTAGTGCGAGTTTTTTAACGTTCTCGATAGCGTCAAAGTTAACTCAAATTTGTATGGAGTTGGAACGTTTGCCTACGTTTGCCGCTAGGGGCGCTGTTCCAACTGCATACAAATCTAAGTTAACTTTTACGCCGTCGAGAACGTTAAAAATCTCACACTAAGCACACAGGTCGGTAATGACGATATTGTATAAATATAATAGACATTAACCTTAACTCCAGTACCATCAGTGGCCACACACGCTTGTATCTGCCAAGTCCTGTCTCTTATTAAGTGCAGACCGAGATGTTGAGCTATCTCACTAGCCGGTAATGCTGTGAATAAAAAAAACCCAACATGATTGTATCAGACATTTCTTCCCATGTAGATTTTGCGCATTTATTATTGCACAATTTTTTTATATTTTTTTTTATATTTCTTTTATGGATGGACGAGCTCACGGCCTACCTGGTGTTAAGTGGTTATCGGAGCCCATAGACATCTACAACGCAAATGTCGCTACCCACCTTAAGACATGAGTTCTAAGTCTCAGCTTTTACAGTGTAACGGCTGCCCCGCTCGAATTACTTCACGGCAGGGTGGTGGTACCTTTTTTTTTATTGCCTTTGTAGGCAGACGAGCATACAGCCCACCTGATGGTGAGTGGTTACCGTCGCCCATGGACTTCAGCAATGCCAAGGGCAGAGCCAAGCCGCTGCCTACACCTACCACCAGTTAAGATAGTGGAGTTGGTAATAATTTCGTGGTAGGCAGCGGCTTGGCTGTGCCCCTGACATCGCTGATGTCCATGAGCGACGATGATCACTCACAATCAGATGGGCCGTATGCTCGTCTGCCTAGACGGCACTAAAAAATAAAATAAAAAATATATAATTGTATTGTGTGAGTGCTTTATTCTTCTAATTAGAAGACATGACTGCTTGTGATTAAAATAGGCAAAACGGTGCCTATGAGTGCAGGCGTCCGATACGCTACTAGTATTAATGCAAATTAATATTTATAGCGGTATTTTATCACACAATGTCCTGGAAGTCTTTCGGTGAGCACAAAACAAATCACACCACTTCACTACCGCCAAATAGTTTATTATTTGTAAGATAAACTATCAACACAGATTACTTTTATAATTAATTGTAACTAAAACTACCAATGCAAATTACTTTAATGATTATTTAAAAGTGAAATTAAAAACACAGATTACTTCAAAAATGAATGTAATCAAATTATCTATACGCACCGGTCGCCAAGTCCTGTTTGTTGGCGTAAACTAACAGCGGAACAGCGCGCAACTTGTCATCCAGAAGCAGCTCGGCTAATTCTAGACTGGTCTCCTCCAGTCTATGGTGATCTGAACAATCGACCACGTAGATCTGTAAAGTTATTTTAACAGTTTTCTTTAATAGTCGAAGGCAGAGGTAAAGCTGGATCAGACATCCAAATGTATTACAGTTAAAAGTGAGAAAGCAAAACGCCCGTTGCCGATCTAACACGTTCGCGTGAGCAACGTCTTACAACGTCGTGTTTTTTAAATTATGAAATGGCGCAACGTCATATGACGGTCTCTAGAGTTTATCATATTTATTTTGTCCGAACGTCTTTGGACATCTATTGGGCAAAATTCTAGCGCATCAACTTAGCGCCGCAACACATTCGATTTACATAGCCTTACCACCGCGTTGCCCGAAAAAAATCATCATAAGATGTACGTACGTTGTTAAGCTTTCTATGGGAAAAAGTGCGCCACAGTAGCAATATTCAGAAATGAGGTTGCTCACGCGAACTTTTTAAGGTTCTCGTATTACGATTATTGTTGGAGTTAAGCCGAGGCCTAATAAATAAGGCGCCCGATCATTTTTTTATGAAATACATATTATTATCTACTTCACACGTGTTCACGAGTGACGTCCACGATTTAGATATAAAATCGTATATTGAGAACCAAACCCGCAAAGATTATATGTTGCGCAATCACTGGTGGTGGGGCATCTTGTTAGTCTGCACGGGTAAGTGCCACCAGTCAGCCACCTATTTCAGTACACCTAGCTACCCTTCATTGTTCGTCTCACTTCCCGAACTAACTTTGAATAAAGCGTAGATATTGAGTGCCCATTTGTACCACAACCCTGCACAGTTTTGCTGCGCGACTACGTCCTGATTTGACGGATGACGCTTATGACCAATACAATTAAGAGTATATTTATGGCTGTACCATCTACAAGGCCCATGTCCGTGTGCTCTCTAAAAATTTTTTTCTAAAAATGTAATTTAAAATTCGTTATAAATAAATCAATAGCATACCAAAATATCGGTGTTCTCAAAATAATTCCTCCAATAAGGCCTGATCTTCCTCTGTCCACCGATATCCCAAACATTTAGCTTGAAGCCATTCGATAACACCGATTTTATATTAAAACCAGCGGTCGGGATAACGTGGTTCACGTCTTCCGAAGCCAATTGCTTCAATAGAGTCGTCTTTCCAGCATTGTCCAGCCCTAACAGCAGCAAACGAAGCTCTTTCTCCGGATTAGATCGCAGTTTCTTTAATATATCTAGCAGACCCTGAAAAAATTTACGAATGCAACCATATTTAGTTATTAATTTTATATAAGCGATGTTTAACGCCTTTCAACTTACCATAATTCGATATTGCTTGGAATTCAAAGTTTATTTATGGATCTTATTCGAAGTTGTGATATCAAGTCTTCATGATAATTAAATTCGTCTTTATTTACTCGAATTCAAGAATCGGTATATTTTTTTTTGTTATTTAGTAGAATTTGTTGACGTCCCTGTTGCTATGACAACAGCTTGTCACTTCCAACAAAGGAAAGATTTATGAAGTCAAGAGACCTATGCAGTGGCAACGTGACTCTTATTTAAATACATATAACTAACTTTTTGAGAACATATAATAACGCTAATGTGCTTTAGTCCGAACAATAGATATTAAAATTAACCACCAACATGAAATTTCCATTCAGTAACTAGCTTCTTAGCTTCTCCCAAAAAACTCATTGTGATCTAAGAACCCATCTATCACCATCAAGTGGGCCGTATTCAAGTTTACCTAAGTATGGGTTTTTTACATTACACTATTTAAATAATATATTTGGCTGTATAGTCTATACTTCTTTTGCCTGTCTAATAGGCAAAGGGAATACAAGGCAAGCAAACATCAACTTAATGTCATCAAGGACTAAACTACGCTTGTGTCTACACGTGTTGATAATTTTAACTTAAATAAGTTATAAATAAAAATCTGAAATTATGGGTAAAGTAAAGCAAGAACCGGTCGAACAGGAAGACCAGGCTGATGTCAGCATTAAAGCTGAACCGCAAAGCCACGATGAAAAAGTCGAACATTGTAGTATAATAGCGAAACCGATGGCCACAAAAAAACTCACCAAAAAGATATATAAACTTATTAAGAAATCGAGTAACCATAAGAACTATATCAGAAACGGCCTGAAAATCGTTCAGAAGCAGTTACGTCTGGGTGAAAAGGGGTGAGTTAGATTTCTCGAATTATTTAATTTCGAGGTTATGTTGATATGTGGTAACGAAGTTTTTCGTGGATTAAATTGTTAAATGTTATCTTCTTGGCTACTATACTCTAATGCTATAGTAATAAGTTCGATTTGGTAAATGTTGATTAACTTACCTTTTGTTACTAGTGTTGTTTGTCACATCGCTCGACATCAGAATTTACAAAGTTTGATACTAAATTCCACAGAAATCGCTATGTCTGTGTCGCCGTAAGGCACGGTCTAGACTTCTTCAGAACAACACTTTAATCTAAATACAAGGCAGGAAACCCAAAATTCTAAATATTTCTAATATATCAAACCTAGCCCCCTGTTTTTATTGGCCGTTGAGCATATTGTGAACCCGCGCGGGCTGGTACCATCCTGCCTATTGCTCTCACGAAGCATTCATACATTGCAGTACCTACCTACTACCTATCCTCTGATAGGTTAAAACTTCACCCACATATCTCATGGGCATATTCACACATATGATGTATGTGGAATAAAGTATATGGGCATTACATAGCTAAAATGGTCTTAAACATATTTTAAAATAAATAAAAAATCTGTATCACATTAAATAAATTTACTTAACCTTTAATAAAATGTTCACATTTCTTTTATCGACAGCATGGTTTTCTTTGCTGGAGACATTTCACCCATAGAAATCATGTGTCACCTACCTGCGGTTTGCGAGGAGAAGGACGTCCAATACTGTTACACTCCAAGTAGGAAGGATATCGGTGCCGCCATGGGTACAATGCGAGGATGCATCATGGTACTTGTCAAAGAACATGAGGATTATAAAGATTTGTACGAGGAAGTTAAAAGTGAAATAAAATTACTCGGACATCCACTGTAAATATATGAATAAGATTCTTATTTAGTTTTAATATTAAATAGTAAGACTTTCAAACGAATTAACAGTAACATTCTTGTAACAAAATCAGCTTAGAATTTTTTGTTCATTACAATATATTCCATAGTGACTGTTAAATACTAGACATGATAAAAATATACATTTAGGTAATTAACTTTATATTTTGTAATGTAACATGTAATTACTTCACAGGATCTGATATATTGTGTTTACACTGGTGAGTACAAAAACTAGACAAAACAAAAATAAATTTTCAATAAGTTTTTAATGACATTGTGTCCAAAATTGTCAGTACTACTTCATTCTCAATGTATTTTATGGTATTTATAGCTAGTACTAATGTGGATAGTTCCAAAAACAATTCTAAAAGATTTGGTTTTTTGTTTAAAAGTTTAGCGAAATATTCCAGAATTCACCACACACATGGGAGTAATGTGTCATTACTATGGAAACCAAGATATATTCACAATATTAAAAATTCTGTCCCTGTTTGAAGTAGACTAGACTGGAAATGATATATATTTGTATGTAAAGTTGTTTTAATGTGTAATTGTCATTCACCTAAAAGTATTGGACAGAATGCTATTAGATACAATTTTTTTTTTCATAACTCAGTTCAACAACTCTAATTACGTTAATTAAGATATAGAAATAAATGATAGAATAAGAATAGATTTTTATTACTTTCAGAAATTCTAAATATATATCCTCCTTATATTGTGATGCCCCTCATATAAGACGTGTTTTTCTCCGTGTGATGATACAGGGATGTCTTGCGCATTTTTGTATGTACTTGAAATATTTTTATATTTTAAGAAAACTCATATATTAGTTATTCATAAGAAAAATTGCCTTAATATCTAATTTAAATCCTCTAATGGGAATAGTAAATGTGTAACATTTTTAATTACATAATACATTGTATGGAGTCATTCAAGCACATTATAAGACAAGACTCCAACATGAAATCAATTCACCGTTTTATAGATGGGATTGTTCAAGATTATTAGATTTTTTTTTATTAAACAGCATTCCGCACTATGAATTGGAATGCAATGATTGCATAATTAAAGTCAAATTTAAATGCATAGAAGAATGAGAGCTCTGCTAGCTTCAACACAACTACATGTTAATAATTAACGGAGAAAGGGTACATCATTCACCTACCTTCAAACTAGTATTTCCTGCGGAAACCAGAGATAGTAATACATACTTAAATATGTTAAACATATTTAGATATTAAATACCCAGAAACGGCAAACAAACTTCTTCATCCATTATTAGAATTGAACCCAAGAGTTTTACGGGCAGCAGATTAGGGCAGTGACTACTTTGCCACAAAGTCAATTAAAAAAATAAAACAGCATTCCTGATCACATATACATTTAATACAATCTTTAAAAACTATGGGTACGTAAAAATGGCAGATTTTTGTCATTAACGACAGTGAACATTGGCAAAATACAATCATAATTTAAAAATTACATTCTATAAAAAACATATTACTAAGCTAGGAATCTAGATTCTTCATTAAAATAGAAAATATTTCAATGTGATACAAAATTTCCGATATGAATTCTCTCATATTGATAATCAGTATATCATCATTTTATATTTTAATCTAGACTTACACGGCAACGAATCTGCGAGCTAAAAATTATTTAAGATATTCAATTAATATTATTTCTCTAGGAAGAATAGTTTTAGTGGTATGACCACCACAGTTAACTAAGACTGCAAAAAACTATGAAACATGCCCTCTTTGTAACTAGGTACTCAAACACCAATTGTTCATCAAAGCTACTATTTCATAATTACCAAGAACTTTAACTGTATTACTCACATTTTTTTACATACTTAAAAACACAGGTAAAACGCCGATAAATAAACAAAATATACAATTTGGGTTTAATAACACATTATGTCAATGAGATTTCTTAATTTCTAAACTGACATGATTTCCTAAGTAATTAACTTTAAGAGATCATTTAATAAAGTGGTTGTAATCAGTTTTTATTGTCCCTAAGTATGCTGATTTTACCATAGCCCATAGATATCAATCACTTTTTTTTTTTTTTCCTACCTTAGCTGATAGCCTTGAGAGGCTATATCAGCGTAACCCTAACTTTTGTAGGTGAGCTCACGGGGCTCAAACCTGATGAACAATCACAACCTGCTGCCACTCAGCTTTATATGTGGGCAAAGCCTCAAGAAGACCTAAGCTAAGTATGTAACACACAGCGTCTGAACTATTGGATGCTGTTAGAACCCTGAATCTAAATTGAAATGCTCAAACAGATATCGGCACACACCATTTTGAACTTGATTCGACACGCCTCTGAATCGTGTGAAAAATTTGCGATTTCAGAGCCTTCTCTATAGAAATTCACGAATCTAACTTAAGGTGCTAATAATTTGAGCTCGATATCTTTTGTATCTCACTGAATTATTCTCTATTCTACCCGAGTCATTTAACTAAAATTACTTTTGTTTTAAGCTCCATAAACAATATTTTATTTATGTTTTTTTTTTAATAACCTACGTCACAACAATAAAACAAAAATATGGTATAATAGGTACCGTACATAAAATGTTCTACAACGGGCTGCAAAACTCCATGGACACCACTATTGATCATGAGCATTTAATTAAATAGCGCCATCTATCGACTATAGTAGTTACACTATAGTAGACTATAGTAGTTACATTACAATCCTACTTTTCTGTATTCAACTATTGTAGTGTCAATCAAAATAATTATCGTATGTAAAATTGATTTCCTCGCCGGTAACTATATTTCTAAAGCCGCAACTTTGGCAAACATAGATAGTGTGCTACGGTAGGCAGCGGCTTAGCTCTGCCCCTGGCATAGCTGACCTCCATGAGCGACGATAACCAATCACCATCAGGTCGGCTCGTCTTGGCTCGTACACTTAGTGCACAGTTTAGTCCACTACCTACAGTACCTACCTAACTTAGTGACGCCATATTTATTTTTAATATGCAACTATAATCAAAGGTTTTTAGGATTATGAAATAAAAAGGTATCCATGCAATTCTGCATCTAACCGCATACAAACATTTAATCATCATTTAGTGATAATATATAAAACAAATATTTCTGTGCTGCCACTATTTTAAAACAATATGCTAAAAAGACTAGCATTTATAATTGTGTTGCCAATTATAAAATGGCCCAGGCTTTCATAATTGAAGCGACAGTTTCTAGTAACCCTGCTTTTTATGCTTTTTCATGAGATCTTAGTGTGCGAAATACATAATATCTACATAACAATATATATAGCACTCCAGCTCATGTTTACCTTTTCATTGATGCGTTAGAGACGTGCCAACAGTTGAATCTTCGCAAATAAAGATACATTTGCTTGCAATCGAATTCAGATTTATACTTATCTTAAAATACGTGGTTGATTTTTCTGGCTTACAACAATAGAGAACCGGAAACTTTTGGTAGCGGGTTATTTTTACAAAACAAATTTCATTTGGGGCTAAAACAAACTAAAAAATAAACATAGATTCTTTCTCTTTTTTTGCCTATTCCTAACCATAGATTAGACCAGTTTTTTAGCATTAGCTAGGTTTCCTACTTCAGTGCCAAAAACTAATTTATAAAAAACGTCATAATTACTTGGCTCCAAAACGGAAAAAATAATTTAAATAGTTCGTGAAATAAAAATGTAAGTTTAGGTAATAAAGCTATGAATAGAGAAATACGCTAACGATACTGCGAAGGCTGGTTTCAAAGTTACTTTTTTGAAATAAAATCGCCAATGAAAACAATTATTGTTATGAAAAGTAATAAATTGTCGATCAAGAATAACTACTTGTACAGTAAACACATTAGAAGGATTGACTGAATTTGTCTTTTGAAAGTAAAATTATTACAATTAATGCATTAAAATCATAATATGCACTGTGATTTAAACTGTATCCAAATTGTCGTTGCAAGCAATTGTACAATTACAAAAATATTTACTTTTATTAAATTCTTGAAACAGAGCATTCTCACAACATATAAAATCAAAGTAAAATATTTACTAGGTACCACAAAATTAATTGATGTTTTAATAATATATGTGATGACGTATTTTGTACTTCAAAGTCTTAATTAATTCAAATTTTAGTTTTATTCCTAAAAACTATCCGTGTGACTTCATTTGTTTTTGAGAGCCTCTTGTGAATCATACAAGCAATCGAAATCAATCGAAACAGGCTAATGTAATTTAAATGAAAAATGGTTTATTTTAAATAAATATTTTGATAGCCGAGCGTGATGGCTAATATGTACCTACTTACTATGATAAAAAAAGAATAGATTAATAAATTACCTTTTTTTTTTCCTTTTGCATTACCGTAAACCTACATCATTGAATTCATTGGTTTCCAAAACACTTAAAAGGGTTAGAAACCTGACGGCTAAGATGTAACAAATACCTACTCATTATAATTATAAAGCGCCATTTTGAATTCAATGTCATTCAATATTAAACGGTTTTTTTAAATTAAATGTTTTAGAATTTTGTATGAAAATCAAATTGAAATGAAATAATATGGATTCATTTTAATTTTAGTCTTAACTAGGTATGTACTTGGAATTTTCTGTTTTTTATCTAATAAAACTAATATATTAGTACAGATGAAGTTGCCTAGCGTTATCCCTGGCAATGAGCGTAGCTCACAGATAATATAATATAGTAAGCTGGTAATTTAGCTGACTACCTCAAAGAAAATAACATTTTACTTACCGTGAGACATTTAAATGTGAAACCAAAATGAAGTGAGAGAATAGAAAAAATAGAATAAACTATTATTTACATTAAATTAGAATAGGTACATCATTGATTTGCACTAGTGACCGAGTGCATTAAAAATAATTTCAAATTAGCTAAATAGATTTTTAAAGTAAGCCCATTTAATATTATTACCATGCAGTTTCGCACTTAAAATAATTATATACCTTAAAACAAAACCTAAATATCTACCTAATAAATATTATAATACTAAAATGAAATAAAATACAGAGTTACCTACTGTTGAACTATAATTATTCAACAATTACAAATATAATTCCGATCAAAGATATTGTGCGCTATTTTGAAAAATAAAAGGTACGAAAACAAAATGTTAGTAAAATCATATGTTTCGAGCTAATATCATTTTTTACTATAGATAGTTACTATTAAACATTGACTAGCGGAATTCAAACTGATACGTTTTTTTTTTATTGCCTTTGTAGGCAGACGAGCATACGGCCCACCTGATGGTAAGTGGTCACCGTCGCTCATGGACGTCAGCAATGCCAGGGGCAGAGCCAAGCCGCTGCCTACCATAAAAATTACTGGCTCCCGCTGATGGTCACACGGTCACCTGAGGTGGTCATGGTTGCGCCGCACACTGCCGTCACTCTAGCGCACCGGCATTAGTGTGCTTAGTGCGAGTTTTTTAACGTTCTCGATAGCGTAAAAGTTAACTCAAATTTGTAAGGAGTTGGAACATTTGCCTACGTTTGCCGCTAGGGGCGCTGTTCCAACTGCATACAAATTTCACTTAACTTTTACGCTATCGAGAACGTTAAATAACTCCCAATAAGCACACAGCAGTATGGGTCATAGTCCCCGATCGGCATGTTCTGGCTCAGTGAGCTATCCCGGAATACCAGTGACATCGCCAGGGCGGCCGGACGTACTGCCGTACTGCGGAGACCGGCGAAGTTGGTTAATAATCAGCCCGATGACCCGTAGGTCGCGCGTCCTTGGAAGGGCGCCGCGGCGCCGTGAGTCGATTTATAGTGCTGCCCGTGTAAGACCCCTCCTACTCTGCCCTAGTTCTAACCTCGGCCGTAATTGGCATAGTCTAAAAAGGTGTTTACTTAGTCAAAGAATAATCGGACCGAGGCCATTGTGAGAACCACACGTTTACGTGTTGTAATACACTTGGAAGATTACATAATAAACACAGAATCTTCTTAATTTTGAATATCACAGAAAAGTGTTAAAACTACTATCGGAATAGGTGACTATTTGTGGTGGCTGTTTCAGATTGCACATTTTGCCAGAGTGCCATTTAAAGAATAGATTTGTTGAACTGACATTTTGGTAGGCAGCGGCTTGGCTCTGCCCCTGGCATTGCTGAAATCCATGGGCGACGGTAACCACTCACCATCAGGTGGGCCGTATGCTCGTCTGCCTACATGGGCAATAAAAAAATATTCAAAGAGCAATGCCGTCCAAAACATCCTATGACAGACAGATTATCTTATACTTTTAATACTACAAATAATTATTCTGAGTACATAAATATTTTAATGCGAAAAGTAAACTTGTTTTGCTGTTTGTACCTAAACTTGGTAACAATTGTGGTTCGACCGTATTCATGATCACAGTAAAAATCGCTAATAATTCCTATCACAGACTAAACTTCATCTAAGACTAAGCGTAGTTATAAAAAAACTGTAATTTGTAAAGCTTCAAGCGATAAAATTTGACGACCTAAAATACTACGATATGATTAAAATACTACATGTAGACGCGAGTACATAGTGGTAGGTGCAAACGAAATAAGTACGATAGGATTATTAGAAATTATGATGATAAAAAATCAGAAGCTGAGCCAATAGCTGCTTCAATTAAGACAATAAAAAAATATCAAAATTATATGAAGAGTAGCTATACTGTTTAAAACGTCCATCCAGAATTACACCCGCCATGTTTTTCAAGTGTCATTGGACGGTTTGACAAAGTTATCGATAGACATAAACAATCTATCAGTTTTCAAATTGACGTTTGTCTTTAATTTTTGCTCTGTCATTTTTTCTATAAATTTTATGTAAATAGATTTTTTTTTAATGCAATTTTTTTGCAAAGATTTATGTTAACAACAGAACGAACTTAACAGAAGTATTCGATCGACATTAAGTGACGAGATTTCTGGAGGGACTAAAATATAATGCATTCAGATAATCTTTCCAAAAATATTACTTAATTTACTTTAATATTTAAATAGTGAAAAATACAGCAGTTTTAGTGTATCAATAATAATTATTAAAAAATCGTCTATAATAAATTTATCCTACTGATCTGTCACTCAATTTTGACGCATGTCATTTTTGATATCCGTCAATTTGTCCAATCTCTATCCATGTTTAAAAATTTATTTTACCGTATCTTTACCCGTCTGTTAATCTTTAAGAGATTTTATTTTATAGAATTAAAACAAATAATACTGAAAAAAGAACAGACACCCTACAAAAGCTAATTTGAGACCGATAATTACAATTAGATACGCAATATACGCATTTTTATATAATTTTTAAATTCGTTTTTTTTTTCATAGTTTTCTTCATTTTCACACATCATTAATACTAAATTAGAATAATGTATACAAATTAAATTTATCACATAATAAAATAATTAACTACTTAACATACACACATCTTTCACAATGAAACATACTTATCATAAAGTAAATTAATGATTCTAAATCTTAGCTTCAACGATGCCATAGAAGCCAACGATATTGCCAATGATAGGAAGCAGACTAAAGAGCAATATGGCGATAAACGCTTCTTAAATAAACATTTCGCTACCGATTAAAATACAAGATACTGTCAATGAAAAAATATATGATTAATTAATTTAACATTAAACTAAAATATATAAATTACAAAAAAAAGTCTGAAAAAGAAAAGGCTCAGAATTAGAAGATGTTTCCCTAAAAACGCTTCTAGCAAAGGCATTTTAGTTATGAATTTAACATAGAACAAACGAAATAATAAAAATAATGGAAAAATTTGATGATTACGTATTTTGCCGAAAAGACAATAAACTAGCGACACTAGAACTCAAGAATTGCCATATTAAAAATAGCCAGATCTAAATTTGAATGTGACTTACAAGTAAATTTGTGTGGCAACCCTATGAAGTTCTTATTCCTATCAAATTGAGCTTAGCTTCACTAGGTTAATACTAATCTTAATTATTGAAACCAAATAATTTTAGAGGATAAATTAAAAATAATGTTATCTTTTCCACACGCTATGGAAAATGCTATGCAAAAAAGAACCAAATTATTATTTAAATTAAATTATTATTTTCCGATCTAAAACATGTGCTGAAAAATATGTCCTATTCGTTAGAATATAGAATATCGGAAATATAGAATTCTAAAATTTGTTAATTCTTCATGAAGAACATAAAATGATTACTTATTTAGATTAAATTACCTAAACTTAAAACTAAGTGACGATAGTAAGGCGCGTGAAATATCTCTCATTAAAACATTTTTCGAGTATCGTGAAATAATCCACTGACGTGTCGTCAACAACGATGTAGTAATAAAAAACCAACAGCCGTGAAATTAAAAACGTGCTTAAAGCTGGCTTCAAAAGTTTATGGTTACAACATTGGTTTTTTAAGAATATGGAGGGTAGAAATAAGTATCACATTCTGGGTGTATGAAAAAGTGTTCTTCGGAATGCGAGCAATTAGGGATGCGCCACCGTAGCAAGCGGTGCATTTTCATAAACAGCGCCAAAAGTTTGACATTAAATTGTCGAAATCAACACACGACACTCTGTTTACGGCTGCTACATTCATATCGCACCACTTGCGACACTAGCGCTATTTTGGTGTGTTTTTGAGTGGTAATTTTCTCTACACTTTTCAATTGTCTCTCATTTATGACAGTTCTCAATACGTACCTACCCTCCATAATGGTTAGGCATGTTCTACAATTAAATATTAAGTGTATTATCTATGGTTCTACACGAACACCATATTACTGACTGTGCACACAATAACTTTTTTGTTTGAATGAATGATCATTACGTCCATTCATTCAAACATATCCTGAAAATGAACACGTAAGTCGAGTTGCTTAATAAAAAAATATATTTTATCGGTAATAAAACCAAACACGGCAGTTGGTTGAGAGTCGAATAGTGTCAGAACAAACGTCGCGCTGCTGTTACGACAATACCAATAACGTATCCCGTTGGAAACACACCAAAACAAACTTTTTGTATAAGCCGCGCCAATAAAGAATCGAATCGAAAATGGCGTCTATGTACCTGCACTGACTGATGGTAGGGTCAACAAATAAAAAGAAATATAGAAAGAAAAAGTTGTTTGAAGTCGTCGTGGCCTAACGGATAAGACGTCAGGTGCATTCGTGTTGAGCGATGCACCGGTCTTCGAATCTCAGGCGGGTACTAATTTTTCTAATGAAATACGTACTCAACAAATGTTCACGATTGACTTCCACGGTGAAGGAATAACATCGTGTAATAAAAATGAAACCCGCAAAATTATAATTTGCGTAATTACTGGTGGTAGGACCTCTTGTGAGTTCGCGCGGGTGGGTACCACCACCCTGCCTATTTCTGCCGTGAAGCAGTAATGCGTTTCGGTTTGAAGGGCGGGGCAGCCGTTGTTGTAACTATACTTGAGACCTTAGAACTTATATCTCAAGGTGGGTGGCGCATTTACGTCGTAAATGTCTATGGGCTCCAGTAACCACTTAACACCAGGTGGGCTGTGAGCTCGTCCACTCATCTAGCAATAAAAAAAAATTGTAAAAAAATATAAAAAAACAAATGAGAATGTACTTTACTTTACTTTATGCCCTGGCAGAGGGGAGTTGTCTCATCTGGGATGTAACTTGCATAGACACTTTTGCTGCCGGTCATCTAAGTCGCACAACTCAAAAGTGAAAAAACTCGAACTCAACAACAAAATCAGAACTGATTTTTTTTGCATGCAGTACACGCCGTGTGCGACTAAAGACAACAACAGCTTAGAGTGAGAGCGCATGATCGCCGCCGCCATTTTAGATTCGTTTCGTTATTGCCGCGGCTTATAATAACGATAATAAAGAAATAACATTGCAGACAAGTTTCCGTTTAAGTGTAAATGTGGAATACTATTAGTATGATCAGTATTGTACTCATAAAGCACATGGAGGCGGGTAGCAGCACTGCGAAACGGAGTGACCTGAAACAACATGTCGCTAACGGGATTGTTGGATAACTACCCACAAACACAACCAACTGAGTTTCTTGCGGGATCTTCTCAGTGGGTCGCGTTTCCGATCCGGTGGTAGATTCAGCGAAGCACGGCTCTTTCTAGGGCTAGTGTTAACAAAGTCAGGCTGAGCCCTGTGAGCTAGCCTACCAGTTAGGGTTAAACTAAAATAGCCTCTAGGCTGCTGATGTTTAGGTCAGAAAAAAATAATTAATTATAGGTACAGGTATAATCTATGAGAGCAGTGGATTAGCAATATTTTAACAGTACCAGAGCAATCTAAAAGTATCTGGTTGTAAGTAACTATCGATCAATGAGTTTACATTTTAAATCACTAAATCAAGAGGAATGATTTTCCTCTTTAAAAGATTTTTGTTTTTGTTTTTTATTGCCCTAGTAGGAGACGAGCGTACGGCCCACCTAATATTGAGTGGTTACCGTCGCCCATGGACTTCATCAATGACAAGCCACTGCCTACAGATGCAAGAACCTTAATACAATATAATGAAGACTATAACTTTATTGTCTCATGCATGCCAATTACAATCATTTATTAAATTATTTATAGCACGTCGCTTAATTTCGCCACAAGTGACGTCACGTACATTAATTCAACGTTCAATAGAATTCAAGCGAAGCTTCCGAGGCGATTTGATAAATAAAAAGGTTTCTCATTCCCTGTTGTGCGCCCTGGTAGCATCAAAGCCGTTCAGAAGAAATACTACAGTACGCGACAATAAATATTGCACATAGATTTGAACGCTCTACGAAGCCGATTTTTTTTTTAATTGCTCAGATGGGTGGACGAGCTCATAGCCCACTTGGTGTTAAGTGGTTACTGAAGCCCTGAGACATCTACAACGTAAATGCGCTACCCACCTTGAGATATAAGTTCTAAGGTCTCAAGTATAGTTACAACGGCTGCCCCACCCTTCAAACCGAAACGCATTACTTTATTATATTACATTATATTACATACATTATTAGCCGATTGTTTCTTTTTAATGTCATCGATGTGCACGATTCATCGGCGGGTACTGTAGATCATCAACACATACCTCCAGTAAGGCATGTGTCAGATCGGCGGCTCCTGGACTGGAAGAGCAACGGCAGAGCACAAAGCGCGTGTCTCCACTACGGTTTCGCTAGATCTTCTTACTTTACCTAGACGACATAATTAATTTAGTATTACTAAAATATCACGCTACATTTTCCTATCACATTTTTCTTAGTGATAGTGTGCATTGTTGGCCAGCAAGCAAACAACCATAAATTCCAGTTTGAAAGGTCGGACAGTCGGTCGAACTCATGTTTCCAGACGGAAGGCACTATTTATACTGTGATGTCCATAAGTAGGTACCTACAAGAATCCACTTAGGCCCGAGTGAAACGCTTTCAATGGTATTCTTCAATAACTGGAAACCAAAGGCACAAAATAACACTTTAAGTTCTATTTGCGCGTCCGAAGACACGGATATGTTGTTACATATCTGAGTCCAGTGAAAAATAATGCACAATACTCACTCGGAAAACATAAACAGCCAGTCTGTTGGCTCGTGCGTAACGATGTAGTAGGACCCAATTCTTTTTTCTCTTTCGACTGCGCGCTCAAACACTTTTGATAGTAATCGAATTCCTTGACGTACCTGTAGGAAATTCGATTCGGTAAATAATTCGGCTCGACGGTTCAAACTTTTGTTTTTGGGTGGATGTATCGCAGCCGATCCGGAGACCTTGCTTAGCTAGAACTGACTCAAAGGCTCAGCGATTTTCATTTTTGTGCAATTGTTTTTATATAGTTCCTGTCTATCGCACTAAAAACAGATTTTACCTTAAATAAAAATATGTTTAAAAAAAACTAACAAAATACGCTTTTATAGAAAATCCAACTAATAAATAGAAAATAAATTTTAATATATTTTCTATACGTAAAAGCGTATTTTCTTAGTTTTTTTAAATTATTATTTATTTTTCATATTTTCGTTGAATTATAATTTTTTCAATATTTTTTTTCTTCCTTCGGTCCTTAATAAGTATACAAAATTTCGAGTTAATCCGACGTTTTGAAGGTGGTCAAAATCATGTTCAAAGATTCCGTTACATAATATATACGTCTGAAGCTAATAAAAGCGTATTAAAAAGTTAACGTTCGCATAGTTACCAGACGGGAGGCCACCGGTTCTCGGCGAGGTACTCCCGCACGGAGGGCGAGAGGGTCTTGTCGCGGCACACGCGGTCGAAAGAGCCACACAGCCGCCACAAGCACCAATCCGACAGATTGCGAGCGTTGTGCAACTAACACACCGATTTACATTAACTAATGGTCACCCAGCGGTTGAAATTCGACTATATTATATTATTATGGTTCTATTGTCAAAATCTTTACTTCTTCACATATTTTGCCAAAGCTACACTAAAGGCAAACAATATTAATCTATTCAATTTTACCACTGACTTTAAGCAATAACAAAAGTTTGACAGTAAACATGAATAAACTCTTTCAGGAAATTTCATACTCCTCCGTACGCGCAATTTTCGTAAAAAGGGGTACAAAGTTTTTGCTTCGCGTATTAATATAAAGATGCTATCATCGATCTTAGTTTGTTGATTATTTTTATCTCTACTATCGTCGAGCTCGCGTCTCGGCCTGACCTTCTTCAAGTCACACTCACAGCTGCTTCGCGGCAGAAATGGCCATGGCACCTGCTTTCGAGCGCATGCGTCCTACCTCCTAAATATAGGTTGGGGATGCAATACTCTGTTAATAATAGTCAGAGATTGGCTCATTCTTCGGTTAATCCCTTCAGTTCCCGTACCAGAGATCGATATTCAAAGATGGCGTGACGCTAATCTAAGCTAGACAGGCGAGAATAACATAAAAATTATAAATGGTATTGTAGTTTCCTTGCCAACAAAAGATGAGAACATACCTTAGCAGGTTCCAAAAGGGATAACGCTATTTCGACAACCTCATCTTCATGTCCTCGTACTCTGTAAGAACACGTTAAAAACAAGATTTAGAGAGAATGAGAGAGAGAGAGAGAGAGAGAGAGAGAGAGAACATACTTTATTGCACACTAAAACACAATTAACATTAGAAAACAATCCACAATCAGATACGTTTTTACAATAGGCGGTCTTATCGCTAAAAGCGATCTCTGTCAGACAACCATCTAATTACCCGAAATTCTGGACAGATAAATATACCTACAGCAGGTATGTTGCGGTGTACTATTAATAATACAATATTAAAGACAATACATACATACAATAAATAGATATTAACCGTTAAATATAATATGAAATTATTATATGATTTATATTCCAATATACTTACATACACATAATAAATCAACAGTATAGATAAAGCATAGACAAACAACACTAGGCGGATAGGTAATGTTCCTTCACCATTCGTTTAAAGCAGTTTATAGTTGGAGCACTTCTCACTGCATCCGGCAGAGCATTATTTTTTATTTATTTTTTGTTGCTTAGATGGGTGGACGACCTCACAGACCACCTGGTGTTAAGTGGGTACTGGAGCCCATAGACATGTACAACGTAAATGCGCCACTCACCTTGAGATATAAGTTCTAAGGCCTCAAGTATAGTTACAACTGCTGCCCCTCCCTTCAAACCAAAGCGCATTACTGCTTCACGGCAGAAATAGGCAGTGTGGTGGTACCTACCGGTGCGGACTCACAAGAGGTCCTACTACCAGTAAAAGTATTAGTATTTAGTATCCGAACTAACCTGTCTTTATGTCTTAACTCTTCGATAACTTTATACTCCACCAAATTGACGAGACGGTTCATGCAAAATCTGTTGGCCAGCTCCAGCAGCTCCAGGCACCTTGCTGATTCGACGCTCGGTATCTTATCCGTGTACATATAGCAGAGGAGGATGTGGAAAGCGTATATCTTCACGCCTGGCAGCGATATCTGTGAAGATATTTATAGGTTACGCAGAAGGCATAATATCATATTGGAAACGAGTATCAAAGGATCTAGTAACGTCTAGAACGCTCGAAATGTACAATGCCATCTATTGTCAGATAACGGAAACACACACATTGAAAATACTCGACTTGTGAGAAATGTTCTCGACGATTCTAGGGATGTCGTATCGACTACAAAAGCGTTGCAGATATGACACGCAGTTAATCAGTAATCAGAACTGCTCGAAGCGAAACCGCGAATTACCTGAAGCGAAACGGAAGAAGCGAATTGAGAATTTTAGTGTTCTGTGTGTGTTCTAAGTGAATATACAGTGTTAACTTATAATTCGGTAGAATTTTTATTTATCCCGAACTCCAGCGCGTAACAATAATATGTTCAAACCAGAATTAATCGCGATATGATCTTCAAACTGTGTTAATGGATATCGAATACCTCAATGATAGACTACGAGCAAACAGAGAATTTACTCCAGACTGTGAGATCTGCTTTTTTGTTTTTGAGTCTAATTAATCAATTAATTAGCTATACCTATGTAATAGTAATAAAAACACACACATAGATGCAGATACTCACACATACACAATTCAACATGTATGCGCGCACACACCCAAACACACACACTCACGCACACACATTCACACACTCACGCATAATGATGACCTTCTTAAATAATAACACCTAATGATCTCTCAACACTAGTCCGCAGCATCTGTTCACGACTTAACCTAACCTAATCTATCTTAAGAAGGAGGGAGCCTGGAGATCAGTAATACAGGTCTTTGAACCTAGTACAGACTTCAGCTCTTTCAAAGGCTTACAAAATAAATTATAAGGTTAATTTCTATTTGTATTTGTACTAAATACAAGAGATAATACCTTTAAGAGAGAAATAAGTAAATTATTATTATTACTAGTGATAAAGAATCGTCGGCACTCACCACCCTGGAGTTGCTTTCCCTGAAATGCCCTTGGAACATTGCCTTCATGGGATCGCACCTCGCCATCAGGATGGCGCGATGGGCCAAATGTATGCCATCGTCCAGGGCGAAAGTCACGTCCGCGAATGTGTTACGCTCGACGTACATATCACGGAAACGTCTCGTGATTGACTGTGGATTAAAAAAAAACACTACTACATTCGCAAAGAATATTGGAATTTGGTCTTTATTTGTTTTTGGAGGTAAGGTCGCAATTTGAAAGCCTAATGATATCCAAACTATCACAACAGAAAATGTGTTTAAAATGAGAATGATGCAGCGGGGGAGTCACCATCCTCAGAAACGAGGAAAACGACCTAAGGAGGATGAAAGTACACCTACCCACAAAATAAGCATCCCAAATGAACATCATGCTATCATAAATAAAACCACTTTCATGGCTTCATCTCGCTTTATTATATTCCTTTCATCATTTCCGACGTTTCGGATAGGTGCTCCACGGTTTTCGTGGTCACGAACGATTAAGGCATTATTATTATTTGAATATTTTGCTAACTACCGTCTAATTTTGTAATGTCTGATTACTTGTTGACCTTTTTGTTTCTTTGCATGCAGAAAGATGTATCTTGGGGCCCGTGAGTTTTTTATTGTATAAACTGGTGGATTAGCTCATAGCCCAATTGGTGTTAATTGGTTACCGGAGCCCATAGACATCTATAACGTAAATACCGCCACCCACCTTGATATATGAGTTCTAAGGTCTCAGTATATTTACAACGGCTGCCACACCCTTCAAACCGAAACGCATTGCTGCTTCCTACCTACCCGCGCGGACTCACAAGAGGTCCTACCACCAGTAAAGAGTGTCTTTGACTTGAGTTTTCTCTCGTATTAAAAACCTTAGGAATCTGTTATTAAGCATAGTGAACTCACCACGTGGAATTGCAGAAGGAACGCTTCATCATACAGCATTTGTTGTGTGAGGATCAGTTGACTGGTTCTCGTCAGTTCCGGGATCCCGAGCAATTCAGACGCTTGACGTATTTCCTGTTACACAACATATCTAGAATATAACATCCACTGCTTAGTAGTAAGGACATATTCACGTCTAATGCGAACTAATGAGCAGCAATAGAATTCATCATGATAGGGTCACATTTGGTTATAGTAATAGAGGAGTTTTAGTATGAATTTGTACAGGCAAGAGAAGACTACTAGAGCTAATGTGTATGTAGCATCAGTCTTACATGCATGGGAACTACATCTGGCTCACTCTTGAAACCGAAATATGCAGAATAGTAATACGAATTAAATTAAAATAAATGCAAAATCTAAATGGAGTAACTTAAAAAATGATTGAACACTCTAGTGAACGATTCTTTATAATATGAAGAGAAAATTTCGAAATGACATCTAACCATACTATTCAAACTGTGATCTGATTTTTAGGTTATGTTTTTAATTTGGAAAATCCATAAATAAAAAAAGGAAATGTTAATTAACCTCACAAAATAGCAACGTATATTCTATACTTTTTAAATACTGTTATAGTAATCATTAATTATGTATTGAAATTTTCGAAAATTCAGTCAATTAAAAAACATTACAGATAGATTTGACGCCATGCGGCATGGGACTTTGGAGGCAAATTACCATTAAAGATGGATGCGGTTATCATGCTTTTTGTCCAATATAAAAAATGAATGTTTGTCTTTTAATTAAATGATGTTATTAATTAATCGCGGAAGATTCCGCCTACACACAATATGTTGTATTAGAAAAATCTGCGGAATTCGAACACCGTCACAGACGCATCGCTCGATACGAAAGCACCGGGCGTCTTAGCCTTTAGGCCACTATGAATTGGAAAACAATTTTTACGATAAAAGTTGGATAAATAGCGGATTAGCGATTTCAACAATTGTGAGTTTTACTTTTAGCTGTATATAATCTATGCCCTTGTCGTAACAACGGAAGATAGGCGCGTTTCGCGCGTAATTTTACTAATGGAGGGCAGAGGTAAGGACGGTTACGGACGTTCCGTTATAACTACTGAATCATGCATCCGATTGACTTGAAACTTGGTATCCATGTAGAAAATACATGTGCTTAATGGATAGGCTAATATTTATACGAGCGTTGGACTCCCTACACCAGTTGCGGGGGCGTTAATGATGAGAATCTTTGTGGGGGTGAGAAATAATAATGTTAATTTTAAATGCCCAGCGAAGCGGACGGGTACAGCTGTGAATTACTATAAAACATCCAATCTCTAAATCCATACAACGTTACGAGGTGACGTTTATCAAATGGCTGATGGTCGAGTGACGGTTGAGGATACAATGATATTTAATTTTATTTGTGTTATGATTTTATTTATAATACAATTTACCAGCATCAGTCCGAGAGTCGAAGGCGCTACAGAATAATCTTCTGTGCCGGACTGTTGACAACAATATCGTATTATTTTAGTAATTTGCAATTAAAACAAAAACAAAAAAACTTATAGTACTTACAAAAAATAGCTTTTAATACTATTTGCTTTAAAATTATTGTTTAAAATTCGTTTTAATAAAATTTGGCAATTTTATTTTAAGAATTACTATATCCTCTTAATACTGTATAAACTATTATAATATGTATGTATGTATAAGTGATTGTGTATATATGTAATACATATACATTTTGTTTGTGTATGTATTTGTAACATAATATAAATTTCATTGCACCTACCACTATTCACTACCTTTGGTTGACCGGTAGAGAATGCCTTAGGCATTAATTCCGCCAATGTAAATTTTATATGAAGTGTAATAAAAAAATAAATCCTTCTACTGTTTGCTTGCCTGATTACTCACATCTCGTTTCACGGAAGTGCATTGCATGGATCCGGTGTAAATGAAGTTTAGTATCTCCTGCATGACCCTTTGTGAGATGAGCTTACTCATGGTCGCTATCGTTTGAGTCTGCGATGTGGCGTGCTGAGATTTGTCGCACTGAAGAAGAAAATATTATATGCTAGCCGACCCGGCAGACTTCGTAGTGCCTCAATCAGTAAATAAAAGACCTAAACTTTAGTATAAATAAACTTAAAACAAACAAAAGGAATCCTTTCGACGGGGGACACATCAAACAAAATTGTTATTTTTATTTAATTCCGAGCATTTTCATATTTATCTACCTTTTAAACCTTCTCTGGACTTCCACAAATAATTCAAGACCGAAATTAACCAAATCGGTCCAGCCGTTCTCGAGTTTTAGCGAGACTAACGAACAGCAATTCATTTATATATATAGATAGATAGATAGATATAGATATCGAGAGGTGAAAAGCTATTTGATTTAAACGACATTTAGCTTAACACGTGGCATTTGTCTTAGTAATTAAAGGTGCGTTTTATTTGGTATAAGCATCAACAGTTTGATGTTACTAATTGAACTTCAATTAAGCTTACCCCATTTAAACAGCTAAAGAAGTTTGTTTTATGATATTTTTTCCAAATTTAAATCTAAAATGAATCCTCAGTACAGTTGCAAAAATGTCGCTTAAGTCAAATAGCTGCTGTAGAATTGAGACCGTGGTGCATAAAATAAAACTTTTCTAGTGTTGCAATTTTATTGTTCTCTTCCAAAATCTTCTCTAATATTTTTCAAGATCTTTACAGCGTGAAACGAAACGTATGTGCTCATTTTTATATTATCTGTGCATTTTTCACCCACACACGACTTTGGCGCCTTTCTTATGATTTTCAATTTTTTGATCGAATTGTTATTTTTGGATTAAAAATATATAATATCACTTCCACAAATCGACTTATTATTTGTTCCGAGCGTGGACAATTATTATATCTAAAAATTAATTGACACATTTTTTACACCTTGCTCACTCAATCATCATCGCCATCTTGCCTTTTTTCTCTTATTCCTTTTCCCTTTCTTACTGTTTTCTCTCGCTCTGAACGCTCCTACTTATATATATTTGACGTTGACGAAACCTAACGCTTGCGAATGAAACGGTCCATACCCTCCAAAGACTTGATCACTTCGCAAAAAAAATTAGACGGTATATTGGTATGTTAGTTACAGTAATAATTACCTTGACAACCCTTATCGAGTTGACGGCGGGGTGATTGACCTCCCTGTAGAGATCGGGGGGTTTCTTGCAACCGTCGCTCAGTGGCAATATCTGACAGGAAGAGCGACGTCTTATCTGATCTAAAAGTCTGCAGGAAGTAAAGAAATATATACCTGTGTTCTCGTAACAATTTTTTTTTTTTTTTTTTTTTTTTCGGGTAGAGGGCCGAACCTCCTACGAGGTCCCCGCGCAAAAGGGGCGCGCGGGGTATGTGAGACTCAACGGTCTGCATGGTGTTGTGAGCAGACCGCGGGCCCAAGGATTTTAGGACCCACCCACTAAACGACTCCCCTGCACTCTTACACCCGACGTCCGATTCCCTCCGAGGTCAGAACCCGGATGAGGTAGGGGGGCTACTGCGGTCAACACTACAACCAGACGGCGCGGCTCACCCCAAGGACGCCCAGCCGACGGAGCCTTCGAGGCGAATCGAAGGCTCTGAACCGTCTCGTACGGCAGCCCGTCGGGCCGCCCAGACGGTGAACTATTTTATATGTGTCAACATTTTTTTAAATTCCCATGCACCATGACTTCTAGGATTTTTATGTGCGCTACTTACAATGGTAACACACGAGTTAAGGACAAGTATACAAATACATATAATAAAGAGTGACTCCGACAATGGACTGAAAAAGACGATGGACAGATTTTTTTTAACACCTATTATAGGCAGACGAGTATACGGTCCATCTCATGGTAAGTTGTTACCGTCGCCCATGGACATCAGCAATCCCAGGGACAGAGCCAAGCCGCTGCCTACCATTAGTGGTAATTGCCATAGCCGAAATAATCTTAAAATATTTATTAGGCAAGCGAGAATAACAATGTCTACAAAATATGAATAGTCGTCTAAGCTATTGAAAAGAAAATACCTCATTTGTTTGATGATATCCTGTTTGAGTAAATGCTCTGTATCTTCATCGAGATCACCAGCTGGCGCCTCACCCATGCTGCTCACCTGCCAACGAACATCAGCCTCAAAATTGTATCATGAGGTCGGATAGGCGCAAATACATTTTTTTTTGTTGCCCTTGTAGGCAGACGAGCATACGGCCCGCCTGATAGTGAGTGGTCACCGTCGCCCATGAACTTCAGCAATGTCAGGGGCAGAGCCAAGCCGCCTACCGTTAAGTACTCTCTACAAGCCTCGTTTGAAGAAGAACATGTCATAGCGGTCGGGAAACACCGTGGAAGGGAGCTCATTCCAAAGCCGGATGGTATGTGGTAAAAAAGATCTCTGGACAGGCACTGTAAATGCATTCGTCTTAATGACTCTCAACAACACTGTTACATTTCCGAACTGGTGGTAGGACGTCTTGTGAGTCCACGCGGGTAGGTACCTCCACCCTATTTCTGCCGTGAAGCAGTAATGCGTTTCGGTTTGAAAGGCGAGGCAACCTGATCAATATCGCGTCATACATTGATGGCTGTGATTGGCCAGCGGTGACGTGATATCGCACGAACCAATGACAAATTTTAATCAGGGAACGCAGCAGTGGCAGCGAATGTCAAATTTAAAAAAATTAATACTCGAAGAAAAAAGATGGACGCGCATGTCAATTTATTTATTTATTTATTACACTTCATGTAAAATTTACATTAGTGGACTTAATGCCTAAGGCATTCTCTACCAGTCAACCAAAGGTAGTGCAGTATAAGTAGTGGTACATGTTTTTGTAAAATAATTAAAATCAATATGATTAGTATTTGAAGTAAACTTATTCATTTTCCTGGCCACCACAAAATACCTTTAAGAAATAGATGCAACACAGCCGTTGTACTGTGAATACTGTGACCTTGGACGGATTATGTTAAAGGTGGGTGGTAACATTCAAATTTGGATACACGGCGCCCAGGATAAATAGTCAGCTCACCATGCTGCTCTCGCTGGAGCTCCTGGCCAGGTCAACGGAGAGACTCTCGCAGTCCATGATCAGCAGGCGATAGAAGACCTCACAAGCCGCCGCCATCATGACCCGATGCACTGGGAATCCCTTCGATCCACATATAATCACCATATCCGAAAAATACTGTAATTTAAAGCAAATATAATAAAGAATAGTTTAAAAAAACTAACAAAATACGCTTTTATAGAAAATCCAACTAAAAAAGAGAAAATAAATTTTAATAAATTTGAATTAAAAATAGTGTAAGAAAAAATGATTTTATTGTAAAAAAAGCGTGGTATCAGTAGTTATAAATATTTTATGAACAGCTGATATGAGTGGAAGGGTTATTTTGATAATATCCTGAAAAACACCCCACGTTTTACAGGTGTAATACAAATTGATTGCCCAAAATTTAAAAACACGTGTGGCACTTGGGTACTGCCGCGGTAAAGCATAGCATTTTTATCAGCTTATTCAATTATAATTAGACAATGATAATTTAATATTAGAACAATAATAAAATAAGACTACGCTATATTTATAAACCTTAACAAAAGCAAAACATTAACTATCCCCTTCACACTCATAAGTTAGACCGCGTGAGAGAGATGGGCAGAATTTTCATGATGCGCATGCAGTGCGACGTCACGCCGCGCGCTTGTTCACAAACACTACACAAGCGCAACGTGTGAATGTGTTGAACGCGAGCTACATCGTAAGCGGAGTGAAGGTGTTAGGTTTTATTTTAGTTACGGAATTTCTTGATTCGATCGCCGCGCTCAAAGCCCGCGATAAAAGCTATGCAATAGCTTAAAAGTCTTCCCGGTCGGTACGTTAACCTAATCTAAAAGGTTTTATTATATAAAATTTTTATATATTTTTAATAAATTACCTGCTGATGGAGTAAATTAGTCATATTCTCGAGGTAATTACTGCTGACGAAAGTGACTTCGGGCTCCACTGGTCTAGGTGGTCTGAACGGCGCCTGAAATATAGAATATTGCTATTTTCTTCGTCATCAGATCAGGGAGACTTCGAAGTGGATAGTTACTTTACACGTTAAAACCATTAGAGCGCTTATCATGAACAATGACGTCATTGCTCAATCAATCTAAAGGGCTAAGGTCCTGCTTACAAATAAAAATGAAATAGGTATAATAATGATTATTTTCCTATTTCTTTGGGTTATGGAATCAGATATCCCGACATTAGAATATATTTTAAATCAATTAATTACGAAGGGTTCTGTCCAGTAATAAATACGTGACAATTCACAGTTCAATCATTCAACGTTTTGTCTTTAAATCAGAGAAAGACCAAACTCCTATTTGTAAGAAAAGAAATATATGGAGTAGAATCTATTTTTTAAACCGAAACTTCAAAAACGAAGGATGTTCTCAATTCGATTGTTTTTTTTTTAATGTATGTTTGTTAAGTCATAATTTTTTTTTTGACGTAAACAGATTTTAATGGTTCTTTTTCTCTCTACTGATATAAAAACTTTCGCTGTAGCTTTTCATGTGTTCCCTCTATAAGTTTGATCGAGTTCTCATCTTTAGTTTTAGAGGTGCCCTTAATATTTAACTTATTCCGTATTTTACGATATTATACATGTTTCATTCACTTCAACTACATCGATGATTTTCTCATTTTGTTGTTTTTCGATGTGAAATGTATACAAAATTGACTTCTTTAGGATGATTTAGAATAGCATCGTAGTATTGCGAGATGATCCTATGCTAATGAAGTTATGCTTAGACTCATTAATGCATAGATTCATCAAGGAGAAGTAGGAGGAATTTTATAGGATGATGTTTTTATTAAAGTCTTTATTATATTTTTTATTCTTAGTTGTTAACATTAGATGTAGCATTGTAGTTGGCAGCTTTGATACGCCACACGATATTCCACCATCTCTCACAGCATAGTGCACAGTGGCTCAGATACTGGTGGTAGGGCCTCTTGTGAGTCCGCGCGGCTAGATACCACCACCCTGCCTATTTCTGCCGTGAAGCAGTAATGCGTTTCGGTTTGAAGGGTGGGGCAGCCGTTGTAACTATATTGATACCTTAAAACTCATATATCAAGGTGGGTGGCGGCATTTACGTTGTAGATGTCTATGGGCTCCAGCAACCACTCAACACCAGGTGGGCTGTGAGCTCGTCCACCCATCTATGCAACAAATAAAAAATAAACTAAAAATGAAAAGGTATGAGGTAATTGTCATTTGGCATTTCGCTCGCTGCTTAAAGGAATCTGACGCGAAATGACTTGGTTACCTGCTGAAGAGGCCGCTGAACTCTCTTTAAATTGGTCATCCAGAACCTCTGTTGTCTCCTCGCCATCAGCGCCGCCCTGATGGCATTCTCGAAGACTTCGTTCACTCCGTAGTATGTGAACACTGAGGTTTCGTAATAATAAATGCCGAACTCATGAGCTAAGGCTCGACCTTGGTCCGGCATGACCAAGTCGCATTTCCTTGGAGCCCTAAAATTTTTTACTCAACTTACTCGACCAATATAGCAGCTTCGTGTGGTAAATTTAGAAATTAGACATCGTAAAACCGGAACACCATTAGAGTTCACTCGCATTTGGCAAAAATTCAACTACATTTGGTCATAATTGCACTTTAATATTTCCCAAAAAAGTACCAGAGCCCATAAGCAATACAAAGCAAATGCCGACCTTAAAATACGAGGAGAAATCAATTGTATTGTGTGACGCCCCACCCTTCAAACCAGACAACCGGTTCAAGGCTGAAATAGGCAGTGTGTAATGTGCCGCCTCACCCTTCAAACCAGATAGCCGGTTCGTGGCTGAAATAAGCAGTGTGTAATGTGCCGCCTCACCCTTCAAACCAGATAGCCGGTTCGTGGCTGAAATAGGCAGTGTGTAATGTGCTGCCCCACCCTTCAAACCAGATAGCCGGTTCGTGGCTGAAATAGGTAGTGGGTAATGTGCTGCCCCACCCTTCAAACCAGATAGCCGGTTCGTGGCCGAAATAGGCAGTGTGTAATGTGCTGCCCCACCCTTCAAACCAGATAGCCGGTTCGTGGCTGAAATAGGCAGTGTGTAATGTGCTGCCCCACCCTTCAAACCAGATAGCCGGTTCGTGGCTGAAATAGGTAGTGGGTAATGTGCTGCCCCACCCTTCAAACCAGATAGCCGGTTCGTGGCCGAAATAGGCAGTGTGTAATGTGCTGCCCCACCCTTCAAACCAGATAGCCGGTTCGTGGCTGAAATAGGTAGTGGGTAAGATGCCGCCATACCCTTCAAGCCAGATAGGCGGTTCGTGGCTGAAATAAGCAGTGTGTAATGGGTAGCTATCAAAGACCACAAGATATTTGACAGGTTCGCACTATCGGTAGACCGACAGTGCGAACCGGTTTTAGTTACAGCTTTTATTAAACCATTGGATCAACACATTCTTTTTTGTCAATCTATCATCAACATCATCATTCTTTCCTATTACTCTCTGCTGGGGTTTAGGGCTCGAATCAAATTTTTCCATTTACATCTGTCTTTGTCAATCTATACTAATATATAAATCTACAGTGGTTTTTACGGATGTTCCGTTATAACTACTGAGCCACACATCTCAACATGACTTGAAACTTAGTATTCATGTAGAAAATACATGTACTTAATGGATAGGCTAATATTTACATGAGTGTTAGACTCTCTACAGCAGTTGCGAGGTCGTTAATGATGAGAATCTTTATGTGGGTGAGAAATAATAATGTTAATTTTAAATGCCCAGCGAAGCGGACGGGTACAGCTAGTATAATTTATTTTAATGCGAATCCCACAAACCTTATGAAAGGGCTCCGGTCCTTGCAGTAGCTAAGGTAATTCTCGTCTCTGTACATGTATCGCAAATCGTTCTTGCAACCGACTAGCAGGATCGGAGTGTTCGGGCAAAAACGTCTGAATAACAAAGATATTCATTTAAATATTCATCAAAAATAGGGTGCATTGAAGCCTTTTTTTATTGCTTAGATGCGTGGACGAGCTCACAGCCTACCTGGTGTTAAGTGGTTACTGGAGCCCATAGACATCTACAACGTAAATGCGCCACCCACCTTGAGATATACGTTCTAAGGTCTCAAGTATAGTTACAACGGCTACCCCACCCTTCAAACCGAAACGCATTACTGCTTCACGGCAGAAATAGGCAGGGTGGTGGTACCTACCCGCGCGGACTCACAAGAGGTCCTACCACCAGCCTTTCGAAACATGGAGAGTCCTGGTACAACTGACTGTCTCGACGATGCAGTAATTAGTGTCCCTGATTGCTAGGTAGTGGGGTGCGATCCCCACGTCAGGAAAACATTCGTGTGAATAGATTTGTTTGCTCTTTTGCTGGGCGCTTTTTTTTCCATCCCGTCCGCGCGGCGGGTGGCGTATATGGGAGTTGAACCTCACTAAAAACTCCTGCGGCTTTGGCTTGAATGTAATGTAATGCAAAAACATCGACTGACTCCTCAGGTCAACGGTCTCTAGAGACTATGGAATATATAATATGTCCGTCTTACATTGGTAAATCACGAACTAGAATCTCACTATAACGACAACTATAAGCCTAGTAAATAAATAACGTTTATTTTGGGCTAGTTAATTTTGCCTTGTCTCTCTTAAGCCCTTTGTAAATACAGAAATAATTATCCGATCCCGCAAAATTATAATTTGCGTAATTACTGGTGATAGGGCGTCTTGTGAGTACGCACGAGTAGGTACCACCACCACCCTGCCTATTTCTGCTGTGAAGCGTAATGCGTTTCGGTTTGAAGGGTGGGGTAGCCGTTGTACTGTTAAAATTAAACCTTAAAACTCTTGTCTCAAGGTGGGTATTTACGTTGCAGATATCTATGGGCTCCCGTAACCACTTAATTAGGAACTAGGTGGGCCGTAAGCTCGTCCACTCATCTAAGCAATAAAAAAAATATATGGAACAACAGATACCTGATTTCTGGATACCACATAGCTCCACAGTTTCTCAACGATATAGGATTCGTTATTGAAAAACACAGCAGGACAACATCGGATCTGTAAAACAATGCTTTTATAATATTAGTTCTGTTTATAAGTTAGTTAAATTATACGGGGTAAGTCAACAACAAAATGAATAAAATAAGTATACGTAACGCTTAAAAAAAACTTATTGTTCAAGTTATGAATGCGTATTACTAATTTATCTTTTTCTTTTTTCCTACGTAAGCTGATAGCCTTGAGAGGCTATTTCAGCGGAACCTTAACTAGTAGTTGAGCTCACAGGGCTCAAACCAGAGTGTTGTTAACACTGACCCTAGCAGAAGCAGTGCTTCGCAGAATCTACCACCGGATCGGAACCGCGACCCACTAAGAAGATCCGGCGAGAAACTCAGTGGGCTGTGTCTATGGGTTAATTGGCTCGTCGAGCCTTTCGTCGCAAGCGACGGAAAATCGGAACACAAGACCGCTTCGTGGCAGAAGTAGGTAGGACACTGGCTCTTATCCGCACGGGAAAATACGCTGTCTTATTCTTCTTCTTGCCTTTATTATGTAAACGGCCGTCTGGTGTAGTGGTAAGTGACACGGTCACTACACAAGGTGGTCGCGGTTTCGAATCCCGCCAAGGGGAGATATTTGTATGATAAATATAAAATGTCTTTTCCAGAGATATGGATGTATATTAAATATATGTATGTGTATAATAAAAATCTTATATTTATTTCCGTTATCTGGTACCTGTAACACAAGTTCTTTACGAACTTAGCACGGGACCAGTTAACGTGGCGTGATTGTTAGTAAATATTGTTTTATGTAGGATAGATCCAGCACATTCTCTAATTATGCAGCAGATCAGAAAGAATCAGAAATTTTGCATGAGTTTTACGACTGGCCCCCTCACGTCAAATCTGCTCAGGTTATATATAAACAGATATTAACTGCAGCGCACCATAGAGATGGAACTTTTTCTATTTGTTCTTTTAATGTTTCTTTCACTTCCGTTCGTTTCTTAATCTATGATTCGCTTTTTAATATTATAAATATGTAAAGAAAAACCTTCATAGTCTAAAACTCTTTAGTTTTATAAAAAGGATTTTTCTTAAATGTCATTCAGTGAAGTTTGACTTTAAGTAAAAAGAAAGTTCAGTTGGTTAATATAATAATTTTATTAAATTAAGGGCTTTAAATGTTGTTTTCTCATTATACACATAACAGAAAACGCAATTAAGTCTTTTATTGTTTATTTATTCTGGAGTACCCAATATCATTATAAAACAACATTTTTTGCAACACCATGAATAAAATGGAAAAATTAAGGTTTGATTTTGCTGTGAAATCAACGGAAGATGGAAAATCAAANCAGCGGGTCGCGATTCCGATCCGGTAGTAGATTCATTCGCGAAACAATTGCTCTTGAGTTGTTAGGTCTCCTTCGGAGGCGCTCGGGCAGTTGTTAGCAAATCCCGCCCCTCTTGGCTGAGCCTTTGCTCGCCCACCTGTCCTGGTGAAACTGGAAAGGCCTTCGGGCCACCAGTAAACTCTCAATCATAAAAAAAAAAAAAAAAATCTTTCAATCATAAAAAAAAAAAAAAAACTTCTTTAGCCTGTTCTAGTTTTAAGTTTGTTTCCATTGGAGTATCATATAACTTAGTGTTCTCCAGCTTATATTTTACAGCCAAAGATTCAATATATTTTGTTTGACTTAAGGTCATTCTATTTCTATCATTATTATAGTCAATATCTATGCCAATGTAAATTTTGATTTTTCCTAAGTCTTTCATTGCAAACTTTTCCATTAAACTAATTTTTAACTGCTTTTATAACGCGACGGGACATTTCCGAACGCACCCTTAATTCCCATCAGCGCGTTCCTCGGAACGCGCCTCAACCGGCCGTGATTGGTCCGCGACCGCGCCGTCATCGCAAGCCGCCACTGCGCTTGCGCATTATGGACTGACGCCGACGCGCTAAAACGTTCTCCATTTTTTGTATTATAAGTATTATTGTTGTTGCGACTTGTGTGTGCGCGTGCGCTTATAGTAAGATAGTAAGATTGATTAAAGTGTTTGTTTTAAAGTTAATCATAATCATTAAACCTCTCGAACGATTATTCGACGTTTTATTCCAAAGTAACCCACGAAACACTCATGAACATTAAAAATGGACGCCCAACGTGGGGCTTTGGAATAAACCAAGTGTGAACTCTTTGTGAATCGAACTGTGAGAAGTGACTATCGTACAAAATGACAAAGCCGCGCACACGTCGTCAGTCTCGTCGACAATCCGAGTATTTCGAACCGGCAGAGGACGATTCTTCCCCGCCGCCGACTGCATCGGGAAACATTTCCGTCAACGACATGGTCGCCATGATGTCTACGTGGCAACGCAACCAAGAGGAAACGTTTGAGAAACTTCTACATACAGTTCTCAACCAATCGCACCGGTCATCGCCGCCGCCCGCTCAACTTGCACATGGAAACTTCGCCTCGTGCAAGGCTCGCTACAGCGGAGCGCCAGACGAATCACTTGACGGATTTATAGACGCCGTAGAGGCCTACAAGGAATGTGCAAACGTAAGCGAAACTAATGCACTACGTGGGCTGTCAATGTTGTTAACTCATGAAGCCGCGACATGGTGGCAAAGAGTTAAGACCACCATGAACAAGTGGGACCACGCCCTCACATCCCTAAGAGGTGCGTTTGGTGATAGCCGACCTCCACATCGTATATACAAGGAGCTGTTCGCCAACCCACAAAAAGCAAGTGAGAAAACAGAACTCTTCATCTCTAAAACTCGAGCGCTACTATCACGTCTGCCAAAGGACGATCTGACAACCAAAGTACAGATGGACATGGTGTACGGACTACTACATAGTAAAATACGCGAGCGTTTGAGAAGAGAAGAGATTGATACATTTGACACGCTACTCAGAAAGTCTAGAGAGATAGAAGAATCTTGTGACGAGAGTCTATCAACTAGTGGCCTTCAGAGCAAACTGCGCCAACGCCAGTTTCCACCGCCTCGTCACGCCGCAAGCATCGCCGCTGTCCAGGGGTCAACGACCGCGCCACCACTACCACCGCAGAGCACGCCTAAGCCGCCTGCGCCCGCCGTTGAGTCCAGCGCCCACGGCACCTATCGCCGTTCTCTTCGCTGCTCCGTGGTGCCGCCCCCACCGTCGTCTCCACAAACCCACGGCTCTTCTACTCAGTTCGTGAACGCCAGACGTCGATATTGTTTCTATTGCAAGAACTATGGACATACACGTGAAGAGTGTCGTAGGTTAGCAGCTAAAGGCAAACAGGACATTGATAACGCCGCCGACCCCGTCCCGTCGTGTTACGGATGCAACGAGAAAGGTGTCACTCGATCACAGTGTGCTAAATGCAATTCGGACTTCTCTGCGTGTGAATACGACGGTCCGAAAGGCGCGCTGATGGGAATTTACGGTACAAGGTACTCCGCCACTGTTATCAAATCATCTTGTAATAAGGATGAGTCCCAGGTGAGCTCCACTTCATCTTATAACAGTGTGTCTCATAAAGGTTCCCCCTCGAGCATGCTATCACTACCCGGGTCCAATTTTGATTCATTAAACCATAAGCTGTTATTAGTAAATAATATTGCACGGGAATGCTCTGATAATTTTTTGCCTGCTCAGTTCAAATCTGCTTTACCTGAATTGTTTCATAATAAAAATTATCACACAGAGTATTTACCTAAACAATTTACATCTGTGTTACCTGAGTTATTTTATGCTAACATTGATCACATAGAGTTTTTACCGATTGATTTTACTGCATTTTTGCCATATCAATACTTTCTTTGTGATAATGGGTGTGTCTTTAATTTAAGTCGTGATACCAATAGGTTTGAGTGCATGTCACACGATGTGCCTCCTCCGGCTTCTAAGCTCACTAACGTGCTTGGTGATTGTTCTATAAGTAAGTGCAATTTGACCACAACCAAATCAAAATCATTTTCAACACCTGATGATAAGAGTAGGGTGACTATGATTTTTTCCGAACATCCGCGGAAATTGAACACTGATGTTAGGGTGACCATGACGAATGTTTTTCGTGGACAATCCGGAAATATAAATAATTTGAAAAAGAAACTTACTAAGTCTACTAGGTTCCCCACACAACGTGGTCTCGCCTTGTCGCGGCGGTGGGGCTTAAGTGTGCACCCCGATACCGTGGAGCAGTGTTGTCTGCACAGGGGTGCCGCGAACTAAGAAGACTGCACACCGTGTTCCCGTTTCCCACCTTTGCTAGACAAAGCGTGCGTGAAGAGGGAGAGGGCTCCCTTCTGGAGCCCTCTTGGAGCTAGGCCATGTCCCCGGCTGCCTCTTGGCGGCTACAGGGGAAGACCCTCCAGAGGGGGGTACCGGTTTACCGGCGTGGCTTCGTAGAAGCATACCGTAATCCCTACCGAGTAGGAGACGGGGGCCGCTGCCTAGCAGAGGCCGCGAGGATGCAAACCTCTATAAAAAATGCCCTAATCTTAAGCTTGTGACGTGCCCGGTGATGAGATGAGTGGCTGGAGGGAGTCCAGTCGTGGGGGCCGTCCCAGGGGACCGACCCCTGGTTAAATATTAAAGGAAAAACACAAATGATGGCAGACTTAACAAAAAAATTACCCCAGGAGGGTACCACCTTAGGTGGAGAATCCCTCCGTGCTTCCACCTCGGTGGGAGCACGCTGCCCCGCGTATTCTGGGGGGGGCAAAGCATGCCACGATCCGCCACGACCGGACAGACGAGCTCACAGCCCACCTGGTGTTAAGTGGTTACTGGAGCCCATAGACATCTAGAACGTAAATGCGCCACCCACCTTGAGATATAAGTTCTAAGGGTCTCAGTATAGTTACAACGGCTGCCCCCCCTTCAAACCGAAACGCATTACTGCTTCACGGCAGAAGTAGGGAGGGTGGTGGTACCTATCCGCGCGGACTCACAAGAGGTCCTACCACCAGTAATTACGCAAATTACAATTTGCGGGTTTGATTTTTATTACACGATGTTATTCCTTCACCGTGGAAGTTAATCGTGAACATTTGTTGAGTACGTATTTCATTAGAAAAATTGGTACCCGCCCGAGATTCGAACACCGGTGCATCGCTTCAACACGAATGCACCGGATGTCTTATCGCTTAGGCCACGACGACTTCAGACGTGCCAAGACGCTCCCCTGCGGAACTCCGGCCGTGACTGGGCGCACCGACGACTTGGCGCCCTCGACCGCGACAAGGAAGGATCTTCCCTCCAGGTACGACCCCAGCAGTCGCACGTAGGCGTGCTGGAGGTCCGTGTTCTGCAACAGCTTGTGGATCAGTCCCGCATGCCAGACACGGTCGAAGGCCTTCTCGATGTCGAGAAAGACTGCGGCCGNCTTTAGTTTTATAAAAAGGATTTTTCTTAAATGTCATTCAGTGAAGTTTGACATTAAGTAAAAAGAAAGTTCAGTTGGTTAATATAATAATTTTATTAAATTAAGGGCTTTAAATGTTGTTTTCTCATTATACACATAACAGAAAACGCAATTAAGTCTTTTATTGTTTATTTATTCTGGAGTACCCAATATCATTATAAATATTTATACTAAACTTTAGATTTTGAAATAAATACATACTAAAAAGATAAAAATATAAAATTTTCTTTTTTTATTTCTGTATTTTCATAATAATAACAAATACCTAAATCTTTTAAGTGACTTAATAAAATTAGTCTCTCAGTCAATGTCGTTTAGCATATCACGTTATAATTTAACGTATCTAACTCTGATTTACATTTATAGAGCAACTAGCAACCCGCCCTCGCTTCGCTTCGGAAACTGTAATTTATTATTGATTTCTCCACTATTTAATGGATATTATTATACATATAAACCTTCCTCTTCAATCACTTTATCTATTAAAAAAAACCGCACCAAAATCCGTTGCGTACTTTTAAAGATTTAAGCATACATAGGGACAGACGGATATAGGGACAGAGAAAGCGACTTTGTTTTATACTATTTAGTGATTACGTATCATCAAAATAATCACAGAGCATAAACAATAAATGTACAGACGTCCAAGGCTTAATCGATATTCCCTACAGATCTAAAAGACCAGTTGTGACCGGCTTGCGTCGCGCCAGTCACGGTCTGATCTTCCAGCTCATTGGCATTGATTAAATCAACCAGCGGATATCAGTAAGTAGGGCTCAAAATACGTCGCATCTATTTTCTTCATAGAAATAGAAACATCAACAGAAAATTCCTGACTCCAGACCTTACCTATTAATCCTTACGCACCATTATCGAATAAAAATACTGTGACATAGGAAAGGACCACACGCATATCAACAAGTTATTATATTCCTTGCATAATTAACTGCAGAACGAGGACTATGGCATCTATGGCCCTTAAATAGCTTACAGAAGAGAATATTTACAAGAATCAATATAGAATACTCGTTTTTTATTACATGAATAGATGAATGACGTCACGACTCTGGTGTTGATTGATTAGCGAAGAACGAAAGCATCACAGCGTGGATGTTGCCATCTACCTTCTTCTACGTGAAGTCGAAGTCTCCAACCTAACGCCCAAAGACGCCAATTCACCACTAAATGCCGATAAGCCACTGCAGTACCCTAATATAAGCAGCGGACGGTGTCACCTATATTCCGATGAATCGCTCAATCGATTTTATGTCACAAAGGAGAATAAAATAACTAAATAGAAATATGGGTACTATATACGGTCTGGTGTAGTGGTAAGTGACATGGTCACTACACAAGGGGTACTGAAGGGGTCGCGGGTTCTAATCCCGCTAAAGGAAGATATTTGTATGATAAATATAAATGTATTTTCCAGGGTTATGGATGTATATTAAATATATGTACGTGTATAATAAAAATCTTACATTTATTTCCGTTATCTGGTACCTGTAACACAAGTTCTTTACGAACTTAGCACGGGACCAGTTAACGTGGCGTGATTGTTATTAAATATTTATTTATTTATTTATATACCATTCATATTACTTTAAATGGTGGGAAACGACCTCTAGGACTCTATGGAGTGGAATAATTACTAGGCCCTCACAAATGGGAATGCTACCGATTAATTACCTTGAAGCGAATAAATTGCGCAAGGATGGTCACCCCGGCGGACATGTGCGGGAAATTAGAAGAGACCAGGATTTTTTTATGTGACCAATGATTGAGTCATACCTTCCATACGCAAATCTCCTGTCCTTTTCGTGATCGCCGAATGTGTCCCACAAACGCAACGACACGTTCACTCCGTCGACCATTTCCCAGGATCTTTCTAATACCTGACGAATACATATTTTGAGGTACTCTGCCTAGTTTTTAGTTATCAAGGATTCTAAATACAATTCTAGATTACACAATGAAAGCATTGGTTAATACGGATCGACTATCGCTCTTACGAATTGAAGGCTGTTGATTGCTGTTAATTGGCCTCACGCAGTGTACTCATGAATTAGCTCTGTGAAATCGTTTGACATGATTCCGTTATCTAATTTTTACCATCGCATCACCCCCCATCAGAACACAATTAATCATACTACGAGGAATCGATGCGTTTTCCCAAAGTTCTTCTTCAGAGATAATTCTTGCCAAGTACCCTCTGTCTGAAAGAGCTCTTCTCAAACTCTCTTATCCGAACGCTGGAACACGTCTTGTTCGAACGAGGTTTGAAAGATAGTGTCAAGCCGCGGGAGGCAGCATCCAAAGGTGACTGAAACCACTTAATCCGTACTCTCTACTGCGATTTAAGACATTATGAAAATGAGTCTCTTAGTCTCTTTTGCCAATGGCAATAAAAATAGAGATCTTTATTTTTACTGTTTTCTAAAACCTTATTACGACAAGACAAAAGTCACTGATAGGGATTTAAATAAAATCTGCTCGTCTCTGATTCATACTCACGTCCTTGTAAATCCTGTACTGGTCAATGGCCCACACGGTAGGGACATGAGTGGTCATTAACTGCGACAGTGAAACGTGTTTGTTGCAAGCCCTGGCGCATATTAAGCGCGTCTTCCCCACGGCCGTGTCTCCGACCACCACGCATTTCACCAGTTCTTGATGCGGTTGCTCGTTGTCCATGTTCTTGGTCCGCAGACTTTTAACCAGATCTACCGGACGAAAGACGAGCGACTTGTATATTTGCTCATACAAGATATCTAGATAATTCTGAACAAATACGATTTTTATTTATACAATTTAAATTCAAATAAAATGTTCTACTCCGTGATCCCAGTCCATATCTTTTTTTCTATTTTTTTTATATGAATTAGATATTACTGGGGGCCCAGAGGCCTTTCTAGTTTCACTAGGAGATGTGTGCGAGCAAGGGCTCAGCCAAGAAGACTGGAATTTGCTAACAGCTACCCGAGCGCCTCCGAAGGAGACCTAACAACTCAAAAGCAGCTGAATCTACTACCGGATAGGAATCGCGACCCGTTGAGAAGATCCGGCGACTTAGAGGGCTGATGTTTAGGTTAGGTTGCACGTCGACCTCTTTGCCGAGTTCGACGAGTACGGTTACCGGAGTCTTTGCTCCTAGTGTTAGAGCTAAAGGCGTCTAATGCAACGGTTATTGGATCTGATGGATCCGTAAGGACGTGTCTAGTGCACCCAGTTCATAACGTCTACACCCCTTGCGCTATTATTTGGGGTACGTGTAAGCGTCCGCCAGTGACTACAGTAGATTCAAAACTAGTGCCATACATAATTAATTGCAGTTTGCACGCTTGAAATAATAAGTTCTGAGACTCAATAGTGCGGCATATCGGCTCTATGTTGCTTTGTTTTGTGGCATAGGTAATCAAAATACATTCCACCACTATTGAACAACAAAATCGGACAATGACATGTAAATCCGTCCAGTTTCGCGATACCCTTTTATCTATAGAATTTAATAGGTTTATGTCTATTATCTATGGTAGAAGTAAAGTGTCATAAAAAATGATAGTACCATAAAAAATTTTGACGTACGACCTATAAGTGACAACAATGATTTATGTACGTCAAAGTGACATTTTTTCGCGTGCTTTGTAAGCGATAGCGTTATGCTTTCAAAAGCTGTTCTGTTTTGATTTTCTTTGATTTGTTTAGTAGAACACAGAAGAAGACTTAAAGCAAACTTCTGAAATATGCCACAAATATGTAAATAGGAATGATCGTCAATAGAAAATACATAATTAAATCGGTTCGATAGATCTTGTATGGAATACGCTAAACAAAAAAACCGAATAGTATCGAAGTTCGATTGAATTGCTTTGTTTTCGAACCAAACCTATATAAAGCTTCAATTTTAGCTTCAGCCTTAGAATACATAATCCACAAAAGCGTAACGAATTCTTTCTTGGGATAAAAAGCCTGAATTCCTAAAACATATTACAGATAAAATTTAATATCGACATAATCATCGATATTATTATCATATTATTACCGATAGATTCAGTCTCCCGCATTATAACCTAAAAGCAGTCCAAAGTTGATTTTACGTATTTATCAACTTTTTTTTTTTATTGCTTAGATGGGTATAAGAGGTCACAGTCCACCTGGTGTTAAGTGGTTACTGGAGCCCATAGACATCTACAACGTAAATGCGCCACCCACCTTGAGATATAAGTTCTAAGGTCTCTCAGTATAGCTACGACTACCCCACGCTTCAAACCCAAATGCATTACTGCTTCACGGCAGAAATAGTCAGGGTGGTGGTATCCACCCGTGTGGACTAATTACGCAAAAATCATGACTAAAAAATCATGAATCAATAAAGTATTTTGGGTGACTTTGATGTGTTTCGTGTGACTTGTCACGTGCAGCTTAACAATGAACTGAGTGTCATAGGCAAGCCACTCCCTTCAACTGGATTTAATTATTTTTTCCCCTTCCTGTACGCTGATAGCTTAAGGAGCTATTCCGGCTACACGCGGACGCAATTTATTGGTGGTAGCACCTCTTGTGAGTCCGCGCGGGTGGGTACTACCACCCTGCCTATTTCTGCCGTGAAAGCAGTAATGCGTTTCGGTTTGAAGGGTGGGGCAGCCGTTGTAAACTATACTTGAGACCTTAGAACTTATATCTCGAGGTGGGTGGCGCATTTACGTTGAAGATGTCTGTGGGCTCCAGTAACCACTTAATACCAGGTGGGCTGTGAGCTCGTCCATCCACCTAAGCAATAAAAATAAAAATAAAAAACGGAAGGATAATTATGTGTATTAATAATGTACGTATTTATCAGTGAGATTAATCAATAATGTAAAAATATTGCAGCTTACAAAGAGCCAATCGTGAATCAAACAAATGAATAAAGTAAATAGTAAATATAATATTTAACTAAGTGGGTAACAAAAATTTGTTTAAAAATATCATTTAATAAAAAAAAAGATGTGTGGTGTCGTGGGACACCGGATAGAAACGAAGTTTCTTATTATAAAAATATTAATTTTAAGTTCTATTCGAGGTATAAAGGAAATAAAACTGGAGGCTTCGCAACAACCCACGGTCATTCGGTAACGTGCGAACTTATTGTGGTACACTTCATTCACGGTTGTTTTCATAAAAGTTAGTGTATTGCGCAAACGAACGCTCTAAGGTCGTGGTCAATGAATGATAAAAATTAAAAAAATATGTTATTTTTTGTACGTTATTACAAAGTTAAGTCGTACACTGTGTGCATTACCAATAAAAATCTTATGTTACGGACGGTTCCTTATGAGACGGTTACGGTTAAGTTACCCCTCCGCATCGTCCCATAAGGAACTTCGTTCCAAAAACATTCAAAATGCGTATACTAAATGTAAACAAACAAATGTCATTTGAGTTTGTTTGTTTTGGCATTTTGTCATTTGATAAACTTAAGCAGTTGTCAAATTAATTTGACATTTATCAATGACACCGTCTCAGAAATAATTCGGGACGTATTCAAACCGGTGACATAAAAAGTTTTAAACGTCTCATTGAATAAATTTGTAAATTTCCACAATAATATCACTGTTTAAAAACGTACGTATTGCTTTCGTAAAAAAAACCTAAAAAAAAATTGGTTTAATAGCAAATACCAAATACTAAAATACTAAATCGAAGCGTTTCTATACCTAAAGATCGTAAAAGTGAATTGTCGTAAAATAGCTCAGAGCTACGAGGCACATTTTTATGACTTTGCATATTTTCCATTTTATGCCTCTTCATCGTAAGCCGACTTGAATATGGATACTGAAAAAGATCATATCTCGCTTGCCATGCAAACGAATTTAATATTTAATGCAAATAAAATGTTATAGTTAATAATTTAAACTAGGTTTTACAATTTACTGACCTGTGTTTCTGTTGTCTGATAAAACTTCTTTACTTAACAGAGAACTGATACAGTTGTCTCTTCGGCTATTTAATTTTGTTGATGCATTAAACACAAAAACAATCTCACATAGCTCACGTTCACTTTGCACTATGACCTTAACAGAAGAAGCTGCATCTTATTTACGTAAAACAATTGAAAATTAATAAATTATTATCACATTCCCCTCAGCTTACAGACCACGGAGTGAGTTTGTAGCAATGCAGTGATCTGCGCATGTAGACCTTTTGCGCAGACGTAAGTATGTTCGCTAGTGGCGGCCTCTAACGGGCCCCGACGGCGGATCCTTTTGCTTTACAATCTACAGATGTCAATGAACTAATAATTTAAATGAATATTTGGACGAAACGGGCACTTTGATTTCGTGGACAATAACCCCGTGTTTACTTTAATATCTCCTAATGAAATGTTTCCTGCAGACTGTTCAGACTACGCTATAATATAATAGCGTGCAGTATATAGCTCATAGCACAACAATATCGTGCAGTATACATTGTTATGGACGCGTTCACACTGTACTGTACTATATATTATTGGACAACTATACGCTGCTATACTATAGCACTATAGTATAGCGTAGTCTGAAAGCAGCTTTATAATACACTAGCGACCCGCCCTCGCTTCGCTTCGGAAACTGTAAGTTGATTTCTCCACTATTTAATGGATGTTATTATACCTTCCTCTTCAATCACTCTATCTATAAAAAAAACGAATCAAAATCCGTTGCGTAGTTTTAAAGATTTAAGCATACATAGGGATATAGGGACAGAGAAAGCGACTTTGTTTTATACTGTGTAGTGATGAGTACATTCAAATTTATATAAAATTGTTCACGGAAGTTAAATTCATAAATTGAAATAAATAATAGGCCCTTGTACGCAGACGAGCATATGACCTATCTGATAGTGAGTGGTTACCGTCGCCCATGGACTTCAGCAATGCCAGAGACAGAGCCAAGCTGCTGCTTACCGAAAAGCCACTGCCTACCTAATTTCCTATGATCCAAACATCAGTTAATGATCAGTACGCCATTACGTTTGTGCAAATAGTATTAATGCATGTTTTTTTTAAGTGATTTTATGACCTGGTAACTAAGACCGTCATATCTTATTTTAATTGATATACTTAATTTTATAAAAATGATAATATGGAGTAAAATGAAATGAAATGAGACATGAATCAACTGGGATGAAATTAAATAAAACGAGATGATATGGGATGAAATACCTCCTCCTTGCGTCGTATTCCTCATTGCTGAGGGTCGTGACCACCCTTTTGTCTGGGATGAAATACAATCTTAGTAAAATGGTGGTCATTTATTAAGATTTTTTCAATAAACTTTTTAGAGGATCCCGAGAAGTTACGTCCAGCGGCTTTGTTTCATTTTCCCACATTTGTGCACATTTACAGATATTAAACGGTTAACAAACCACCGTTATTACACATTTAAACCTGAAGAAACACTAAAAATACAAAATCAAACAAATCACACAACTTCACTCATCGCCTTCCCGCCAAAAAGTCTATTAATGCATCTAAAGCCTAAGCATAGATAATTGAGGTAAATTCAATATGGACAAACAATGACAGAACCTAAATCGGTTCTAAGTTTCAATATAACGATGTCATATTTTTCATTGTTGTTCAAATCAAAGAAATACGACAATGGCGGGCTGGCGGGATCTATCCCGAATAATCTGACACAAATCGAGGAGACCACAAAACATATTAGTTTCAAAACAAACTTCACGGTGTACATGCGACAGCTCTGCCCTGATGGGACCAGCGTTTCGAACTTCTTCATACATCTAAGTCCTCAGCAGGCCATACCCAGAGTCATATGCAATACGATAGCCGGCTTCACGGCCGGAATTATCATGACGTACTTTTGCTACTCGTTTTTGGTTTATCAGCTGTCCCTGTCGTTGTTTCACGCGACCGTCATTAGTTCGGTTGTCGGTGTGTTGCTGACCATGGGCCTGGGCTTTAGCTATAGGATTAGGTGAGTTTTAAGTAGTTTAAATCGTGAATATCTAGATAGATATATTATGTTTTATCGCTTTCAGAGACAAATCTTGCTAAGCGTCGTTGTAACACTTACTGAAAGCGCCTAATGTAGGTATAAAAACAGATTTAGAACCCGTGTTTCCAGGTAGCTTGCGGAATTAACGCTGTTGATGTCCATGGGCTCTGGTAACTCCTTAACAACCTTTGGGCTGCAATATCGATTATACAATGACTTGTCAGCCATAAAAAAAACTTTTTTCTTACCTAATCATTGGTAGTCTAAGGGGCTTTTCAGCTTTTTTTTATTGCTTAGATGGGTGGACAAGCTCACAGCCCATCTGGTGTTAAGTGGTTACTGGAGCCCATAAACATCTACAACGTAAATGCGCCACCCATCTTGTGATATAAGATCTAAGGTCTCAGTATAGTTACAACGGCTGCCCCACCCTTCAAACCGAAACCCGTTACTGCTTCACGGCAGAAATAGGCGGGGTGGTGGTAAGGAATAAATACGAAATCTCCGAATTTTGGATTTTTTTTATTGCCCTTGTACGCAAACGAGCATACGGCCCACCTGATGGTGAGTGGCTACCTTCGCCCATGGACTTCAGCAATGCCAGGGGCAGAGCCAAGCCGCTGCCTACCGCTTAATACTCTCCACAAGCCTCGTTTGAAGAAGGACATATCATAGCGCTCGGGAAACACCGTGGAGGGGAGCTCATTCCATAGCCGGATGGTACGTGGCAAAAAAGACCTCTGGAAACGCACTGTGGATGACCGCAGTGGCTCCAGGTAGTATGGATGAACTTTACTCCGGCGGCGGGCGGTGCGATGGTAAAAACGAGATGCCGGTATCATCTCGAACAATTCCTCAGAGCACTCCCCATGGAACGTACGCTACAAAATACAGAGAGAACCGAAGTCCCTCCGTAGACCCGGAGGTCCCAAACGATCCGTGAATTTTCCAGATGTCTAACGTTTTTGCTCATACCACAAATGTTCTCGAGGGCTGGACGGTACACGTTGACTTGTTATGCTCTCGTACTGATTCTGACTGGTCCAGCCGCAAATACCTTGAGGAATGCCGAAGTATTAACCGAATCAATGGCTTGCAGTCAGGTTGTAATGAAATTAATTGTACTATTACATAATATAAAAAAATAAATAAATAAAAAATTTACGGTAGGCAGCGGCTTGCCTATGCTCGTGGCATTGCTGACGTCGATGAGTGACGGTAACCACTCACCATCATCAGTTGGGTCGTATGCTCGTCCTTTTTTTTTATTGCTTAGATATGTGGACGAGCTCACAGCCCACCTGGTGATAAGTGGTTACTGGAGACCATAGATATTTACAACGTAAATGCGCCACCCACCTTAAGTGTATAAGTTCTAAGCTCTCAGTATATTTACAACGGCTGCCCCACTCTTCAAACCCTTCAAACCGAAAAATAGGCGGGGTAGTGGTACCTACCCGTGGGGACTCACATGAGGTCTTAACACCAGGTGGGCTGTGAGCTCGTCCACCCATCTAAGCAATAAAAAAAAAAAACAAAAAAACATAATTTACTAGTTAAAACCTTACAGGAACAACTGAAAATGGCTGTACGATATTTCGATTGCTTTCGGAAACCTAGCAACGTGTTGAGAGAGAGCATCGATCAAATAATGAATAGAATGCAAAATATAACAAACGTTGTGGTCGAATCTGTTGATAAAATCAACAAATTGATGTTCTGCATAGGTACTGTAACATTAATATTACCGTTCTATGCTGAGAATATGATGGAAGGTGGCTTTGATGTTTCGCTATTGAAGCAGTGGCTTCTGAACCCGGCTTTGGAATGAGCTCCCATCCACGTTTTTTTCCCGAGCGCTATGACACGTTTTTTTTTTTCATGCCCTTGTAGGCAGACGAGCATATAGCCCACCTGATGGTGAGTGGTTACCGTCGCCCATGGACTTCAGCAATGCCAGGAACAGAGCCAAGCCGCTGCCAACTTGTCCAGGTTTTTTACTGGTGGTAGGACTTCTTGTGAGTCCGCGCGGGTAGGTACCACCACCCTGCCTATTTCTGCCGTGAAGCAGTAATGCGTTTCGGTTTGAAGGGTAGGGCAGCCGTTGTAACTATACTGAGACCTTAGAACTTATATCTCAAGGTGGGTGGCGCATTTACGTTGTGGATGTCTATGGGCCCCAGTAACCACTTAACACCAAGTGGGCTGTGAGCTCGTCCACCCTTCTAGCAATAAAAAAGGTCCTTCTTCAAACGAGCATTGCGATGAATACTTATCGGTGGGCAGTGGCTTGGCTGGCATTGCTGAAGTCCATGGGCGACGGTAACCACTCACCATCAGGTGGCCCGTGTGCTCGCCCGCCTACAAGTTCAATAAAAAAAGTTACGCAAACCATTTTTTTTGTTTTATTAAAACACAAAGGAATTTTATACTACATAATTTATTGGAGAAGTTCTAGGCATTGGCATGTGCTTTATTCTCAAGGAACACGCTCGATAAAGCGAAGGGCAATATTCAATTATATATTGTTGTTTTTTTTATAATAATAATTCAGCATTTTAATGACGTCGATTGATAAAGTAATGTTATAATCGAAGAGTACAATACTATAATAGACATGACGTATTTTGAGCTCGCGAATAATATAGGTAGTATCATTCTGGCAAGTTCTGCCGTGAAGCAGTCATGCGTTCCAGTTCTTAATGTAGGTCAGCCTTTATACAATACTAGCGGCCAAACCCGGCACCGCTCGGGTCTTTAACAAAAATTTCAACGATGTTTGACGTTGTTTTATTTTTTTTAAATAAAAGAACACTTATTGCGGCACAACTATAATAGTTAGACATATGCTGTCGCGATACTTTTTGTAAACTGTAACTTTTTGTGTTCTACAAAGTCGTAGTACATTATTTTATTCTATCATCAATAGCTTTCGCAGGGCACGCGATGTGAAAAATATTTTAGGTGATTTTTTTACACTTTGGGTTACATTATTGGAGTTTTAGTAAGGATCCCTAATTTTTTTCAAAAAAGGATATAGCCTATGTCACTGGGGAATAATGTAGCTTCCAAACAGTGAAAGAATTTTTCAAATCGGTTCAGTAGTTTCTGAGCCTATTCAATACAAACAAACAAACAAATCTTTCCTCTTTATAGTATTAGTATAGACAATTTAAGATCGTATCTCACTCATATTGTGATTTTTTTTTTATTGCTTAGATGAGTGGACGAGCTCACAGCCCACCTGGTGTTAAGCGGTTACTGGAGCCCATAGACATCTACAACGTAAATACGCCATCCACCTTGAGATATGAGTTCTAAGGTCTCAGTATAGTTACAGCGTTAATCTTATTTTCAATTATTCCAGTCGACTCCTTGCGCTCATCCGTGTCATGGTTGGAATCAGAAGCGAATTATTGCAATGAAAAGCTTGGAACGCCTCACAGGCGATGTCTTGAGGCAATGAAGAAGAATGCGAACGAATACAAATTCATTGATGCGAATATTTGTGAGAATTTAAGGAATGTTCAGAATTTATGTGACGTTGAGGATTCCATTGATGATTCTGTATTAGCTACTATTAAGAGAAGTTACGATATATTTATATGATTTTTTATTAAATATTCGAATGCGTCATGTAAATGTAGACTTTTTTTTCCTATCTATGCTGATAGCCTTGAGAGGCTATATCAGCTTCGCCCTAACATGCAGGTGAGCTCACGGGGCTCAAACCGGAGTGGCGCTAACACTGGCCCTAGCAAGAGCAGTGCTTCGCAGAATCTACCACCGGATCGGAAACGCGACCCACTGAGAAGATCCGGTGAGAAACTCGGTGGGCTGTGTCTGTGGGTTGATTCGCTCGTCGAGCCCTAAAAGCACCGTTAATTGATCGGGAGGATCCGTAATGACGTGATGTAGACGTGATTTTTTGTTCAGGAATGAGAAAGTTCTCGGAACGCGTTCGGGTCATGCTCAAAACGAATGTGGACCTCCGTCACGTGTATTCGGTAGCGAACAACGCTAGTCTGACGGCGAGTCAAGTCGCTGCCGGCATCGTTACAGAGATGAGGAACAAAGCTGATCCTTTATTGACTTGGCTGTCCTGGAGCTCGTTTGTGACCAGCCTATTCTTATTGTTAATTATCATCAGGTTAGAATTTTGCAGTACTTTATCTAGCTATTTAAGTTTTTATAGCCCTTTTTATGAGCCCTTTTTATGAGCCTGCTACTTCTACTACGGACGAGTGGTACGGGGACTGGTGGTAAGACATTTTGTGAGTCCGCACGGTTAGGTACCACCACCCTGCCTATTTTTGCCGTAAAATAGTGATGCGTTTCGGTTTGAAGTGCGGGGCAGCCGTTGTACTGTAAAAACTGAGACCTTAGAACTATTATTCCAAGCTAGGTGGCGACATTTACCTTGTAAATATCTTTACTTGGGTAACAGCTTTGTATCAGGTGGGCCGTGAGCTCGTCCACCCACTTAAGCAATAAAAAAGCTTGAAGCTTGTAGCTTGAAGAGGCCAAGGCCATGTTGGTCGATTTGGTTTTTATTGTTTCGGAAGATACCTTTATTGTTAACGAAAACATTGACTTATGTCTGAAATATCAGATTAGTATCCGCAATTTCTTGCTAGGCCAGATGTGAGCGAAGTTTTCCAGACTAAGCCCCACGAGCTCATCTACGCGTTCGTTGAAGCTAGCATAACCCATCGAGGCTACTAGCAATGAATAATAAAGAAAATACCACAATAATTGCTTAATGCCAAAGTATTTGAGGCTGTATGCTCATTTATACTCATGAATAAGTGGATAATTAACCTTTTTTTTCCTACTACGCTGATAGCCTTGAGGCTATATCAGCGTCGCCTTAACTAGTAGGTGAGCTCACGGGGCTCAAACCTGATGACGTTGCTAACACGAACCCTAGCAAGAGCCGTGCTTCGCAGAGTCTACCACCGTATCGGAAACGCGACCCACTGAGAAGATCCGGCGAGAAACTCAGTGGGCTGTGTCTCAGGGTTAATTTACTCGTCGAGCTCTTCGGGTTCGACGAGAACGATGACCGGAAATTAACCGTTACACTACTATACAACTAGATAAAAATACATCAACCGTCTTCTCCATTAAAACCGCGTTCACTTTTCCAAAACACACCGCTTTATAGCATTATAGATAAGACCAAACTTTTCTATTTTTAGAGCAAAATACTATCAGAACATGTACGAAACAAGATCTAGATTCGACAACAGGTATATAACAAAGGAACTGCTTGAAATAGATTCAAAAAGAAGACAGGAAGGAAGGAAAAACGTTCTACCGTTGCATAGGCGTGAGAGAGATAAATATATCGCCGTAAGTTTCGACCTACCTAAGATACACTGTTTATATTAAACAAAACACAGCAGTTTCTTTTTCAGCAGGGATTTTTACGAAGAACGGCTTAAAGATGGTGCTAGAGTTCGCGCAGCTTATTTTTGTTTTTTCCTGTAGATTAGTTTACTTACAATCTTTTTTGTAAAGTAAAGTCGCGTGCAAGAAGCATTTTCGTGGCTACACGTTCTTTTCGTTATAAGTGTAAAAAATTCTTGTTTCTCATTTAAGCTCCTTGTGTGTTCGGTTCATATTATGATTTTACTACCGACTAAACATTCAATATACTTAAGAAAAGATTCATCCTTCATCAATGTATTATTTTATTAGATTTTTCGACATAAACCTGCTGTCGACATTTCATCATATTCCATATCGTTTGAAAGTGTCACCTAATGGCGAACCTAGTTTTTTTTTGCAAACAACATTAATATTATTTTTTATTTTTGGCATTAAAACCCTTTTAACTATCTTGTCACACAAACAATGAAGGCAACAGCCTACAATAACAAAATATTTTAAGACTCTTTTACAGAAAATCGTGATGCTACGCTCGGCTAATAACTTAATACCTTGCTGAATTCATTTTATACCTTTGAACTTGAACCGTTTAGTGGTAGCACCTACAATGCTGGAAATGGAGCAAAAATATTGTTTACTTTGACGATATTCTGATTTTTGCAGACGACTTCGCTACGATTGATGCAATCAGAAAAAGTAAATTGGAATCGTTCAGTTATTTTCATGATAATAACAACATTCAAGCTAATGATTCATATAACAGCGGATTACAGTTTATATTGGGTGTTAACGTTAATACGTCATCATGAGAGTCGTCAGACGCCAGTCGAAGGTTAGGTATTAGATATCAAACATTACGGACTTTTTGGCGGGAACGCGATGAGTGAAGTTGTGTGATTTGTTTTATTTTGTCTATTTAGTGTTTCTTCAGGCTTTAATGTGTAATAACGGTGGTTTATTAACCGTTTAATATCTTTGAAAGAGCACAAATGTGGGAAAATGAAACGAAGCCGCTGGTCGTAACTTCTCGCGATCCTCCAGAGTCCACTGAAAAAATCTCAGTAAATGGCAACCATTTTACTGAGACTATATTTCATCCCATATCATCTCATTTCATTTAATTTCATCCCAGTTGATTGATGTCTCAAATTAATCATCTTCATTTCATTTCACTCCATATTATTATTTTCATAAAAAATAAGAATATAAATTAAAATAAAACATGACCTAAAGGTCTTAGTTACCAGGTCATAAAATCCCTAAAAAAAATCAAACATTACATATCAACAACACAGTGAAAAAACCTCGACTGAATGGCAAAAATAGATACAGCATTGCACGGACTGTATTTTTTCCTTTTTCAGAAAGTATAACAGATCTGGGAATAAAAGTCTTTGGATCAGGATTCGTAGCCAGATTCCTAAAGTCTATATTGGATGCATTATGTATTCCATTGCATCCTCCCGTTTCTGTGCCTTCATCGTGCTTGCCAAGTCCACATCCACCGGACTTCCGACGATATATGCAGATTGGTAACTTTTTTTAAATCTCTTTAACATATTTTTATAGATGACTAGCTGACCCGGCAGACTTCGTAGTGCCTGAATCGATAAATAAAAGACCTCAACTTTTGTATAAAATAAATTTAAAATGAACAAAAGGAATCCGTCCAACACGGGGGGGGCATCAAAGGAAAAAGCAAAATGGTTATTTTTATTTAATTCCCAGTATTTTCATATTTATTTACCTTTTAAACATTCTCTGGACTTCCACAAATAATTCAAGACCAAAATTAGCCAAATCGGTCCAGCCGTTCTCGAGTTTTAGCGAGACTAACGAACAGAAATTCATTTTTATATTATATTTATAGATAATGATCTTTTGACACAGCTTTCTCGTTTATCTAATCTGAAATAGGCTTCATACAACGTATGATTTTTTTTATAGCTAACTGTTAAGGTACCTACAAGTTTTTGGTAAAAGCGTCATGCATTTTCACTTGTTTGTACGGATTAATAGTACCCGCTTTTTGGTCCTAGGTTTCTTGATATTGTTGCTTTGGTTTTTCGCACTGTTTGAGCCGTATGGTCTTCGGTTGCGGCACATGATAATGGCTCATTACCGACCAGAAAGGGCTGAGGCGAGGGCGATGTGGCTTTACAATCACTTGCTGAGAACTCGAGGTATGGGTTGTTGGGACTTCCTTTTCCTTATTCCTTCCTCAATCCCAGTGGCGGATTAAAAGTCCAGAGCGACCTAGGCAATCACTGTATCGGCGCCCCTGGACCGGCCATAAATGGCCATCATAATACTATAAATTTTAACTAGTTGTTTTTGCTACGATGACGTTGTATCATCAAATCCTAGACTTTAGTAGACCAAGACCCTTGTACTTACTCTAATGCGCGAATGAAATACCACGTTATAACTGTGAAGAAATCAAGAGGTACGGCAGAAGATTTAGATTATAGATCAGCATTTAGCTCTTAATCGTCGATATGTGAGTCGTCTATTATCAAAGTTGGCAATCTGTGCATTTGGACAAAAAAATGTTATTAATATGTCAATACAGATTGATTTGAATATAATCGTCTCCTTCAAAGAATACGGTTCAAAACCTGCATTAAATAAAGGTTAATACTTAACCTTATAACGCGACGGGACATTTCCGAACGCACCCTTAATTCCCATCAGCGCGTTCCTCGGAACGCGCCTCAACCGGCCGTGATTGGTCCGCGACCGCGCCGCCATCGCAAGCCGCCACTGCGCTTGCGCATTATGGACTGACGCCGACGCGCAAAAACGTTCTCCATTTTTTGTATTATAAGTATTATTGTTGTTGCGACTTGTGTGTGCGCGTGCGCTTATAGTAAGATTGATTTAAAGTGTTTGTTTTAAAGTTAATCATAATCATTAAACCTCTCGAACGATTATTCGACGTTTTATTCCAAAGTAACCCACGAAACACTCATGAACATTAAAAATGGACGCCCAACTAGTGGCTTTGGAATAAACGAAGTGTGAACTCTTTGTGAATCGAACTGTGAGAAGTGACTATCGTACAAAATGACAAAGCCGCGCACACGTCGTCAGTCTCGTCGACAATCCGAGTATTTCGAACCGACAGAGGACGATTCTTCCCCGCCGCCGACTGCATCGGGAAACATTTCCGTCAACGACATGGTCGCCATGATGTCTACGTGGCAACGCAACCAAGAGGAAACGTTTGAGAAACTTCTACATACAGTTCTCAACCAATCGCACCGGTCATCGCCGCCGCCCGCTCAACCTGCACTTGGAAACTTCGCCTCGTGCAAGGCTCGCTACAGCGGAGCGCCAGACGAATCACTNGCCAAGCTTCTTATAGAGGAATACTTCCTCAGATATGGATTGCCACGTCGAGTTGTGTCCGATAACGGGACTCAATTCATATCCTCAGTGATGCAACTTTCAATGTTTATTTTAGGTATTAAACAAGAGCTCATCCCAGTTTACCACCCTGAGGCTAATCCCGTCGAACGCAAGAATCGGGATCTCAAAGTACAACTGTCTTTATTAGTAAAAACCGAGCACCGGAACTGGCCTAAATATCTTGCCCATGTTCGGTTCGCTATGAACAGCGCCGTCTGTTCCACCACTGGGAAGACTCCAGCCTTTTTAACGTTCGCACGCGAGCTTCGCACACCTTATGAGATGCACCATGATTTACGTGCAATCTTAGATAAAGAGAACTTCGTTCCTTCGGCCACTCCATATTTGCGCTCCTTCATACGTACCCTACAGGATATTCGTGATCGTGTTGAGAAGAAGCAAGATCAGCGTAAGGAGATAGGTGATACTGCACGCCGTCCTATGCCTCCTTATAAAGAAAATGATTTGGTCTTGGTCAAAACCCACGCACTGAGCAATGCCTCGAAAGGAACTACCAGCAAATTCATGCCAAAACGAGATGGCCCATATCGCGTTAAACGTGTTATAACTCCCACTACCTTTATACTCGCTAATTTGACTGACGACGACACTGTCATAGGAAAATACCACAGTTCGGACCTGACCCCCTTTACTCAAACGTCTGATACCACACCCATTGTTCCAAAGAAAGGTAGGGGTAGGCCGCGTATTAAACCGTCAGATACCAAGTTGGACCCGGGACGTGCTACCAACTTGGAGGGGGAGCCTATAACGCGACGGGACATTTCCGAACGCACCCTTAATTCCCATCAGCGCGTTCCTCGGAACGCGCCTCAACCGGCCGTGATTGGTCCGCGACCGCGCCGCCATCGCAAGCCGCCACTGCGCTTGCGCATTATGGACTGACGCCGACGCGCAAAAACGTTCTCCATTTTTTGTATTATAAGTATTATTGTTGTTGCGACTTGTGTGTGCGCGTGCGCTTATAGTAAGATTGATTTAAAGTGTTTGTTTTAAAGTTAATCATAATCATTAAACCTCTCGAACGATTATTCGACGTTTTATTCCAAAGTAACCCACGAAACACTCATGAACATTAAAACCTGTTATTTATCTAAGATGTCGTTCAGAAGAGTTTTGTGACTGCCAATGGAATAAAAAGTCAATAATTCGTTTTTCTGATTTACCAATAATTGTCCAAAAGTCAGATTGCCGGCTTTGATAATAGTCGACTCATGTTACTTTCTTTATTTATTAAAAAATTCTGAGCTCGCGCACCCCTTGTAACTACGCGCCTCTAGGCGCGTGCCTAGTTGCCTTACGGATAATCCGCCTTTGCTCAATCCCCTATCCACGCCATCTGTTGACGCTACAAAAAAAAATACGCGTGTGAAAATGGCGCGAAAAGAGTGAAAAAAAAACTACAACATGGTGCCGCCGGTGCAAAAACAATAAAATTGTAATTTGTTGATCAATCAGCACATATAACTGTCGCCAGTGAGAAAATAGAATAGTGCATCAACGTGCTACGGAGTGAGTCCTAAAACTTATCCTTTTCCCAGTCCCAAACATATCTAAATTCAAAACACGGGTACCAATATTACTGAATCCTGAATTACATTTAGTATTAACTTCAGCGTGACTTCAGACTCCGACAATATTTGAATATTAACGTTCTACATGGATAAAGATGTTTAGGAACATTCTGATCGTAGATGCTATGCTTTCCAACGCTTCAGCTTTGAAATGATATCCAATGATAGAAGATTGCACAAATAAAAGTGGGAATGAGTTGCTCGCTCCGGACATTTCAATATTGCAATAATCGTTACGTTATAATACTCCTTGTAAAAATGAATATTTAAAAAAAAAGAGACATACCTGCTGAGTTTCTTGCCAGTTCTTCTCAGGACGGAGGCTAGTTTTTGTGAATTGGCGGTAGTTCTTTTGACGTTCAACAAGTATGTACTTTCATTTAGATTGAATAAACATTTTTCGATTTGATTTGATTTGATTTGAATGCGTAAAAGAGGTACAATCTTTTGTTTCGAAATGTGGCGAAAACATTCCTGCTAAACTGTTTGTGGGTTACGAATAGTAAATCCATAAAAGCAACGATAATTATTCATCTAGAATACAATTTCAATTTACTTTTAGAGTAAATTACATTGAAAACATAGAATGATTTTGTATTCTGTACAAACTCAATGGACGCAAAGGACTTTTTATACGTTTTCCTGAATAAACTATTACTGCAATAAATGTTATCATGTAATGCAATATGTTGCTTTTAAGGTACTTTCATAAAGTTTGCAAGACGGAAATTACACAAGGAACATAAATATAACAAGCAGAATGAACTGACGTTCCGTGAATGGCTTCAGAAACGTGTGCCGTTAGTATAATAATAATTAATCTACCTATATTAATTTTAGGAATTTTGGAGTAAATTTATTCTCTCATGGCATGGCGAGCTCACAGCCCACCTGGAGTGAAGTCGTTACTGGAGCCCATAGACATCTACAACGTAAATGCGCCACTCACCTAGAGATATAAGTTCTAAGGTCTCAGTATAGTTACAACGGCTGCCCCACCCTTCAAACCGAAACGCATTAAGAGAAATAAATAACCGCCCAAAACATGTCATTTCGGATCCTCCCTATTCACTAACGGTGTTTTTAGGTACCTCAAGCACCGGTCATCGTCCTCGTCGAACCCGTCGCTTGCGACGAAGGGCTCGACGAGTAAATTAACTCACAGACACATCCCACTAAGTTTCTCGCCGGATCTTCTCAGTGGCTCGCGTTTCCGACCCGGTGGTAGATTCTGCGAAGCACGGCTCTTGCTAGGGTTCGTGTAAGCAACATCGTCAGGTTTGAGCCCCGTGAGCTCACCTACTTGTTAAGGTTACGCTGAAATAGCCTCTCAAAGCTATCAGCTTTGGTAGGATAAAAAAAAAACTAAACTTTCTAGACACGCGTTTTAGAGCGTCTTTAGATATTTTAACGAATGCATACGCCAAACCTCAGTTCCCGAATTATGGAGAGCCGCTGTCAAGGATATAATAAACAAGGTTTCCACATAGCCACGACTGTCCTGCCAAGAGTAACTAGCTATGATGATGATAGGTCTTCTGCTAAATTTGACGTTAATAAGCGACGGTAACCCCTCACCATCAAGTGGTCCATAGCCTTCACGGGCTTTTTTTTTATTGCTTAGATGGGTGGACAAGCTGACAGCCCACCTGGTGTTAAGTTGTTACTGGAGCCCATAGACATCTACGACGTAAATGCGCCACCGACCTTGAGATATAAGTTCTAAGGTCTCAGTGTAGTTACAACGGCTACCCGACCCTTCAAACCGAAACGCATTATTGCTTCACGGCAGAAATAGGCGAGGCGGTGGTACCTACCCGTGCGGACTCACAGGTCCTACCACCAGTAGGCTATAAAAAAACCACAGCTAATAGTCAAGTCACTGTATGAAATCACCCGTTTGCAGATTTCATTTTCTCCTTCGCATACTCGGATTAGGTTCGGACGACAAACGTTGCTTGCTCTGTGGCGTGCGAGAATATTCTAGAAGTTCACACAGAGAACTGATAAGGTAAGGAAACACTGTGTCAATGAATTTTAGTCTTTATACTGGTGGATCAGCTATTTCAAAACTTTCTGAAATGAACAAACCAAATTCATCATTATCCTGCCCTTCTCCCAGTCACCTGGGATCGGCGCAACATGTTTTCTCCTTCCATACTCTTCTATCATATACCATTTCTTCGCTCACTCCCCTCTTACCCATATCGTCTTTCACGCAATCCATCCATTTCTTCTTAGGTCTACCTCTTCCTCTATATCCTTCCACATTCATAGTTAACACTCTCATAACAACCTCATTTTCATTTCGTCAAATGAACAAACCAAATTAATGTCTGTAAATGATATAACGATGATACAAGTTGAAAAATTATTATTTTTTTATTAAAAAACAGTAAATCAAGCAAACAGAAAGAAATAGGTAATAGAACAGACCATGTCAAAAAGCCAAGAATAAAAAGACTACATCAGCTATCAAAATAGCAAAGAGGTCCACAATACTTTCTGTCGTGGTTTATATGGGTATATTTTGTATGTGAAAGAAACACTGGATGAGAATTACTAGAAAATAATTAATACACACAGCCTATCAGAAAAGACAACGAAAATCACAAACGGAATCGGTTATTCCGGACCCAATGACAGACAAAATTTACATTCGAAATTATTGGACCAGACGCCGGGTTCATTCGTATCGACCGACGCGATTAACTCATGTTCATAAATGAATGACTTAATGAAAATCGAACCGACAAAAAATTTATAATTCGCCGATTGACTTGTAGGGCGTCCTATTAGCCTATTAGCGCTAGGGTAGGCACTGGCCTGCTTGTTTCTGCCGCGACGCATTAATGCGTTCTGATTTGAAGGATAAGGCTATTGTCCTATAGAACTGAGACTTATACCTCAAGTATCAAAGGGTGTAGAGTCTATAGACCTCAACAATGTTACCGCGGCCGCATTGACGTCTAGCGGTCCAGTAACTATTAAACACGAAGGTGGATTGTGAGATCGTTTATCCGTATAAGCAATAAAAAATTCTTTCATCAGGCGCTGTGTATGCACCAGTCTGGTAACACAGCAGTAGCAATCTTTAAATTAATACGTGAAGCAAAAACTTTGTACCCCTTTATATTTAAATTGCGCGGACGGAGAAGTATGAAAATTCCCACACTTATAGAGTATATAGAGAAAGAATGCAGAATGCAATTTTTTTTAATTATGCATAAAAAATACATTAAATCGATTAAAAAAAACATTACACAAACTACCATGTATTTGACACGTAGGTATACTCTTTATTTATTGTCAAACATTTGTTATTACTTAAAGTCTGTGATCAAATTGAGAATAGATTAATATTGTTTGTCTTTATTGTTATTTGTCTATAGTGTAGTCTTGGCGTAATCTGTGCTTATAGAAGTATAATAATGTTCAAACTTATAATTTCTATAAATTATAGTCGAATTTCGATTACCGGGGGACCACTAGTAGATATAGATAGAAAATTAACAGTAGCACGTCGGTAGCGCGAACCCATAAGATTATCCCCTAGCAAAAAGTGCTCAAAGCCTAAAGAAGTTTTCACTTTTAAAAAAAAACCAAGGATATCCCATGTCATATTTACAGGTGTACTACGAACAAATGCCCCGGAACATATTGTCAGAGCTGCTATGTGGATATCGGCTGTCTATGCACTGCGTGTCTACTGCCGGAAGACTATGGCGATCTTAGCGACGTGAGCATGGAGAAGTGAGCTTACTACCGGAGACATTTACTTCAAAAATATGCTTTTAAAGCCGTAAACATGGCTGATCACTGGTGGTAGGACCTCATGTGAGTCCGGGCGGTAACACCACCCTGCCTATTTCTGCCGTGAAGCAGTAATGCGTTTCGGTTTGAAGGGTGGGGCAGCCGTTGTAATTATACTTAATATCTTAGAACTTATATCTCAAGGTGGATGGCGCGTTTACGTCGTAGATGTCTATGGGCTCCAATAACCACTTAACACCAGATGGGCTTTGTGGTGGCACTTTCGAATGTGGATTGCGTCGTATGATGATAAGGAAAAAATATTACCGTCTTAAATTATCAATAAACACTAATCTATCCTAATATTATAAAGCTGAAGAGTTTGTTTGTTTGTTTGAACGCGCTAATCTCAGGATCTACTGGTCCGATTTGTGTTAGATAGATCATTTATCGAGGAAGACTACAGGCTATATAATATCACGCTAATGCCAATGCAAGCGGAGCACCAATAAAGAATGTTTCAAAATCGGGGTATTTTTCCTTTTTGAGAGCTTCCGCTGCGTGCGCTGCGGAAGCTTTGTTTCGCTAAAATAATGTATGAGAGCAATGTTCCCCATTAAAAGATGCCAATGTAACAATTTCACGCGGGCAAAAGCTGGTAATAAAATAATTGTAATTGGATATTTTCAGAGGTTCCGACGAGAACTACATCACTAATGATTCAGAAGACGATTTTGTATTTAATGATTGTAGAAAGGAGAAACAAAATGAAGAAGAAATAAAATAAGTTGATAATTAATATTCTTACTAATTAATTTTGAGAGTAAATTTAATTAATTAAACAGTTGAGTAATAAGTGAATTGATATTGTTGATATATAAATGTGATATTAAAATTATTCATACAAATACGGCTTCATTTGCAATTAAATACACACTATTATTAGTTTGTATTTATTTTTATGACTACTCGCGGTCACAATGCTTGGTACAGTGTCGAAATAACGAAATTGGTAAAAATTCGTTAAATAATAGTGTTTGTAACGCACTAGAAGTGACAGTTTAAAACAATTATACTTCTTCTTCTTCTTCGTCGCTTTCTTCATTGCTGAAGGTCGTGTCCCTGAAACTTGACCGTTGCCTGTCTCGTGAGCTGTTTCCATCTCGTCTGGTCCTCAGCTGCTCGAATGGCGGTTGCGACTGGCAACCCAGTTAGAGCGGTTACTTGATCACACCAACGGCTAGGTAATCGGCCGCGGGGTCTCTTTCCTTCTACTTTGCCCGTCACAATCACTTTTTTTATATTTATTCAATCTAAAAACTTGTACAAATTGAGTTGGATGTGTAAATTAAGTCACAGCCCAACTTTTTTTTTATGATTGAAGGATTACTGATGACCTAGAGGCCTTTCTAGTTTCACCAGGACAGGTGGACGAGCAAAAGCTCAGTCAGTAGGGGTGGGATTAGCTAACAGCTGCTCGAGCGCCTCCGAAGGAGACCTACCAACTCGAGACCAGCTGTTTCGCGGATGAATCTACTACCGGATCGGAATTGTGACCCGCTGAGAAGATCTGGCGAGAAACTCAGCGAGCTGATGCATGGGTTAGGTTGCACGTCGACCTCTTTGTGGAGTTCGACGAGTACGGTTATCGGGGTCCCTAAGCCGGCTTCTAGTGTTAAAGCTGAAGGCGTCTAATGCAAAGTTGCTGGATCCGTAAGGTTCTGTCTAGGGTGTCGACGGTGACTGGCTCCTGCGTGATCAGGATTCGGGGAGACAGTCCAACTGCTGTTAAGTGTCTCTGAAATCTCAATGTTCCTTGAACGCCTTTTTTTATTGCTTGGATTGGTGGACGAGCTCACGGTCCATTTGATCTTAAATAGATACCGGAGTCCATAGACATCTACAATGTAAGTGCGCTACCTTGAAACATGAGTTGTAAGGTCTCACTTTAAACAGTACAACGGCTTCCCCGCCCTACAAACCGAAACGCATTACTGCTTCACGGCGGAAATAGGCGGAAATAGGCGAATTAATCATTTACTTATTTATAACTTCATATACTAGAAAGTATAAAGGCGGATTTAATGCCATAGGTGTTCTCTAACAGTCTACCTTAGGGGAGTGCAGAGATTGAAATACATATTTGTTCTTTACAAAAGTTAAATTAGTCTTCTGACCTGTCTTTTTCTAGGGCGAGAAGCGAATATCTCACCGGAAACCTGTTCAATTCAATGAGCAACACTAACAATCTTTAACCCATGCATCAGCCAGCTGAGTTTCTCGCCGGATCTTCTCAGTGGGTCGCGATTCCGATCCGGTAGTAGATTCATTCGCTAAGTAGTTGCTCTTAAGTTGTTAGGTCTCCTTCGGGGGCGCTCGGGCAGCTGTTAGCAAATCCCACCCCTCCTGACTGAGCCTCTGCTCGCCCACCTGTCCTGGTGAATCTGGAAAGGCCTCCGGGCCACCAGCAATCCTTCAATCACAAAAAAAAACTAGCTATCCTACTACGGACCCGTAAAAAATAGAAATACAGTGCTGTCTTGTAGAATTATTAACATATCAACAAACTAAAAAGAACGGTCATAACACAAATACATTCTAAAATAAATAATTCGCTTCGTCTGCGCGGCCAAATTTCGATTTTGTCCGGCTTAATTTCAGACGGACCGTGTACTTGAACAAATCGTAACAGCGAGATTACAATTGCACATGATAGTACAATCAGCGATAAAGCTATTGAAGATCTCGTTGTTTGACATTGATAAACAAATGATGAACTGTACGCTTACGAAGAAAAGTGTTTTAATTATTAATGTTTTTTTTTTACTTTCATAAATAAGATAGTTTAGTTTAAATTATGTTGCAAATGATGCGACAAAAAAACCAGCAGCGTAACGACAAGTTCTTTTATTTGTGCGAGAAAGCAGAAAGCGGGTAGAAATGGGTGACATGGCTTGTTATATTAACACTATGCCCCTTCGTTGGCTTTGGCTAGTGCCAGTGGCGGAAGGGGACGTGTTAATACGTGGCTTGGCAGCATGGCTGGCGACAGGATATGGCAGCTGACGTCACGTCCTTTACAATTACTTGAAATAGGTACTTGTTATATTTAAATATATTGCTGCCTTCAGAATAGTTTTTTTTTTCACTGATTACATCAACCACAACTATTTTAAACACGTCCACGAAGATTTACAGCGAAAATTAGCAATATAGAGGCGTAACCCTTGCACGATGCTTCAATAAATTTTGGGCCATTTCAGAGCATTTAATCAAAGCTTCACAGACGGAAATAAGCTGATTGCGTGAAGGGTTGAACGAGCTTGCGGCTAGCCGGTTTTATGTGGATAATGGAGCATGGGCTCTATGGAGTCTATAGAGAGACCGCGACAAGAATGCCGCCCTCACGTTGAGATATGATGGCGAAATCTCAGTTATACTGCACCCCTCGAACTAGAGCGATTAAGGGCACAATATTTACTAACATAAAAAGACCCCCGATGGATGAGGACGGCCGGTTTTTTTAACTGAATGTTGGGGGGCCGGGTCAGGTTGTGCGCCGCCTCTACGCGGGGGTACGACAAACAAAACTAAACATATGAAATTATCGTCTTGAAAAACAGTCCTAAAAATTGATAAATTATTTCTATTAATATAAGTAGTTGTAAAAACTAAATTTCGTATGTACATATTATTTACATGTTTCCAAAAATTTTATATTTCTAATATCCTCAATACTCTCTTCTCTCCTTCTTATTCTCCCTCCCTGAGCATCGACGAGTCACATGTAATGTTAATTGAATTATATTCAAACTTATCTATTCGATTGTAACGTACGACAATTGATGTTTTGTATCTTTATCAAGTACGTTTTGTGTTATGTCAACAATATTATTACAACGCTAACGCACGTCGCACGGTCTTATTCTGAACTGACTAATTTATATATATACATATATATATTTTATTGCTTAGATGGTTGGACGAGCTCACAGCCCACCTGGTGTTAAGTGGTTACTGGAGCCCATAGACATCTACAACGTAAATGCGCCACCCACCCTGAGATATAAGTTGTAAGGTCTCAGTATAGTTACAACGGCTGCCCCACCCTTCAAACCGAAACGCATTACTGCTTCACGGCAGAAATAGGCAGGGTGTGGTGGTACCCACCCGCGCGGACTTACAAGAGGTCCTACCACCAGTAATTACGCAAATTATAATTTTGCGGGTTTCATTTTTATTACACGATGTTATTCCTTCACTGTGGAAGTCAATCGTGAACATTTGCTAAGTACGTATTTCATTAGAAAAATTGGTACCCGCCTGCGGGATTCGAACACCGGTGCATCGCTCAACACGAATGCACCGGACGTCTTATCCGTTAGGCCACGACGACTTCTAAATAAGTAGATAGTATTTTTATAAGTTTTTGCGAGGCCCTTTTTTTTTAACGCTTGGGAATCCATTTACGGATACCCGGTCGAGGGGGGTAAGAGACCGGGTTATGTCGGATTCCGGCGCCTCCAGAGAAAAACAGGGAGGAGAAGAAGACAGGGGTCCTCCTCTTCTTCCAATTCCTGCCGGGAGACTACGCCTTGAGAAAGACGCGCGAGGCACTGCACGGCGTCAGCCACACAAGAGCTACCCCGCAAAACCGACTACCGACTAAACCCCATCGAGCCCCACCACTCCGACTCCACGAAACCCACGGTACCGCATAGTGCGCGCGCTGATTTGCGAGGCCTGCCTTTGAAATTGTCTTAACACCTTAATCGCCCGTAACCTCGAAAACTTTAACAGAATTCGAAAAGTCGCAAATAATAATGTTCGAAACCAATCCGTTAGTTTTTGAATTCTTACCACGGCAACACGGGTCGCGATTTGACGGTGCCGTCGCGATTTGACATCTGTCACTTTGTCTTGCTTCTCGAACGGGACGGTACCTGTATATTGACGGTCTACGCTAAAGTTGTGTATCATCGCTAATCCTTATCCATTCCTGCCCCATACCCTTCTCCCTAAGTGATACGGCNGGACCCCTCGGTCTGCAGAGGTTCTGGTCGGGGACTCGGTTCTCAAACGAGCGGTCACAACGTTGTCCCGGCTGCCAGTTGATTAGGGACAGGTAGGGGACCTGTCCGGGCGGGTGACTGTTCGAAACCAATCCGTTAGTTTTTGAATTCTTACCACGGCAACACGGGTCGCGATTTGACGGTGCCGTCGCGATTTGAGGTTCCGGTGAGTGATTGCATGATATTTTGTTAAAATAGTACATACGGCGCCGCGAATCGCGGCACATGTTCGACGCGCACCTCGTGCTGTTTTCCGTAGCCCTAGGCTGCCACGAGGTCGCTGGGTTCGAATCGAACAAATAAAATGGCACTAAAAATAACGTAATAATTAATCCACTTTTAATTATTGAGCAGTTGGTCTATTGTAAATCCGTGAAACCGTCTTGTAAAGCGTACAAAAGAACTGTGCATTAACATAATTCAATGACCATCGCGTGGCGGCTGACACGCCGCCTCATGTACTAGCGAGAGCGTTGACCCGGCGCACCCATTGAAATTTAACTACCATAACAGAGATGCAATTTCAAACGTACTTAAGTCAAAACTCTTAAATAATAAGTGTATCTTTTGCCAAGACTTAGCCTAAGTTTGTCTACTGTAGAAATAAGCGAAATTCGCGTTGCTTTATTCACCTAGATGGATCTGTAAACACAACCAAAACCATAATAGGATGGCTAGAACGAGGAGTAATTGGTAAGAAATATAAGGAAGTTGAACAAGTCTCCAGACAGAGAAGAGAGGTCACAGAACCATAATCTCTCAAAATTTCTTAATAAATGTGGGAGATTTCATCTGAAATCATCATTCATCAATCGTTGATATTGGAAAATGGACAAACTCACTGTTCACAATTTTATTACACATGCAATGTGATTTTATGACACACATACATACATGATTGTTAATTTCTAGCTACGTAAGTACTTATCATTTAATAGTTCTTATATTATTTATTTGTCTGTGCAAAAAAGTAATTGTTGATATTAATAAGTCATGAATTGTCTTGCTTTTTATGAAATTATATAAGCAAAACAGATATTTCAATCATAACAGATTTTAGACGAAATTTTAAAGTAAGAAAATTAGAGTAAAGACAAATAATGGGAGTACAACTTGTTGTATTTCACCTGTTGTATTAGACCTGTGTATTGTCAATACATAAAATAAAACAGCAGAATCCGGCACGGCCGTACATTGAAAATGAACAAGTCATGAATTTAGTGATGATAACTAAAGAATAGATAATAGCTATATCCATATAATAATAAACATCACAAAAACCATCGATTTTCTGATTTATTTTCTGTCTGTCTGTTTGTTTTAAGCATTTTTTTAAAATAGTTTTCATATTTAGACGGAGGTTAATTGTATGTCTAACACAGGATTTGTTTTCTTAAAATCGGATGTGGCAAAAAGAAATCATCATTTGAAGGTTTATTTTTATTTTTATTTACTTCTATAGTGTTAAAGGATTGAGTTTATACCGCAAATAGTAGTTTTACAGTTGTTTTTTTTTAATCCTAAATTAACTCTGTCATTAAAGTTTTCACGTTCGAACCAATTTTGATGACACTCGGTAAAGCTATAGTTGGAACCCTGGGTAAGAACATATCGTGGGGTGTGGGGGGGTCTATTTGACATAATATTTCGCTTAATGCGCGACATTTAACTTGGTAACTAAAGGTACGTTTTATTTGGTATCAGCTATTTCCGCCGTGAAGCAGTAATGCGTTTCGGTTCGAAGGGTGGGGTAGCCGTCGTAACTATACTGAGACCTTAGAACTTATATCTCGAGGTGGGTGGCGCATTTACGTTGTAGATGTATATGGGCTCCAGTAACCACTTAACACCAGGTGGGCTGTGAGCTCGTCCATCCATCTAAGCAATAAAAAATAAAAAATAAAAATCAACAGTTCGATGTTTTTAATTGATTGTAATTGAACTTCAATTAAATAAAACTATATGAAACCATATCTGAAGATTTGTATTATGATATTTTCAAGCTTTCAATGGATGTCCTGTAAAGATAAAGTTTACGAGACAGCCATTTAAATTAAAAAAATTGGACAAAATATTATGACAAAAAAACATCTTTAGATATTTGAATCGAATAAGCTTAATTGAAGATCAATTATTAGAAACATTGAACTGTTGATTCTGATAGCAAATAAAAGGTACTTTTAATTACCAAGATAAATAAATAAATAAATATTTACTAACAATCACACCACGTTAACTGGTCCCGTGATAAGTTCGTAAAGAACTTGTGTTACAGGTACCAGATAACGGATATAAATGTAAGATTTTTATTATACACATACATTTATTTAATATACATCCATAACCCTGGAAAAGACATTTATATTTATCATACAAATATCTTCCCTTGGCGGGATTCGAACCCGCGAAATGTCGTGTATTAAACGAAATGTCACTTAAACCCAATAGCCTTTCTCCCCTCGATATGATAACCACTTGCACAGCTGAGCACAACGCGGGCAGTGAGGTCTGCGCGGGCGAAGCTACGGGCGGAATACTAGTTTGTAACAAATCACTGAAGCATTTGTTGTTTTGCACGCGAATCACGTGCTCTATGTAACTAATTTACATGTATTTTTCTTTTGCAAATACTAAATAGTTATGTTAAAAAGGACTACGTTTAAACGCTATGCAGAAGTCTGGCCGACGACAACGCGACTTAATAACGATAGAGTTTAAACTTTGTTTATTACATTAGATATTAAAACAATTGAAGCGATTGTAAATTAGTAAGTTTTATTTTGTTCTCTTTTACGATGGGAAATCGTTTTTATTAAATCATAGTTTAAAAGACGTTTTGTTTAAATCAATGGACGTAACTGGGTTTAATCACGGATTCTATTGATTTTGGTTCCGACTTTAAATCTCGGGAGGAATCCCAAGATTACGAACTAAAATTACAGCTTATTAAATGCAGAATAAATTTGAATTTATTACACAAGAGTGTGTGGGCAACTGGTTCAAATATGCCGTAGGTACCACTAGAACTGGTGGTAGGACCTCTTGTGAGTCCGCACGGGTAGGTACTACCGCCCCGCCTATTTCTGCCGTGAAGCAGTAATGCGTTTCGGTTTGAAGGGTGGGGCAGCCGTTGTAACTATACTGAGACCTTAGAACTTATAGCTCAAGGTGTGTGGCGCATTTACGCTGTAGATGTCTATGAGCTCCAGTGACCACTTAACACCAGGTGGGCTGTGAGCTCGTCCACACATCTAAGCAATAAAAAAATAATTGAAAATATAATTTGCTTAATTAAAATAATTCTTTTGACGCCCAATATTGACAACATTGACAAAATTAATAGTCTCGAAATAACACACAAATCGTATTTAACTCGTTCACGAAACACCTTCCAGCAGACCGGGACCAACCAACATTAAATATTATAATCATATTTATCACACAGAATACACCTGCGTCGTTTGATAATACGGAAACCGATCCGAGATCTGTGTCACAAACAAAGCTGAGACTTAGGGGCAATGAATTTGTTGTTTGTGTTGTTGTGGTGAGTTTTTTTTTTAAAATACTTATTTGCTTGTTGCTCTTACCAACGCAATTGCGTAACTAACAGCGCCGAGAATGTAATGAGAAATATATAAAAAAAGTTTTTTTTTTTATTGCTTAGATGGATGGACGAGCTCACAGCCCACCTGGTTCTAAGTGGTTACTGGAGCCCATAGACATCTACAACGTAAATGCGCCACCCACCTCGAGATATAAGTTCTAAGGTCTCAGTATAGTTACAACGGCTGCCCCACACTTCGAACCGAAACGCACTACTGCTTCACGGCGGAAATAGGCGGGGTGGTGGTACCTATCCGTGCGGACTCCCAAGAGGTCCTACCACTAGTGATTACGCAAATTACAATTTTGCGGGTTTAGTTTTTATTACACGATGTTATTCCTTCACCGTGGAAGTCAATCGTGAACATTTGTTGAGTACGTATTTCATTAGAAAAATTGGTACCCGCCTGCGGAATTCGAACACCGGTGCGTCGCTAGATACGAATGCACCGGACGTCTTATCCTTTAGGCCACGACGACTCTCAAAATAGCATATTATCTATACTAGTCTATCTATACTAGTCTATCTATACTAATATATAAATCTAAAGTGGTTTTTACGGATGTTCCGTTATAACTACTGAATAGTGCATCTGATTGAGTTCAACCTTGACATCCATGTAGAAAATACATGTACTTAATGGAGAGGTTAATATTTATATGAGTGTTGGACTCCCTAATAATAATGACCATAAATAATAATGTAAATTTTAAATACCCAGCGAAGCGGGCGAGTACGGCTAGTCATCAATATAGCCAAAATAAATTGAATATGCATTAAAGATTAACACAAAAACTGCTGATCAGATCTTGATAGCTTTTAAATGGAACCACAAAAATACTGGAGTGGAGACCTCGTACTGGACGTCGTAACGTGGGCAGACAGCCAACGAGATGGATCAATGACCTGGTCAAGGTGGTTGGTAGGGATTGGATGAGAAAGGCAAGAGACCGAAGAGAATGGGGTGCATTCGAAGAGACCTACACTCAGCATTATGTGGACACGGGTTGAACAAGAGACATGAGTAGTACCCGATTAGAAGTAATCATCAAAATTGGTTCACTAAAAAAAGTTCTGAGGCACGACACATGAAAATATGCAGTCCAATTGAGAACTTGTAGGAATGAAATCCGTCAATACGATAGTTGCTCCAGTTTGGGAAGCTTAACCACGGAGGGTAGATCTTTCACCGAGTGGGTGATGTTGGTCGCTAGACCGACGGTCCGAATGTTTTTTTTTCCCTACCAATGCTGATAGATTTGAGAGGCTATTTCAGCTTCGCCCTAACATGTGGATGAGCTCACAGGGCTCAAACCGGAGTGTTGCTAGCACTGGCCCTAGCAAGAGCAGTGCTTCGCAGAATCTACCACCGAATCGGAAATGCGACCCACTGAGAAGATCCGGCGAGAAACTAAGTGGGCTGTGTATGTGGGTGTCCGAACGTCGTTGTTCGTAGCTTGTCTATATGCAAGCTTATCTTGAAAATGTCATAAGCCAGATTCAGGCATCTGTCAATTATCTTGTGTGGTATGATAACTACCCGCCGCAAACTCAATACAGCGAGCTTCGAATACACTTAATATTTTGTTTCTTCTTTTAGTCTTTCAACGATAGCGGTACGAAATGTCCGCGGCAAGAGCAAGGTGCGTTACTTCCCTGACTATTTCGAGTTCGGCGCATCAACGGCTTCTTATCAGGTAGAAGGAGCGTGGGATGAGGATGGTGAGTTACTCGTTGTGACATTTTTAAGCAGGCTGCTAATTTCTCGTGGGCTTGTAAACATATTGCTTAGATGGGTGGACGACTTCACAGTCCACCTGGTGTTAAGTAGTTACTGGAGCCCATAGACATCTACAACGTAAATGCGCCACCCACCTTAGATATAAGTTCTAAGGTCTCAAGTATAGTTACAACGGCTGCCCCACCCTTCAAACCGAAACGCATTACTGCTTCACGGCAGAAATAGGCAGGGCGGTGGTACCGACCCGCGCGGACTCACAAGAGGTGCTACCACCAGTAAAGTAAATTAAGTAAAGTAAGTAGCTATAAATTTGTCGCACGATGTATTGAAACGCAAAACACTTAGAAATTTGCTTCTTGTTAACGATCAATGTTGATATCTACACCTATCCTTTTGACGTGACAACGTCTTATAATTCGGTGGAGCCGGCTGCACGCACGAAAAAACATGACTCATGCTCTGAGGCGTTCCATTTATGGCTTGAATTGCAAGCGAGAGCGCGCAACGAGCGACAAAGAGGCACAATCGGCCTCCACGTTCGGCAGCGTTCGACATCTGTCTCTCTCCTACTTGAGTGAGCGATGCATCCGCGTGGACAGCTGCTATACAAATATTTATAGGTCCAATATTTATTTATTAATAATTTCCTTTTACCTCCTCTATATCCATACAAAATATCTATCAAACAAATAAAATTAAAATTTTCTTTTGAAAAATCCCATGAACCCATTCCATCAGTATTTTCTTATGACGTTGTCACGTTCAACTATCGTCAATAAACCGACTTTACAACCGATTTTTTTTATTTTAGGAAAGAGTTTGTCGATATGGGATGTAGCAGCTCACATGTCTCCTATCAAGGACGGAAGTACCGGCGACGTAGCGGCTGACTCATACCACTTGTACAAACGGGACGTGGAAATCATGAAGGAGCTTGGTCTGAACTTCTATCGTTTCTCCGTATCTTGGTCGAGGATTCTGCCAAGCGGTTTCGCCAATCAAATCAACCAGGCCGGCATAGATTATTACAATAATCTAATCAACGAAATGTTGGCGAACAACATTAAACCATTCTTGACGATTTACCATTGGGATTTGCCCCAAAGCCTCCAAGATTTGGGTGGCTGGGCCAACCCTATGATCGTAGATTGGTTTGTAGACTACGCTAAGGTTTTGTTCGAGAATTTTGGAGATAGGGTGAAATTTTGGATCTCTATAAATGAGCCCAAACAAATCTGCACCGAAGGTTATGGCACAGATAAAAAAGCTCCGATGGTCAACATGTCAGGAATAGCAGATTATATGTGTAACAAGAACGTCTTATTGGCACACGCTAAGACGTATAGACTTTATGATGAGATATACAGGAAGGATCAGAACGGCAGCATAGGAATATCGATCAGTTGCACATGGTATGAGCCTGCTTCGGACTCAAATGATGATCAACAGGCAGCTGAAGATGCCAGAATCTTTGATGTAAGTGAAATATTATAAGTTGCAGTTCCTATGTGGACAGACTTAAGAAGATTTTCAAATTGGAAGGGATTGGCACGTAAATTAACCCATAGACACAGCCCACTGAGTGGTTGGTCCAGTGGGTCGCGTTTCCGATCCGGTGGTAGATTCTGCGAAGCACTGCTCTTCTAGGAGAGCTCACCTGCACGCTACAACAACGCTGAAATAGCCTCTCAAGGCTATCACATAGGTAGGAAAAAAAAACAGTTAATACACCCCCAAATTGGCCAATTATTCGCTCAAATATCATATTGTAATATGTTTTGTTATACAATTTTTACAATTTACAGTGGGGCCAGTACGTTCATGCTATATTCACAAAAGAAGGAGACTTCCCAGAACAAATAAAGAAGAACGTAGCATACAAGAGTGCTGAACAGGGGTACGCCAAATCTCGACTACCCGAACTATCAGTTGCCGAAGTGGACCTTATACGAGGATCATCAGACTTTTTCGGATTGAACAGTTATACTTCGAAACTGGTTTATAGAGACGCATCCGTGGAGGGCATGTACGGCGTGCCTTCATACTTGGATGATTTAGGAGTTGTTATGGTGCCAGATCCTAGTTGGCCCCAATCGCAGTCAAGTTGGCTACAGGTTTGTCGTTTACGTTTTTCAATATTCAATTTACACGTTGAACTAAATACGGTCTTACAACACATATTCAGTTTCGAGATTCGAATGATAACACACTCACAACGGAACCAAAACGGCACGGCCTTACGAATCCATCAGATCCAATAACCCTTGCATTAGAAGCCTTCAGTTCTTAACACTACGAGCCAGCTTAGGGACCCCGGTAACTGTACTCATCGAACTCGACAAAGACGTCGACGTACAACCTAACCCATGCATCAGCTCGCTGAGTTTCTCGCCGGATCTTCTCAGCGGGTCGCGATTCCGGTCCGGTAGTAGATTCATCCGTGAAACAGCCGCTCTCAAATTGGTAGGTCTCCTCCGGAAGCACTCGGGCTGCTGTTAGCTAATCCCACCGCTGAGCTATTGCTCGCCCACCTGTCCTGTTGAAACTGGTAAGGCTTCCGGGACACCTTCCATCATAAAAAAACAACCGGAAAATGTTATTCATTTGCTACGAAGCCGTTTTGATATACCAAATAAATCAATGTCATACTTTGCCAAAGCTCGTATTAACACAAAGCTTATTTCTGCCGAGAAAAAACCTCTATATCCAAGGGTGAAAGGATATTTGGTTTAAGCCACGTTCAGCGGCTTCGATTCTTTTTGCCACATTTATACAATTTCACAGATTCTAAACAGCTTATAACCCACCGTTATTACACACTAAAACCCGAAGACACACCAAATTGAAAAAAAAAAAAAATTCGCATACCATCCTCACTACTCGCGTTCCCGCCAAAAGTCCTTCAAATGTGATTATCTGTGCTAAGTCAGGAATTTCATTTCATTTCACTCCATATTATCATTATTCATAAAAATAATATTATTTTAAATTAAAATAAGACATGAATTAAAGATCTTTGTTACCAGGTCATAAAATCCCTTTAAAAAAAAACCATTACCTAATTCGAAAATTCATAAAATTTTCTTTTAAAAATGAAACTGCACGGGTTCGCAAAAGGACATAATATCAGTCTGCCTGACACATTAAATTGAACCAAATTATTTTCATTTTCGCAGGAAGTACCGTGGGGCTTCTATAAATTGTTCAAAGAGATACGGAATGTATACGGCAACCCTACTCTGTACGTAACAGAGAACGGCTGGTCCACTGACGCTGGTCTGATCGACGATGACCGAGTGCGATATTATAGGAACTATTTGAATGCGCTCTTGGACGCTATTGAAGAGGGCAGCGATATCAGGGGGTACACGGCCTGGTCTATGATCGACAACTTTGAATGGATGCAGGGTTACGCGTACGTATACATTCATTGAAAGACAGCTGTTTTGTTCCTAAGATCTGAAAGGTTAGATAACAAAACGCTAGGACTTTTTTTTATTGCATAGGCAGACGAGCATACGGCCCACCTAATGGTGAGTGGCTACCATCGCCCATGGACTTCAGCAACGCCAGGGGCAGAGCCAAGCCGCTGCCTACCGTCAAGTACTCTCCACAAGGACGTCTCATAGCGCTCGGGAAACACCGTGGAGGGGAGCTCATTCCAAAGCCGGATGGTACGTGACAAAAAAGATCTCTGGATCGGAAGATCTCTAAGCGCACTGTGGATGAACGCAGTGGCTCCAGTTAGTATAAATTAGCTCTACTCCGGTGGTGGGCGGTGCGATGGTAAAAACGGGATGATGGTATCATCTCAAACAATTCCTCAGAACACTGCCCATGGAAAATACACTTTTCTCCCTTGGTTATTCTCCTTAATTGCCATTACCACATTCAACCAAAATCTTAGGACGATCAATTTACTAAAATTCAACGAATGTTAAACTTTCATAAACCACCATTATTACACGCTTAAATCTGAAGCAAATTTCAAATTAACAAAATAAAACAATTCAGACAACTTCAATGCTCGCGTTCCCGCCATAGAGTAAGGTCTCGCATGAAGACAAAAAGTGTACTCCTTCCTATTAAAAATTGTAACTTTGCTTCAAAAAATCATCTCTTTGTCAATTTTATTTCTAATTTCTCTATGGAGGTCGTTCGGGCGTCTTTTTTGCCATTACAAGAATACTTGAGCAATTAAAATCGATACGTAATAATCGATTAAAGTGCACATTTTCGTTACAGCGACAAATTCGGCCTCTACGAAGTTGACTTCACAAGCCCGGAACGTACGCGTACTCCAAGAAAATCCGCATACATTTATAAAGAAATCGTGAGGACAAAATCATTGGATCCGGACTACGAACCGGAAATACTTCTAGATGGTACACAGGAAAATTAGAAATTGTATTTACGTAACGGCTGTATTGTTTGGAAACCATAAAATTCTGTGACAGAAAAAAGTTTGTTCTCATTTTGTGTTTACGTTTTGCTTATTGTGGGCTGAAACAGTTTAATTGAAATAGTATTAATGTATATGCGTACACCATTGCGTATAATCCAATTACGAAATAAAAAGCAGTGAAATGATCTAAGCCAAGAAACATGAACCATTGACAGAATGAAATGAAAAAAAAAATAGTTGAAAGTCGTTTTCATCTTTCAATCCTTTCCAAGTCCGCTACAACATGAAATGAAATAACCTCTCAGGAAATTGGGAACAATTTACGGAGAGCTCTCTACACTTTTTGCGAGAATCACTTGACTTGACTTCTGTGGAGTCAAGTCAAGTTTTATTGCAATTTTCCAAATTATCACAGATGCGGCATTCCCGTTGTGATGTCTATGGGCTTGGATGACCACTTAAATTATTCACGTATTGGATGTGAGCGAGAATTCCATGTGTTGCACAAATCTTCTTCGTTTCTTATAATTTTTGTTCTTTTTATCAAATTGAGATAAGACATTTTCATTTCATTTCGCTACATTTCACAATTCCTTTAATAGACACTGCTTCCTCCTTTTAGAATAAATGGTGAGGTTGGGTTGTGTGGTGTAGCACTTTCGCCTAATTCAGCATTACAGAAATGAGACCACCAATCAAACTATAACCTAATTTAATAATTTATGATCAAACTGTCAGTGTCATGAATTTTTGGCGGGAACACGAGGAGCGAAATTATGTGAATTGTTTTATTTTGTTAATTTAGCGATTATTTTGGTTTAATGGTGTAATAACAGTGGTCTATTAACTGCTTAGTATCTGTGAAAGTGTACAAATATGGGTAAATTAAACAAAAGTGTTAGACATACCTTTTTGGGATCTCCTAAAAAACCCACCATTTTACTGAGACTATATTTCATCCAATATCATTTCATTTCATTTAATTTCATCCCAATTGATTAATGGCTTAAATTAATGAACTTCATTTCATTTTGGTCCATATAATTTTTCATAAAACAGTAAATACAAAAGATTAGACTGTATGGTATGATATCTTCGCTTTACCAGCTAAAAAAACGGAACCACTACCACAGTCAGTGTCATTGTCAAATCCGAATCATCAAAATTTGTTTTGTTTATGTGTCATGTTATTGTAGTCACAGCTTTTTAAAAGTTATTCATAAAAAATGTGTGATATAAATGATAATCCTATAAAATTAAGCGTAAGATGGAATGGTAAAGAATTTGAAATACCGGAACTGTCGCCGTCGGATTCCGTCGCGATGTTGAAGATCGCTATAGAAAATGCCACGGGCGTACGGCCGGACAGACAAAAGTTACTAAACGTAAAGTTTGAAGGTACTTTATTTTTCCCTTTTTTAAAACTCAACCAAACCGTTTGGTTAACCAAAATTCTCTACAGCTAAATAGTTAAATATCTCTAAATTGTTATATAATAGAGCAGTCCAGTTTCTTTGCATAAATTAAAGTTTCTAATAGTATCTGAAATAAATTCAAGTAATCAAAATTCATAACAAAGTTTAATGCTTACAACTTTACTCTTTACAATCAAAATAATGTAGATCATGAAAGTATCATAACATAAATGAGTCGACTATTATCAAAGCCGGCAATCTGACTTTTGGACAATGATTGGTAAATCAGAAAAACGAATTATTGACTTTGTATTCCATTGGCAGTCACAAAACTCTTCGGAACGACATCTTAGATAAATAACAGGTTAGCTATTAACCTTTATCTAATACAGGTTTTGAACCGTATTCTTTGAAGGAGACGATTAAATTCAAATCAATCTGTATTGACATATCAATAATTTTTTTTTGTCCAAATGCACAGATTGCCACCTTTGATAATAGACGACTCAAATATTAGTTAAAATAAAATATGTTTGCTCAATCATAACATTGTGTTTGTGTGTGGAAAGACTGGATCATAGTCTATGTATCAAAAATAAATGTTACAGAGGTATATGAATAAATATTAGTAGTTTTTGCCACTGCCAATGATAGCACTGTGTGAACACTAGTACCAAGTTCGAGTCTCATGGTCAAATACACAGTCATGTTGTAATATCGACTACTCTGTTATTCACAAAAATTCATCTCGATCTACAGGTAAAGTAGCAACAGACAATTGTACACTGGCTGATCTAAATCTCAAGCCTAATTTGAAAATTATGATGATGGGTTCATTAGAAGAGGCCATAGTGGGAGCAAGGACCAAACCAGAAGTGGACGATGTTGTTAATGACTTGGATATTGAAGAGGAAGAGGTTGACGTTGAGAATCAGGAGGTATACCAAATTTACCTTAAATGTAATAATACTATTCTATATTAAGCTATAGCTGCAGTTTGGGTATAATTTCAGCATGTTCATGAATGTATGAACTTTCAAATGATATTTTAGTTGGAGACTTGGCTATGCTTACTGTCATACAATAAAGTGTTAAAATTTGTATGCTTATCGTTTGTTCGGTCATGGTAATTCTCTGGGACTGGTGGTAGGGGTAAGCTCGCACAAATATGTGCAAAGTAGTAATGAGTTCTAGCTTGAAGTGTGGTAGAACGTTAGAGATACATACAATTAAGACTACAACTGTTAGCCTAAAGATGAGGGTAGCAATGTGATGTATATGCAATTTACACTAAGCACCCTGTGGACTATTAGCCATTTATGTAACAGAAAAAACTGAACTGATTCTAACTGTAGTTCTTTTTCCTATTTTATATCCATATAGCTAGTTCAATTTACTCTAGCTATTATCAGTAGATATTTCAGTAAATATTTAATTACTTGTTTTCAAATCAAATTTTGAAATGATGACGATCAGTTGATTTTATTAGTTAAAAATGGACATCCTTTTTGTATTAATATAGGTATAAGTATTGTAGAATCTCACAATTTTATTTATCACAAAGCATCTCTATTTCTTATGAGATTGTGGGGGCAGATGAGAAAATGCTGTGTATAAATGATTGATTGACAACGTTAATGCGAATTTTTTAAAAATTCAGCTGAGTGTACGGAAATCAAGACTACAAAAGTTGGAGGCTACAGAACCTTTCATTATGCATTGCCGAACACTACCATTTCATACCTTGGCCTGATAATGTAACAATAGCTTCTAGTTACGACTATATAACGACGTATATAAATAAATGCTTAAACTTTTCAGGTGTATATAGCAAAAATTAATAAACGCATACGTGATTACAAAATCAATGTACTGAACGAACCTCGTCCCGGGAAGAAACTACTAGTGCTAGATATTGATTATACGCTCTTTGATCACAGATCTGTAGCTGAAACCGGTATGAACATTATGTATTTTAATTATTGCACCTTGCAAACTTGCACTCAGTGACCATAGTTAGCTAGAAACAAGCTGGTGATATTTTTTTGTTAATTAAAACTACTTTCACAGCTTAATCTCAAATTTCCATGGTCACGGACATCTGTAGTCTGTCTGTCGAAAACTGTTGACTATTTGTAATGTTGGCAATAATAATAATAATAATAATTAAGGGAAACCAGATTCAATGAAACCTGACTTAAAAAAACTGAATAAAATACATATAAATATTTGTATTTAGCTTTGCAAATCAATATTGATTTTAATTTATTTTCCTATTGTATATTCTAACTTTTTTGAATTTGAAAACAATGTTCTTGTACATATACAAGTTCTCATAAAAGACTTTAGGTACAATAGCCAAGGTCTCCTTGTGTACTAGCAAACTTAATTACTTTATTTATATTCTTTTAGGATACGAACTAATGCGACCGTTCCTCCATGTGTTTCTGACATCGGCATACGAGGATTATGACATTGTGATTTGGTCAGCGACCGGGATGAAATGGATCGAAGAGAAGATGAAACTCCTCGGAGTAACCGGTCATCCAGATTACAAGATCATGTTTTATCTAGATTATCTCGCGATGATAACGGTTCATACCGCCAAATATGGCACTATTGATGTGAGTAAAGAACTAAATAACAATATGTATCTACATACATGCATATATGTATACATATACATATACATCTGTTTATTTATGTAAGCCTAAGGGGCTATTCCAGCTACGTCCTGACGGTTAGGTGAGCTCACGGGCTCAACCTGAGAGAATTTGCTAATACTAGCCCTAGCAAGAACAGTGCTTCGCAGAGTCTACCACCGGATCGGAAACGCAACCCACTAAGATCCAGCGAGAAACTCAGTGGGCTAGTCTACAAACAGCAATAGCTATAAGTTTGGGCGGCAACCGAAGTGTATGAGTATGATGATATCTGCTCACAAATAGATCAGATTCATTTAAATACCCAGAATGTCCATTCGCTTAGCCATTTGTGTAGCTTCCACTTTTCAGTAAACTATAAGACTATCTTACCCATAAAACCTTGAAGCTTGAAAACTCGATTGCATACTAAACATAACCCTTCGAGTAGTGCCTGAATTGAAATTGAATGAATTTCTCGTATAAGGGTGGTGAGGTAGGAAATTTCGGTTGAACATCATACTTGGGAAAGCATAAAGTGTCCCCATCTTTTGTACTACATACAACTTTGCTTTGATATCAAATCATTTCTAATTTTTTTTATTGCATAGATGGGTGGATGAACTCACAGCCCACCTGATGTTAAGTGGTTACCGGGGCCCATAGACAAGGTAAATGCCGCCACCAACCTTGCGAAATGAGTTCTAAGGCCTCTAAATTTGTTAAGTACTTTTTTCATATAAGAATATTTGCAACAATGATTCATAATTCAGTTGTAGGTTTGTCTGATGCAGACTTGAAGGTTCCCATTGGATCTTTCGCAGTCTCAGGAAATTGAAAACAATAAAAGCGAAGTACGAATGAATAACCAAACTGACAAAAGCCAGTCATTAATTTGACCCAAACAAATAAATTAAAATTACATTGCCTTTATTGTCCATTGCCTATTTAATGTCTTTGTTCTGTTATAGGTCAAACCTCTAGGCGTGATCTGGGGAAAATACCCCCAGTACAGTTCGAAAAACACAATAATGTTCGACGACATACGAAGGAACTTCATTATGAACCCAAAGAGTGGTCTCAAAATTAGACCGTTCAGGCAAGCGCACCTCAACCGGGACAAAGACCGGGAGTTGCTCTACCTGTCGACCTACCTCAAGGATATCGCACAGAATTGTGAGGATTTCGACCAGCTGAACCACAAGAAGTGGGAGAAATACAAGCCCGACAGGAAACTCCAGGCGGGCAGTAAAAGGAAAGCGGAAGATTCGCCCTCCAAGCCGAGGGAATGACGGTAGTTTGACGTTTTTTTTTTTAGTGTGGATTTTACGTTTTACGGTTGGGAGGTGATTTAGCCTGTATTTTTTTTTTTATTGGCGAACGTCCAAGTGGCAAATTGGCCAGTGGTTCGTTTAGTGTTTTATGAATATCATATGTACCGGGTGTAACGGAACAGTTCTCTACAAACCTCACACAGCATCCCGGAACGTTGAACTCCGGGTCATCTTAAATTCGTGATACATGGCGAGCAAATGATATTAGTGGTTTTTTTTTTAGTGCCAAGTATCATCCACGAGCTGTCTTCGTTTTGGGGAGAAGATTCTTTACATCCGATATTTTAAACTTTGCCTTTTATACCTCGATACGACTTCATGAATAATAGCAATAGTTGAAACGGTAGCTTAGCGTTTCCTCAGAAGGGGCGGGGGATCCTGTCGTGTAGAGTACTTAGCCTCATTCTGCCGCAAACCAGTGATGCGTTCGGGTTTGAAGGACGCAACAGCTCTATTCAATGCAACTGAATTTTCGGCTTCATATCTTGAGCTGGATGGCGGAATTCAGGTTGTGATTTGTATAAGCTTCGGTGACCTCTAAGCCGTGAGCCATCTAACCAACTAGAAAAATAACAAGAGTTTTCATTACCACGAAATACCTGTGATCCATAACCTTCTCGCAATTTAAGCACAAAAACAAAGTAATAATTGTTGTAAGTGTTAACTTTTCTACAAATTAACCGATCTCAAACAGCCTTGAAGGATTTGACGAGGAGCCCTTCTCACCAAACATCACGTTTCTAAACTATATATCATGTCTAATATAATCTATACTACCACTAATTCTATTCTAACTTACTATATATGTGTAATATAATCTATGCTAGTAAAAAATAATTGTAACTTCAACATTTTCTCATGCATTTTACTCAGATCATGCAACTTGACATGATAAACTAAAAAAAAACCTGTCAAATATGTGTGTCAGTGTCACAAGTGTAGACATTTCTTAAACGAGAGAGACAAACTATATTCTGACATTTTCTTTTTCAATTCCAATGAAAGAACTGCCGTTTCTAATTTAGTATAATGCTATTCGAATGATATTAGACTTAAATAAGCATTTAATGCGATTGTATAATTTATAAACGAATAAAGATACTTTTTTTTTTTGTAATGCGTCATTTTATTTTTATTCCGCCTGCGAAACTGTACCAATCGCCACTGAAACCGCGGTAGGCAGTGGCTTGGCTCTGCCCCTGACATTGCTGAAGTCCATAGGCGACGGTAACCACTCACAGGTGGGCCGTATGCTCGTCTCCGTACAAGGGCAATAAAAAAAACTGGTTTTTAGTAAATGGCATTCCAAGTTTATGCTTACACTGTGTGGGCTAACTTCCACAGATATAATAAATGTCGGTAATACTTACCTAATTATGTTTTATGAAAGTTATGTTCCGCCTCCAAAAACTTATAAGTACATTATAATTTGTCGTTTTGAACCTCACGCGCAAGGAAGCGTTTACAAGTCTACAGAAGTGGCGGGGGGAACAATCGCTCAATACCCACAAGCGTCAGGGCTATAAAATAAGTGAATCGCAAAGTTTTACACGATTTTGTTGCTTTGTGTGCTTAGTGCGAGTTTTTTAACGTTCTCGATAGCGTAAAAGTTAACGTTGGAACAGCGCCCCTAGCGGCAAACGTAGGCCAGCTCCATACAAAATTGAGTTAACTTTTACGCTATCGAGAACGTTAAAAAACTCTCACTAAGCTCACTGGAAAGTCAATCTTATCCAGCAATCTGATAGTTTATTGTGGGGTGTACACAAATTTTAGCAAAATAGAAAAGCAACTCCAACAAACAAACAACAAGCTTTTACTGACTCGGTGGTACAGTAATAAGCGGCCCTGATTGTTGCGCCGTCGATCGTGGATTCTATTCCCGCATCAAACATTCGTATGATAAACAGGATTAATGTTGTGTTTATTATCTATGTTTTTTTTTATTGCCCTTGTAGGCAGACGAGCATACGGCCCACCTGATGGTGAGTGGTTACCGTCGCCCATGGACCTCAGCAATGCCAGGGGCAGAGCCAAGCCGCTGCCTACAAATTTATACATACATTGAAACGTATATTAATATGTATCTCACGCTCTGATACACATAACATATCCTACCCTAATTAGGGACCGGGTGACCGTTCGTCATTTGCTCCCAGTTCTTTATTGTATAATTATAACAAAATTGGAATATTATTCATGTATAATTAAAATCAATTAAATATGCATTAATAAAATTAACTCCGAAACTACTGGTGAGATCTTGATTAATTTAAATGTAGATGAGAAGCACCAGTTTTTGAATTAAAAAAGAATCCTCAAAATCGGTTCACTAAGAAAAAAGTTCTGAAGTAGCACGCATAAAAACGATCGAACTGATAACATTCTCCTTTTTTTGAAAAATCTGTTAAAAGAGCACTTTCCTCCTGCTCCGTTGAACGCAACCGAGGTTCCTCCTCCTACCCACCCAGACACAAAAATACCTAAAAAATCAAACTGCTAATTCTTAGCGTCATCGCGTCACCTCTGTCAGACACTGAAGAAACATTCGATCTATATCATTTTCATGACTTAAAAACTTAATTGGAGAACTTAACATCTATCCGATAATTTGATGTAATAAAGTATGAATCGTGAAGTTTAAAATCTATAAATTTCAAACAGATATCTTCTTCTGAGTCGGTCTCTTCATTTCTAAAGGTCGTGTCTAATTTGAAATGTTGACCAATCGATGCACAATGCTTCCCCACGTGTCCCTGTCCTCGGCAGTCTTTATAGCCTCAAACAGATATACTTAATATATCTAATACAAGTTCATTTAGTTGTTTGCAATTTCTTAGTTACCATAGAAATGGCGTTTAGATATAGTTTTTTGCATCGCGAATATTAAATTAAAAAGTGTATTGGTTGAGACTTCAACAAAACTTTATGCTATCATATTCGAAAGCAGCCTCATTGGCTTCAATACACTACGAAAATTTGATCTTTTGCAAATTACCTAATGTGTTCGATAGTTAAATGAAAAATGGAGAGAAATAATGAGTATACTTTATTTATTCATATAAGTTTTATTCGAACGCTTGCCGTCGTTCACATTAACAAAACGTTAATAAAAATCAATAAATTATATGTCAGTCATTCTGTACAAGTGTTAAGACTAAGTGTCAACGAAAGTTTATTTAAAGATCAAAACTTTAAAAAAGAAACTTAAAAAAAAAAAGATACAAGTACTTTATAATCTGTGCTTTGTTTTTGATTGACAAAATAACGCGGGAAACATACATTACCATGACATGGGGTAAATTGGGACTCTGGGGTAAATTGGGACAAACCTGCGGAAGATTCTCAAAGTACTTGTAGCACGGAATCTACCTAATTTTCTTTAAGGTAATATTTATCAATGTATAGAAGAAAAACCAAGTTAAATATGGAAGTACTAAACATGAGTTTAGTTGGTCCCAAAAATTCGTCAAATTTAATTTAAAATAGTGGTTGAAAAGTGCGTTTTAAAACAGCTTAAAGAACTTTAAAAAAAAGTAATATTATCGTTGTTTTTTCAATAAGATCACAATTTATATAAGTTTTTAATACACCTGGAAATACCACAACAAACGGTAAGTTGCAATATTCTTATTTTAAATACAATATTTCGACAAAATAAAAAATGTATATTTTTTCCTTTCTTTTTGGGGAAAATTGGGACGTATGTAGGGTAATTTGGAACGAGACTGGAAAAATTAGGGACGAGAAAACACAAAATTGGAACGCCAGAAGACAAAATAGGGATGGCTTGTTAGGGTTGTCACTGATATCTTATAATAGATTTTTTAGCCTATACTATCACTTAATTGCGTGATGTAAAGAAGGTTAATGTGTTTATCAGTTAGTTTATGTAAGTATTATAGGTAAAAGAAAAGTATATATATAATTACTTTTTTTTCGCGACATTTACCTTGTAATATCTGCCCGGTCGTATGTTCTTTATAGCAATAAAAAAAATTAAAAGTTAAAAGAACTCAAACGAATCAAAACTTTTGTTATTTCAGAATCTATTCACGCGTCGAATCATGATTTTGTTAACATTCAAAACGCACACACAAATAAAAACAGGCCTCAGATTTTAAATGTAACATTAATTAAAAATCCGAGATATCCAATTATGAGTGAGTGAATTAATTGAGTTTAGTTATTTAGCTTAGAAAGAATTTCTTTTATTTTTGTTATTATTGGCAGTAATCAGATAAAGCTGTTTTTTTATCTTATTCACCTGATATCTTACTCTTGCTCAAAGATTATTTTGAAAATGTTGATTAAATAAAATTGTATTATTGCATTTCCAGTCCTTTTGTTTTCTATTTTTTATTCTATTTTATCATTTTGTTTCAGAGTTGTGATTTTTAAGGAAATTAAATAATAATTTTCTAAAATATAACATGCACATACTTTTTTTGATCATTGTATTGTTGATTATCATTCACGTCACATCGCTTCGGAATAGAAACCAGCTTAATTTACACTATGTTGTGTATTGTGCTTAAATTATGGATTGTATTCATCATTTCGGTCCATATAAATAATTATATGGCACCTACCTATATATCGCAGTACTGCGAGTTGACAACCCTTACAAATATCCCAATTTAACCCTTAACCGTGTCAATTTACCCCGGACGCTGGGTAAATTGGGACGGCCATTATTTTACCGATTATCTCTTTAAAATGAATAATTAAAATAATGTAACGGTTTTTATCACCTAGGTACGTTCAAGACTCAACTTATTTCTTTGGTTGAGCAGTGACTATTTAATTGGAACTATTTTAAAATTCAATCTGAAGGTCGATTTTGTCCCTATTTACCCCATTGTACGGTATGTCATTTTAGTGAATTAGTTTGTTTTTAGTCTTTTAATTAAAACAAAAATGTTACACGTCGTGACATTACCGCCTCTATCACAACACAAAGACTTTCAGGGCGTGGATAAGATTAATTACAAGAAAGTGTCGCGGAGTAGTATCGATCTGTCCAATTCTGGAATATTAATCGTAAACAAAACGAATAAAGAGAAGAAATTGTGTTACAAAATCACTAGTTACCTGGCCGAATGGTGTCTGCAGAACTGCATGGACTTCTGCGACATTTGGCGGGACTGTGGCTCTTAGTCTAAAGAAAACTTGTAGAATCTATACTAATAAGTCTAGTGATTTTTACGGATGTTCCGTTATAACTACTGAACCATGCATCCGATTGACTTGAAACTTGGTATCCACGTAGAAAATACATGTACTTAATGGATAGGCTAATATTTATATGAGTGTTGGACTCCCTAATAATAATGACAATAAATAATAATGTTAATTTTAAATGCCCAGCGAAACGGGCGAGTAGTGCGAGTACGGCTAGTTATGTATAATACTTACTATTGTGTGTTATTATTTGGAAGATTCTCTGCGGAGTTCGCTCTAGATCTAGTATATTGTTGCATAATAATATTATGAGAGCCTACGGTTTTCTTTTCGTATAAAAAAACAATGTACATTTTGGCAATATCTGAAAATTAACACCATCATACAAATCGAGGGTTGAAAGGCGATTTGGTTTAAGCGACATTTTTACAACTTCGCAGGAGAGCCATTGATAAAAGTTTAAAATTTGAAAAAACTTTTTTTTTGTTGCCCTTGTAGGCAGACGAGCGCACGGCCCACCTGATAGTAAGTGGTTACCGTCGCCCATGGACTTCAGCAATGCCAGGGGCAGAGCCAAGTCGCTGCCTACCGCTTGATACTCTCCAAAAGCCTCGTTTGAAGAAGGACATGTCATAGCGCTCGGGAAACACCGTGGAGGGAGCTCATTCCATAGCCGGATGGTACGTGGCAAAAAAGACCTCTGCAAACGCACTGGATGACCGCAGTGGCTCCAGATAGTATGGATGAACTCTACTCCGGTGGCGGGCGGTGCGGTGCGATGCGATTCTTCAGCTATTTGAATGGGGAAAACTTAATAAAATTTCAATTAAAAGCGTCGAACCGTTGATACTAATACCAAATAAAACGCACCTTTAATTACAAAGATAAATATCGCGTAAATCCAATAGCCA